GACGAAGGGTATCACATTTTGAAAGGCGTGCGTTCTTCTCCAGCACATTGGGAGGCAGAGAAAAAGAAGGTCTTGGCTATGATCAGGCAATTTGGCATTCCAACGTTCTTTATAACTCTTTCTGCTGCTGAATCACAATGGCCAGAATTGATCGTTATATTGGTAACAAGTAAAACTGGCGTTAAGTTCGGCCGGGCCGAACTTTGTATACCCTCCACCACAATTAGTGTTTGAAGTAAAACTAAATATTTGTTTTCTTTTCTTTCAAACGGATGTAAACATTTTTTTTGAAACACCTTTCCTTTCTCATAACTTTCACAGAAAAAATTGTACACATAAGAAAATTGTACACATTAGAAATAAACACGTTTTAGAAACATGTTTGAAACGCCAAATCTGAAAAGCACCCTCATCTGTACATCAAATTCTTATTCTAACACAAAACATAAAAAATGGTTATTTTGTTTTTTATCTGTATGTTTTTTATTACCTAAAATTCATTGTCTAAATACAATCTAATTATTGCTATCTTAATTAACGTTATCTTATTTTACATTTTATTCTTAATATGGATTTCAATATAATTAAATATATAGAAGTCATACATGAATCGAATTCGTCATTCATTGCATTAATATTATGTTTATGATCAAACATAAATCTATATATTAATACAGATTACAGAGTAAACAATAAAATATTTTACTAAACTCTATAAAAACTAAATCTATTAAAAAATGTGTTTACATTCTATATTATAAGTATAAAATTCTAATTATATATTACTATTCCATCATGGTGGCTGTGAACTGTGGCGTAAGTGCTACAATTAATATTTAAATTTTCTTTACTAAATACCCAATCGATGTGCGTACCGTGATTCGTTGTTGGTATATTTCTCTCCAACTTTGATAATAAGCCCATTGAACGAAGAGCAGTTTCAATTGTACTAGTTCGACTACTTTTACAGATATTGAAATCCCCGACAATTACAATATTTGAATTATCGCCGAAACGTTCTCTAATATCACATATAGCTTCAAGTAAAATACGTTTGAAGTTGCATTCGGGATATGAAGAATTCCTGTAAAGTACTATAAGATACAAATCTCTGAATTGGATGAGGGAATACTGAAATGATTTTCTGCCTCTGCTTAGATCTTTTTGACAAATAATATTTGCCTCAGAAAACTTTTCGTTCTTAATATAAATTGCGATACCCCTCTTATCTCTTACTCTTCCTTCAGTATGATTGCAATCTATTCGTGACAATATTGAGAAATTGTCAAAGAAAAGTTCTTCTTCCGGGTATGTCCACGTTTCCACAAAACACAATAGGTCACAATGCATTAGAGTGACATCACTAGAAATATCAGAATGATGAGCACTCAGACTTTGTATGTTTTGATAAAATATTGTGAAAGCGTTATTCGATGTGTTAAACTTACTATGCTGCAAGTGTATGGCTTTATGCAATCTAAGCCGTTCCAATTCTATTTTGACAACATCAGAGCTGCAGAAAGGTTTTGGTGGAGTAAATGTTCCAATAATGTATAGCCCACTTGCTTTAGTGGCTCTACTACAAGCGACATAGAGAGAAGCCCTACTCATACCTTTCCGAACATGAACAGCAACTTTTTCATAGGTTGCGCCTTGACTTTTGTGTATGGTTATACCTTCTGCAACTACCAATGGAAACTGTAAGCGTTCTATAGTTATTTGTTCATTCCGTTTGTACTGGAACGTTCGGCCGCACTTTTCAATGGGAGTCCATAATAATTCTGTGGGATGTGGTTTTTTTCTTCTCGCCATTCTTCCAACACTTTCATCAGAAAATAAGATCCAAAGCGTTATTGGTTTTGTTGAGTTTCTACCAAAATCAATATGCTTCAGTATGCCAGTGGCTCCATTGACTAGGCCATCGTTGGTATCAATATTGATCGTCATCATATATTTTGCACTCAATTTTAATTTTAGTTCACTACAAAGTCCTTGCGTTTCTGAGGTCTTTAAATTGAGAACCGAACTTAAAATTTGATTCCGTTGACCGATAGCTAATGAATCTGACTTCAAAATATCGGATGCCTTGGAAACAAATTGTTCTGATGTGATTTGTGCCAATCTAAGGGAATTATAATTATCGGTTTCTTCGTTTGACAGGAATAAATGAATTGCTTCATTTGGTATCTCCGATGTTGGTATGACCCTTGACTTTATGAGCGAAACATCTTCTTCAGTCATTTCTCCAGTTGACATTCGGTTCAGTGCAAACGCGAAATCTTGGTCCTCCCTTTGTCGCATTATCTCTGTTAGCTCATTAAAAGAAAACAGATCCCACAAGCCACCCCCTGCGAGGATGTGGTATGGATTAGCAGTATTGGTACTAAATATCCATTTATCCCCAACTGGAGGCAGTTGTTTTAGATCTCCGAACAAAACTATAGAGATTCCTCCAAAGGCTTCAGTGGTTTTAAAAATCTGCCTCAGGCGTGCGTCAAGGAAACCTAACATTCTACATCCAACCATGGAGACCTCATCTATTATGATCAATTTCAGATCTGTAAATTTAACCAAGAGCCTATTAACAAGATCACTGCTTAGTGGACGTAGCTCTCCTCGGAACTGGTTTACTGGAAGGGAAAAAAGTGAATGTAATGTCGCACCTCCAATTCCAAAAGCAGCTTTTCCGGTAGGAGCACTTAATAATACTTTTGGCAAATCCGGATTAGCGCCAGGTATAGAATTATATCTAAAAGTAACTGCCTGATAAATGGTTTTTATAAGGCGACTTTTTCCTACGCCAGCTCCTCCCGCAACATACTCATAAAATCGAACTTTCTGAACTATATTTTGTAAAAGATGTTGAAAATAAGACCGCTGTTTATTGTTCAGTGTTCTGATTAAATGCTGAAGTTCTTCGAAATTTACTAATGGTGGGAGTCTTACTAAGTGTACATTGGCTTCTGATTCCAGGTCATCTTCATGGTGGTTGTCAATGTCGAAGACATTTATATTTTCCTCTAATTCTGGAACAACCAAGGCTCTAAACTCCTCGTCTAAAAGTTGGTCACTTGTAATGTTATCGTTACTCGCATGGTCTTCACCACCATCACTGTCTTCACGAATACTTTGCAATATATCATGTAATTCACCATCCTTGAACATTTCAAACTGCTGTCGGTTCCTTTCAATTACATCCATGTAGATAGAGCAGGTATCTTCGTTGTTTCTTCCTATAATGTCTTCGTCTTCGTTACGCCATGGAAAGTATAACATAACCAATGTGCGAAAATAGTCGTCCCTGTTTAAGTCGGCCCTAAATGAGGGAAAACGAATTATAGCCGGACTTCTTCTTTTATATACGTAACCCGAATTATTTTTTAAGCGAAACAAAGCCCCGACATCATCAGGATGTTCCTCGTCATCTTCAAGAATATCTTCATCCTCCTCATCATGTTGACGATTCCTTTTGCGCAATGTCTTAGAGTATGTATAATGTGCAGCGAAATAAGCCAAACACACATCGCCTAGATTATCCGGTCTTTGAATATAATGCTCAAGTAAATTCGATACATAAATATCGGTTGAATCAGGAGAAAGATTTTGAAGCTCTTGCCTCGGTTTTAGTATGCGAACACGTTTTTCTGGCAAGAGAGTATTGACGTAAACATCACTGTTGCTACACTGAGACAAATGCATTCCCAAGATATTGTAAGCTGCTTCTTGGGCTGAGACTTCGGATGCTGATATGAATTTATTACCTATATGCTGCAACTTTTGTTTTACAGAATAATTTCCTTCACGTATCTCGTTCATTGTTTCTTGCAACAAACGTGAAACACCCCGATTCGACTTGTTTATATAGTTAACTATATACGACACGCATGCATAAGCATCCAGAACAAATTGAATATCCATGTTTGCTTTGTGCATTTTTAAAATCCGCGAATTAAAAGCATTTATTGATCTGTCTTTGAAGGATCTTTTAAGAAAAATTTTAGGTTTTCTTATAGAAGATCTGATCGCCGCAAGATATTCATCTTTGTCCATATTAATCCGTGGGTCTGCCAAAAACTGATCAAAATTATTTAATCGTTCACATTCTATATCTGTTAACTTTGCGTTAAGCAAATTATAAATTTTGTCATAGTTGCACTTATGAGCTGATAATTGTTGCTCATCTACACCATCCGAAAACGGCAAAAGAAGTTCCGTATTAGGTGTCTTATTCTGTGGTCAAAATACCTGGAACATGTAATTGGATCTGACCTAATTAGTTCGTACCGTTTTTGGGTGCTAAATGACATTGCCTCTTCTTCGGTAATATTCCTTCCTTCTGCAATTTTTACCAATATAACGATCAATTCTGGCCATTGTGATTCAGCAGCAGAAAGAGTTATAAAGAACGTTGGAATGCCAAATTGCCTGATCATAGCCAAGACCTTCTTTTTCTCTGCCTCCCAATGTGCTGGAGAAGAACGCACGCCTTTCAAAATGTGATACCCTTCGTCGTGCTGCACTATATTTTGTATGAACCGGTCATTAAGAGCATCCGTTGCAGTATAATTGCGAGTACCAATTTTCTTCCTCAAACAAGTAGAAATGCTGTTCTTGATTTTAGAAAACTCTAATTTTTTATACGAGTATAAGACTTTGTCTACCCGCGCACATCTTCTATCATAACGCCGGGCTTCAGATTTTATCAATTTTGCTATTGTCGCTGTAGATTTTCTTTTAATACCACAGTATATAGTGGGAAATGATAGCTCTTCAGAGTCCTCATCTAATAGCAAATCCATGGGTCTATGGCCTTCACCAGGAGCTATTTCAATATTTTGAATTTGAACATTTTCGACTGGAATATAATCTAAGAGGGTTTCTTGGGGGTTATGTTCTTCAATGTGATCTTCATCTAAGTTAAAATCAATGACGCTCGATAATAGACTTCGATCTTCGGAATTTGCTATAAACGGCACTTGATCAGCGGGACCCATATTGGCCAACCATTCAGATGAAATACAAATTTCATGTTTCCTGTACAATTCCGTTTCAATAAGGTATCTCGCTGCTTCGAAAATTTTGCCGGGCCGAATCGTTTCAGACATAAAATAGTGTGTGTAAGATATTCTTCGCTTCAAATGAACCTGGATAACTTCAGTTTGATCGGCCGTTCTTGGAAGGACGTTGACGGTGGAATCGAGTGAAATGGGGACATTTACTACTGCACCCCTTACAGCACACTGTCGATTATAACCCAATGAAACTATTCTCATAAAGGGAATTCGTGGCGCAACAAACCTTTCTTCCAGCGACGTCAAGCCCTGAAGTTCACTCGGAATAGCTGGAAAATGTAGACCTTCTGAGAGACACATAGAAGGAACCTTCCCCGCATTGATTATTTTGTGGCATGTGTTGCAGAATTTATATATATCGTTATCAGATGGAAACTGGTCTGAAAGGAAAAAAACTGCACTTAAATTTGGGTATTTTTGTAGAACAAATGTTTTGCGGAGAGTCTTAATTTGAGTAACAAACCAAAGACCTCCACAACAAATACAAACTTCTGTGGGTCCGCTCTTGATAATATTGCAAAAATTGGAAATTATCCTAGCTCTGCACCTCAAAGTATCTTGAATTTGTTGTTGTGACCTCGATTCCGGCGACAAATTTCTTCTCCTTGCTGAACTTCTCAGAGCTTGTCTCATGTTTATATTTTCTCTGTTTGTAGGATTCATACGATGAATAAGGACGCGGCAACTTCTCATCCTGTTTTCTGCTTCTTGCATTTGCATAGCAACTTGTCTGGTGACACGACGAGCTGAAGTGTTCCGCTCTTGTTCCATAATACGGAAAACTGGATTTCTTCGACGTACTCGGTGCATTGCTGTGTCTCTCTCTCTTTCGACTTGGCGGTATTCTTCATTTTGTCGCAGAATAGATCTTGCCAAAGAGTCCCTTTCTCGTTCCTCTCCACGATACGCCGGATCCATTCTTCGAATAGAATGGACCAAAGTGTCCCTCTGTTGTTCCTCGTCCCGGTATGTTGGATCCATTCTCCGAATAGAATGGGCCAAAGTGTTCATCTGTTGTTCCTCCTCGCGGTATGTTGGATCCATTCTCCGAATAGAGTGGGCCAAAGTGTCCCTCTGTTGTTCCTCCTCCCGGTAAGTTGGATCCATTCTCCTAATAGAGTGGGCCAAAGTGTCCCTCTGTTGTTCCTCCTCCCGGTAACTTGGGTCCATTCTCCGAATAGAGTGGGCCAAAGTGTCCCTCTGCTGTTCCTCCTCCCGGTATCTTGGATCCATTCTCCGAATAGAGTGGGCCAAAGTGTCCCTCTGTTGTTCCTCCTCCCGGTATGTTGGATCCATTCTCCGAACAGATCGAGCCACAGTATCCCTCTCTTGTTCTCCTTCCCGAAATGTCGCATTCATCCGATGGATAGAGTGTGCAAGTGTATTCCTCTCTTGCTCTTCTTCGCGATACGTCGGATCCCTTCTTCGCATTGAGTGGGCTACCGTGTCCCTTTGTTGTTCCTCCTCCCTGTACGTCGAATCCATCCTTCGAACCGAATGGGCCAATGTGTCCCTCTGTTGTTCTTCTTCCCTATACGTTGGATCCATTCTTCGATTAGCGTGAGCCAAAGCATCGCGCGCCTGTTCAGTTGCTCGATAACTGGAATTCATTCGGAGAATAGAGTGTGCCAAAATATCCCGTTCTTGTTCCGCAGATCTATAGTTTACTGCTTGGCGCCGAGTTGAATGTGCTGCTCTATCCCTTTCTCGCTCATTTTCTCTATATTCAGGATCCTGTCTCCTTGTTGCTAACTGTTGAGAGTTTCTGAGCCGATCGTCATTTAAATTCCGTTCACGGTAACTGTGAAGATGTTGCCTCATAATTCGTTGACGTTGTAGTGCCGATTGTTTACGTAGTTTAGGCATAATTATTGATTGTCGAATTGGAACAGTTTTAAATCTGTATAGAAAACTTTTCAGTTATTTTCGTTGGTATTAGGTTATGTTTTGTTTAACGATTCGTTGTGAACTGATTTGTTAAAGTTGAGTTGGTTTATTATATACACAAATACTTACTGCCCAGGTAAGATGTTTTGTAAGAATCTGCGTAGAGCACCAGGTATATGAACCAAGTTGACGAGTGGGAGGTTTTATTACCGACAGGTATATTACATTAGTTTTATTATTATGGTTAACCTTTGTTTACTGGTAATTTAATCACCAAAATACCGAATAACGGGAGGTACCGTTATATGGGGGCTACATGAAAACGTGGACCTATACATATAATGTTACCCCACTGGATCTAAAATCCATTACGACTTACAAAGGTCAATTTTTAGACAAATCCGTGGAAAAATGTGGCAAAAATAATCAAAATACCGAATATCGGGAGGTACCGTTATATGGGGGCTATACCAAAACGTGGACCGATATATCCCATTTCCAATACCAACCATCCTAGGGACAATACACACACTTGTGCCAAATTTCAAAGGTCTACGTCAAATAATGTGGGCTCTATCGTGATTTCAACAGACAGACAGACAGACAGACGGACAGACTGGTAATTTAAGAGAGTTTTGATTATATAACCCACAGGTACATTTAATTATTATGTTATTGTTACCAAAATGCACTCTGTACTACCTGGAGAAACAGTACAAAAACAGGATCAAGCAAACAGAGGCAATAAAAATCACAACCATACTACCTGCGGCGATAAACTAAAATCTATTACCCTAAATTTGTGGCACAAACAATAACAACTTTTATAAACCATCATATAGGCGCTATACATACTCAAATAAAGTTGTTGCTACCGTAGACCTATAAATACAATGTCATACCCCAAATACTAAATGGAATATTATATAATGCTTAGCCACTGGATTAAGAACTTGTTACAAATTCCAAATAATAAATTTGGGCCAATTCCGTTTAAAATTGCGACTTACATTATCAAAATACCAAAAATCGGGAGGTACAGTTATATGGAGTCTAAAGTAAACGGGGACCTATACAGCGAATGTTTTGTCACCCGCTACAAACTTTTAATATCAATATCTTCATATCATCGGAACGATTCCGTGGAAATATGTGGCAACAAATCATCAAAATACTGGATATCAGGAGGTACCGTTATATGGGGGATATATGAAAGCGTGGTCCTATACATATAATGTTACCGCACTGGAGCTAAAATCTGTTATTACTTACAAAGACAAATTTTTAGACAAATCTGTGGATAAATGTGGCCTATACATATTATGTTACCCCACTGGAGCTAGAATCCATTATGACTTACAAAGGCCAATTTTTAGACAAATCCGTGGAAAAATGTGGCAAAAATAATCAAAATACCGAATATCGGGAGGTACCGTTATATAGGGGCTTTATGAAAACGTTGACATATACATATAATGTTACCCCACTGGAGCCAGAATCCATTATGACTTACAAAGACCAATTTTTAGACAAATCCGTGGAAAAATGTGGTAAAAATCACCAAAATACCGAATAACGGGAGGTACCGTTATATGGGGGCTATATGAAAACGTTGACCTATACATATAATGTTTCCCCAATAGAGCTAGAAGTCATTATGACTTACAAAGGCCAATTTTTAGACAAATCCGTGGAAAAATGTGTCAATAATCATCAAATCATCGAATATCGGGAGGTACCGTTATATGGGGGCTACATGAAAACGTGGACCTGTACATAAAATGTTACCCCACTGGAGCCAGCATCCATTATGACTTACAAAGGTCAATTTTTAGACAAATCCGTGGAAAAATGTGGTAAAAATCACCAAAATACCGAATAACGGGAGGTATCGTTATATGGGGGCTACATGAAAACGTGGACCCATACATATAATGTTACCCCACTGGAGCTAGAATCCATTACGACTTACAAAGGTCAATTTTTAGACAAATCCGTGGAAAAATGTGGAAAAAATCACCAAAATACCGAATAACGGGAGGTACCGTTATATGGGGGCTACATGAAAACGTGGACCTATACATATAATGTTACCCCACTGGATCTAAAATCCATTACGACTTACAAAGGTCAATTTTTAGACAAATCCGTGGAAAAATGTGGCAAAAATAATCAAAATACCGAATATCGGGAGGTACCGTTATATGGGGGCTATACCAAAACGTGGACCGATATATCCCATTTCCAATACCAACCATCCTTGGGACAATACACACACTTGTGCCAAATTTCAAAGGTCTACGTCAAATAATGTGGGCTCTATCGTGATTTCAACAGACAGACAGACAGACAGACGGACAGACAGACAGACAGACAGACAGACGGACAGACAGACAGACGGACATCGCTAAATCGTCTTAGAATTTTATGCTGATTATGAATATATATACTTTATGAGGTCTACGACGAATATTTAGAGGTGTTACAAACGGAATGACAAAGTTAATATACCCTCCTACCCATGGTGGAGGGTATAAAAATTGCAGAAGGAAGGAATATTACCGAAGAAGAGGCAATGTCATTTAGCACCCAAAAACGGTACGAACTAATTAGGTCAGATCCAATTACATGTTCCAGGTATTTTGACCACAGAATAAGACACCTCTTCAAAAGTTTCACGGTTAATGGTGGAATATTCGACGAGTTTAATATAATCAAATTCTACTGGAGAATAGAATTTCAACAGCGAGGGTCTCCTCATGTCCACGGCATATATTGGCTAAACAATGCCCCTTTGTTTGATATATCAGATCGAAATAGCTTCCAACGTGTTACGGATTTTGTAGATAAATTTGTTTCTACAGATTCGTCTAATAGCGAAATCCAAGACATAGTCCACTACCAGCAACACAACCACGGAAGAGCATGCCAACGTGAAATAAGAGGTCAAAAATTCTGTAGATTTCATATACCATATCCGCCAATGTCTAATACGGAACTTCTTTTGCCGTTTTCGGATGGTGTAGATGAGCAACAATTATCAGCTCATAAGTGCAACTATGACAAAATTTATAATTTGCTTAACGCAAAGTTAACAGATATAGAATGTGAACGATTAAATAATTTTGATCAGTTTTTGGCAGACCCACGGATTAATATGGACAAAGATGAATATCTTGCGGCGATCAGATCTTCTATAAGAAAACCTAAAATTTTTCTTAAAAGATCCTTCAAAGACAGATCAATAAATGCTTTTAATTCGCGGATTTTAAAAATGCACAAAGCAAACATGGATATTCAATTTGTTCTGGATGCTTATGCATGCGTGTCGTATATAGTTAACTATATAAACAAGTCGAATCGGGGTGTTTCACGTTTGTTGCAAGAAACAATGAACGAGATACGTGAAGGAAATTATTCTGTAAAACAAAAGTTGCAGCATATAGGTAATAAATTCATATCAGCATCCGAAGTCTCAGCCCAAGAAGCAGCTTACAATATCTTGGGAATGCATTTGTCTCAGTGTAGCAACAGTGATGTTTACGTCAATACTCTCTTGCCAGAAAAACGTGTTCGCATACTAAAACCGAGGCAAGAGCTTCAAAATCTTTCTCCTGATTCAACCGATATTTATGTATCGAATTTACTTGAGCATTATATTCAAAGACCGGATAATCTAGGCGATGTGTGTTTGGCTTATTTCGCTGCACATTATACATACTCTAAGACATTGCGCAAAAGGAATCGTCAACATGATGAGGAGGATGAAGATATTCTTGAAGATGACGAGGAACATCCTGATGATGTCGGGGCTTTGTTTCGCTTAAAAAATAATTCGGGTTACGTATATAAAAGAAGAAGTCCGGCTATAATTCGTTTTCCCTCATTTAGGGCCGACTTAAACAGGGACGACTATTTTCGCACATTGGTTATGTTATACTTTCCATGGCGTAACGAAGACGAAGACATTATAGGAAGAAACAACGAAGATACCTGCTCTATCTACATGGATGTAATTGAAAGGAACCGACAGCAGTTTGAAATGTTCAAGGATGGTGAATTACATGATATATTGCAAAGTATTCGTGAAGACAGTGATGGTGGTGAAGACCATGCGAGTAACGATAACATTACAAGTGACCAACTTTTAGACGAGGAGTTTAGAGCCTTGGTTGTTCCAGAATTAGAGGAAAATATAAATGTCTTCGACATTGACAACCACCATGAAGATGACCTGGAATCAGAAGCCAATGTACACTTAGTAAGACTCCCACCATTAGTAAATTTCGAAGAACTTCAGCATTTAATCAGAACACTGAACAATAAACAGCGGTCTTATTTTCAACATCTTTTACAAAATATAGTTCAGAAAGTTCGATTTTATGAGTATGTTGCGGGAGGAGCTGGCGTAGGAAAAAGTCGCCTTATAAAAACCATTTATCAGGCAGTTACTTTTAGATATAATTCTATACCTGGCGCTAATCCGGATTTGCCAAAAGTATTATTAAGTGCTCCTACCGGAAAAGCTGCTTTTGGAATTGGAGGTGCGACATTACATTCACTTTTTTCCCTTCCAGTAAACCAGTTCCGAGGAGAGCTACGTCCACTAAGCAGTGATCTTGTTAATAGGCTCTTGGTTAAATTTACAGATCTGAAATTGATCATAATAGATGAGGTCTCCATGGTTGGATGTAGAATGTTAGGTTTCCTTGACGCACGCCTGAGGCAGATTTTTAAAACCACTGAAGCCTTTGGAGGAATCTCTATAGTTTTGTTCGGAGATCTAAAACAACTGCCTCCAGTTGGGGATAAATGGATATTTAGTACCAATACTGCTAATCCATACCACATCCTCGCAGGGGGTGGCTTGTGGGATCTGTTTTCTTTTAATGAGCTAACAGAGATAATGCGACAAAGGGAGGACCAAGATTTCGCGTTTGCACTGAACCGAATGTCAACTGGAGAAATGACTGAAGAAGATGTTTCGCTCATAAAGTCAAGGGTCATACCAACATCGGAGATACCAAATGAAGCAATTCATTTATTCCTGTCAAACGAAGAAACCGATAATTATAATTCCCTTAGATTGGCACAAATCACATCAGAACAATTTGTTTCCAAGGCATCCGATATTTTGAAGTCAGATTCATTAGCTATCGGTCAACGGAATCAAATTTTAAGTTCGGTTCTCAATTTAAAGACCTCAGAAACGCAAGGACTTTGTAGTGAACTAAAATTAAAATTGAGTGCAAAATATATGATGACGATCAATATTGATACCAACGATGGCCTAGTCAATGGAGCCACTGGCATACTGAAGCATATTGATTTTGGTAGAAACTCAACAAAACCAATAACGCTTTGGATCTTATTTTCTGATGAAAGTGTTGGAAGAATGGCGAGAAGAAAAAAACCACATCCCACAGAATTATTATGGACTCCCATTGAAAAGTGCCGCCGAACGTTCCAGTACAAACGGAATGAACAAATAACTATAGAACGCTTACAGTTTCCATTGGTAGTTGCAGAAGGTATAACCATACACAAAAGTCAAGGCGCAACCTATGAAAAAGTTGCTGTTCATGTTCGGAAAGGTATGAGTAGGGCTTCTCTCTATGTCGCTTGTAGTAGAGCCACTAAAGCAAGTGGGCTATACATTATTGGAACATTTACTCCACCAAAACCTTTCTGCAGCTCTGATGTTGTCAAAATAGAATTGGAACGGCTTAGATTGCATAAAGCCATACACTTGCAGCATAGTAAGTTTAACACATCGAATAACGCTTTCACAATATTTTATCAAAACATACAAAGTCTGAGTGCTCATCATTCTGATATTTCTAGTGATGTCACTCTAATGCATTGTGACCTATTGTGTTTTGTGGAAACGTGGACATACCCGGAAGAAGAACTTTTCTTTGACAATTTCTCAATATTGTCACGAATAGATTGCAATCATACTGAAGGAAGAGTAAGAGATAAGAGGGGTATCGCAATTTATATTAAGAACGAAAAGTTTTCTGAGGCAAATATTATTTGTCAAAAAGATCTAAGCAGAGGCAGAAAATCATTTCAGTATTCCCTCATCCAATTCAGAGATTTGTATCTTATAGTACTTTACAGGAATTCTTCATATCCCGAATGCAACTTCAAACGTATTTTACTTGAAGCTATATGTGATATTAGAGAACGTTTCGGCGATAATTCAAATATTGTAATTGTCGGGGATTTCAATATCTGTAGAAGTAGTCGAACTAGTACAATTGAAACTGCTCTTCGTTCAATGGGCTTATTATCAAAGTTGGAGAGAAATATACCAACAACGAATCACGGTACGCACATCGATTGGGTATTTAGTAAAGAAAATTTAAATATTAATTGTAGCACTTACGCCACAGTTCACAGCCACCATGATGGAATAGTAATATATAATTAGAATTTTATACTTATAATATAGAATGTAAACACATTTTTTAATAGATTTAGTTTTTATAGAGTTTAGTAAAATATTTTATTGTTTACTCTGTAATCTGTATTAATATATAGATTTATGTTTGATCATAAACATAATATTAATGCAATGAATGACGAATTCGATTCATGTATGACTTCTATATATTTAATTATATTGAAATCCATATTAAGAATAAAATGTAAAATAAGATAACGTTAATTAAGATAGCAATAATTAGATTGTATTTAGACAATGAATTTTAGGTAATAAAAAACATACAGATAAAAAACAAAATAACCATTTTTTATGTTTTGTGTTAGAATAAGAATTTGATGTACAGATGAGGGTGCTTTTCAGATTTGGCGTTTCAAACATGTTTCTAAAACGTGTTTATTTCTAATGTGTACAATTTTCTTATGTGTACAATTTTTTCTGTGAAAGTTATGAGAAAGGAAAGGTGTTTCAAAAAAAATGTTTACATCCGTTTGAAAGAAAAGAAAACAAATATTTAGTTTTACTTCAAACACTAATTGTGGTGGAGGGTATACAAAGTTCGGCCCGGCCGAACTTAACGCCAGTTTTACTTGTTATTTCGTAAATTAGCAAAGAACGAATTAATCTACTTTAAGTCACTAAATGCCAACTAAAGGTGATAGTACATAAAAAGCTTTTTTGACTGGCTTAATTCATCAGCTGGCTTCTTCGTAGGAGTTTTAGGTTGACCTTGTTCGATTTTGGCCCTATGCTCCTGTGTTCATTTCCGAAGAATCCAGCCGATGACTTAGACCCGCCAAATAAGTGTTCTATGTATTCCCACCCTAGGGCTGCCGCTTGTCTAGAGTTTTAAACTCTCGTTCATGAAATGTACCCATTATGTGCCTCCATAAAATCACCCTGCAGCAAATTAAATACTCCCAGCTCTGATAAGATAAGAAGGTTGTATTTGTAGTTTCCCTAAAAGATTATAATTTTTAAAGCAGTTCGGGTTCTAAATGCAACCATCAGTTTACCTTGGAAAGTCGACAGCAGTGTCAGTGTTTCTTTTTTTAAACTCTCGCATAAAAAATGGAAGGTCCCACAGTGTTTAAACCCAAAAGATATCCCACAAATCTTTTGCCCCAAGAGCATTGGGATAAACGAGTTTGCTATGTTCGCGGCAATTGTGAGAAATTTCTCAATAAAGTCCATGACATTCAGGTGTACGACGATGATGTTTGGGTGGTGACTTTGCCGAAATGTGGTACCACCTGGATGCAGGAACTTGTTTGGCTTGTCATGAATGATTATGATTTTGAAACGGCGAAAAATACTAACTTGGAAGTTCGTTCGCCGTTTATGGAGTAAGTAAAATATAATTGTTGTTATTGATGGAAATGTGTGATTGTTGTAAATGCTTCGTCATCTTAGGTTTAATTATATGATAACTACGGATTTAGAGAAATGTCTGGAGCCAATTGAAAATTTAAAACATCCGCGTTTGATAAAAAGTCATTTGGCTCTGCCGCTGTTGCCCTCACAAATATGGGATAAGAAAGCGAAGGTAAATTTGGGGACTCTAAATGTTAGTCAACACCATAAGGTTGAGAATACATAAAACACTTTTTTGATTGGCTTAAGTCATCGGCTGACTTCTTCGTAGAGGAACAAAGGAGTTTTAGGTAGATTTAGTTCAATTTTGGCCCTACGCTCCTTTGTTCTTTTCCGATTGTTTATATGAGAAACGCTACAGCAGCATCACTGTAGCTTTAACTGAACATACACCACATAAACACTGTTCCTTGTTATTCTTTCCTTGCTCTCTTTCTCTTGTTATGTCAATTGTATAAAAAGCATTATTGGTTAGGAATAGAGCGAGAATAACAACAATCCCATAACAGATAGAGAGTCGTAAACTTTGAAAGAAATACAATTTGAGATTAAATACCAGTTTTGTAATTAGAAGAAGTATCAGTGCAAAAAAGGTACTGTTTGCATAGAAGAACTCAATTGTAATTTTACCATTCCATTTTTGTAAGGAAAAGTAGGAGTTCATTGTAACTTTAATAAATACTTTATTGTATCAATAAATATAAATTGATATGTATTTGGAGCATATACTTGAGCAAGTGAGCCATTGTAAAATAAAGATAATTGGATGGATTTTTGCTCGAGGAGAAAGTGCGAATTATTATTAGAGCTAGATTATGCTGTTGATGTAATATATTTCCCGTTTTAGTTATATGTTGGAGAATATTGCTCGTAGAGTAAGAATAACAAAACAATTGGGAAAATACCAATTTCCCTAAATTAAGGTGTATAAACATCAGAGAAAGAAGTCTGCTATAGCCAGAGACGCAAGTTGAAATCGTTTCAAAGGGAATTCGTTGATGGCAGAAGGGTTGGCCAGGGATTGCGCATTCGTAGTGGTCAACCTTAGTGAATTAGGGAAATGGCCCCAACACCGATGAAGCCAGCAGATGACTTAAGCCAGTCAAAAAAGCGTTTTATGTATTCTCACCTTAACATTTGGTCATGATTTAAGGTAAGAATACATAAAACGTTTTATTCACTGGCTTAAGTGAACGTCTGGCTTCTTCGGAAGAGGACAAAGGAGCGCAGGTTGAACAATTATAAATTGTGGGGCGAAATTGAACATAGAAGCCAGTCAAAAAAGCTTTTTATGTATTCTCACCTTTAGGCTATTGTTATGTTTATACCATGATAGAATAAGGAAGGTAACCTCATTTCAAATAGGCAATTCTAGCTGTGAATTTTCAGTAATTTCCATTGCCAAAATTTACTGAATACCAAAGAGATTCCCATCCCTGTCTGTCATAGGAAATTAGAACCCTGTAGGAAACGTCAATGGTTAATAACTACAGATTTACTTTTGACTTTGTCGCCAGTTCTACTGAACAAGTGTAGCCAAACAGTGCTCCCATATATATCTTCAACCGATGTCGGGTTAATTGTGCACCAAATGGCCAATAATAGCCCAAATAGAATGCATTTTGGCACTTCCGACCAAACTCAGCCTGGAAGCAAGTAATTCAAATGTGATGAAAATCCGTTCAGATACAGCTATAGCTTCCATATATATGCTTCATCCGATTTGGATTTTAAGTCCCTCACAAGCGTGAGATAAAAAAACTGCCAAAACATTTTTCGAACCATTTCTGCTGATGTTGCTGTTTTCTTCCGTGCACTTCCTTGACGTCAGGCTACGCTACCAGTATCACGGTAACGAGCGATGGCACGAGACACAAAAGAATTATTCACATTGAAATGCTGGAGTGCTCTAAAAATAGCCACTTGTGGTTTTCCAGCCAAATATAAAGAAATCACACTATCACGCTTGAATTCCATCACGAATAACTCTGGAAAATTCTCACCAAAATGCTTTTGTGCGCTTGTAAACAATATAATGAGCTGTCACTGGAATAATTTTATCAACTGTCGGTGGCTTAGAAATGACATCAGTCTGAAGTTGGTTGCAGTTTTTTTCTCACCCTGTACCTCCCATATATTAGTTTCCTCTGAATATAGTTTGTATGATCTACTTCACATAAATACCCAATATACACTTTTTTTGTTAGTCGGTCCTTTGACCTTTGACATTTCCTTACTGGTTTTGTTTTACTTTTCTTTCCATTCTGAAAGATTTCAATTAAAATTTTCACAGAACAAAAATGAAGCCTTCGGTCGTAATGTAGATAGTATGTATTTGTCATTACTAGTAATGCTGAAAGTGACACATGTGCTTACCAAATTTGTGCTGGAACTTCAGAAAATTCTCTTTGCCGATGTGATAATATCAAGTATATGATTTTAAAATAATTTGTAAGATATGAAACTACCTTCATTATTCTACCACGGTTGATGGACAGGCTAGGTTCACTTCTCCACTACCATTTTTTCAAATACTAATTTCAATATACACCCCCCCCCCCCCCCCCCCCCCCCCTCTTACTTAAGGTAATTTATGTGACACGTAATCCCAAGGATGCCTATGTCTCCGAATATCATTTCATACGACACATGGGTCTCCTACCGCCACAATGCACCATCGATGATTACATCAAAGGGCGAATGTATGAAAAAGATTGCAACGAACAATTCGATAATATGTACGAATTCTATAAAATTCGCTCGGAACCTTGGCTTTTCTATACCAGTTTTGAACAAATGAAATTGAATTTACGTCAAGTCATTTTGGATGTTTGTAAATTTTTGGGCAAATCTATCGATGATGTGACCATGGAAAAAATGCTAAAACATTTGTCATTCGCAGAGATGAAAAAAAATCCACGAACAAATCATTTGTGGGAAATCGAAGAAGTTCGTAAAAAGACAAATGCAGGCGAAAGTGAATTTAAGTAAGTAGGGTGATTTTTGGACTTCAAATGGGTTTCTAATGTGTTTTTTTTTTTTTTTTTTTTTTTGATTTCTAGTTTCTGTCGCAAAGGTGAAACCGATTCTTATAAAAAGGAATTATCACCGGAATTGGTAAAAGAATTGGACAATTTTGTTAAAGAAAAAGTTGCCCAGTATGGTGTTACATTGAATGATTTGTTATTATTGAATAATGAAAAGAAATCGTACACTAATAGTATGTTTAAAGAAAAATTGAGTTTTTGGGAGAAAGTGGCACAAAGAACTTGATCTTCTCCCATATTCATTCACGTTTTTAAGAGAGAAATTCAGGATTTCGTTTCATGATATTATTGTTTTTGATTTTACGGACTAGTAAATAAATTTGATTATGATTATTAATTGTATGTAATATTGATTTCAATAAAAAATGTTTCATATTTTTGTTAGAACTTAAAATTATGCGTTGACTAAATAAAATGTACAGCAATAAAATTATTTATAAAATATTAAACAATTTATAAGAGTTTCAAATCCGAATGAATAATTTTTTTCACCGAAAAGTGTAATGACATATAAATGGGCTAGAACTCTTAAATTTGTAATGAGAGTATGATATATGTACCAAAGGGTCTTTGCAATTTCGAAAAGTACTAAAATGTACTACAATTGGTACAATTTCGTATCATGTGAACGAGTTAGAGCTAAAAACTTAAAATTTGGATTTGGAAATCAAGGTTGAGGAGTAGAGTCGAATTGTGTACTCATATATACGAAAAGTACTAAACGGTACTAAATTTGGTATAAATTGAATTTAGAGGAACGAATGGAGCTAGAATTCTGAAATTTGAAATTAACATTACTGGCGGAGTGTAGGATTGGGATATACAGGTAGTTTTCGAATTTATGTGAACGAAAAGTACTAAATGGTACTAAATTTGATACAATTTCGATTTGGGTGAACCGAGAGAGCTGGAATACTGAAATTTGTTAACAAAATTTCATTGTAGGATTGGGGTATGTAGTATGTTTTGAAAATTCTTACTTAGTTCTTACTCTTACTAAATGGTACATAATTTGGTACAATTTATATTTTTTCCGCTAACCGATAATGGTGGAATCCTGAAATTTGGTACAAATTAGAATTGTGATAAACCGTTAGATATGGAATTCTAAAATTTGGAAATAAGATTTCTATGGGATTGTATGTTTGAGGTATGCAGGTGGTTTTGGGAAATTGGGAGTGTAGGATTGTGATATTTAGGAAGTTTTGGGAATTCGTACTAATGTGTACTAAATTTGGTACAATTTGGATTTGTGTGAACCGATAGGGCTGTAATTGCTGTTGGAGAATATTGGATTGGGTTATGCAGCATCTTTTGAAAGTGCATACCAAGTAGTACTATATTTTATACCATTTGGTATTGAGTGAACAGATACTGCTTCAAATCTGAAATTTGGTATTAGAGTCGTTGCTCATGTGAAGCCTGGGCATATGAAGATGATTTTGGTAATATTTACTATAATTGTACGAAAAGTGCTAAGTGGTACTGAATTTGGTATTTGGGGAAGGACTAGAGGTAGAATCTCGAAATTTCATATTGAGGTCTCTGTTAGTATCTGAAATTGAATTAGGGAGGTGGTTTTGGAAATAAATACTATAATTCTAGGAAAAGTACTAAAATTGGAATTGGGTTGAAGGAATAGAGCCTGAAAATTGATATAAATGTGAGAGAAGAGCGGGTTTAAGATAATTGTACTAAATGGTACTAAATAGTACTAAATTTGGTTACAGAAGAACGAGTTGGATTTGGCAATGCTTACTATGGTTGTTCGAAAACTTTTGGCTGGAAAAATTGGATGTGGGTCCATTAGTCCATGGTATTACTAATATCCTCCTCGGATAGATGGATTTTTAAAATAAAATTAAGAGACACAAGTTACCATGCGTTTACAAGAGGCAGGACAATAGAGTTCATATATTAAAGGGCACAATACCAAAATGTACCTTTGTTGTTCATATTTATTCGTTGGTAATGTAAAAAAAATGTTGTATCTCCTGTATTTCATTTTTTTAAAGTTTATTGTGAGCAAAAACCATGTTACAATAAGAAGGTAGAACAGCTTCGCAAAATTGCAATATGACAGCTTCCTGCCATATTTTATAACCTCAGCACTTTGCCTATGGTATATATCACTTGATACGGCCAAAACGTGACTAGTCGAAATAATGGCTTAGATACTAGGTCTTTTTGGAACAAATCTGTATCAGGACATTTGGAGTGGATTCAGTGATGTCCGTCCGTCAGTCCGTCCGTCCGTCTGTCTGGTTGGAGCGCACGATAACTATCGAAGGAAGTATCCACTTTAATCCAAACTTGGTGCATCGTAATATTATTATCAACCATAAATCGGGTTCGAAGATGCGCAATATGGGCCTACTCCCTCTGATACCTCCACCACAAAAGGTCGAAAGTTTAAAAAATATATTTTATTGCACAGAAAGAGAAAGGATAATTCGATTTTGCTCCAAATTTGCAAATTCTAATATTTGCAGCAGTACAATAGATAATATCGGTTCGCTCTTTCTGGTACCTCCTCCACAAAGGGTCAAAATGTTGAATATTCATGAAGCTCATAAAACACGAAATTAACGATTCCATCAAGATTCGGTGCATCTCAATATTTCCATTAACACAAGATCTATTATAAAGATGGTAGAGATCGGACAATTTCTTCCGGTAACTCTACCTCGAATGGCCGTAGTCTTGAATAACCAAAACGATCATAAAATCCGAAATAAGCATCCAGTTCTCTTCAAATTACACACATCACAATATTTTTATTAACCCAAGGCCTGGTAGGAAGATGGAATATATCGGTCCACTCCTTCTATTGATGATTTTACATAAAATTGGATATAAATGTTCGATTTCCTTCAAATGTTGCACATACCAATTATTTTATCTGTATTAGATGAAGTATGAAAATGGAATACTTCGGTCGACTACATTTGGTACCTCACGCACATTTTAGCATTTTCTAAAAATTATCACATATCTCATATAAAGTGGGGGAAGTAGTCAATATGGCCCAAATCGGGTACGTTGTTATATTTATATCAGAGTTATATCAGATGTGAAGGGAATATTATTGATCCACTAAATGAAAATAAATTGCATTAAACCGACATAGGCTGAGGGTATAAATTTGTAAAACCGACTGATACTTTTTAACTTGTTTTAATTTCCATTCCATTTCATTCCTTTGTCCATTTTTTCCATTAAACGACCTCTTACTTTTGTAAGCTGTTTATGTTGTGTTAATGTTGCGGTTTTAGCAAAATTTCTGAATTCTATATCGAGGTATAATAATTTACCATTTACCAAAGATTTAACACATGTTTTCCATTCATTGCGATTGTATCAATTATCATACAAAAATATTTGAATGTAAACGTGCGTTAAGAGTCATGAGAAAGAGCACATTGATTTTTAGTATTTTATAGCATACTTGCAGGCGCTCCACACAATTTTTAATCTAACCCTAATAATGAATATAATATCTTTAAAATCTAGTATTCGAACAATTCTATTTTAAGCTTCAATTGCTAGTGAAAATTTAAGTTAAAGGCTTCATGAAGAGTGGGCGTACCGTTGGGCTATATTCAAAATGTGCTCCCACATAGACAGTTCTCTGCTCCAGGTTTGTTATTGCGAACTCTGTCAGGAGAAACCGTTATATGGGGGATTTAGAAAAAAACGTGGACCTATGTATACAATTGCCTGCCACTGTGTTCGATGTGTGTTGTGAACATTAAAATACTGAATGGGTGGCATTATATGGGTGTTAGAGGAAAAAGTGGACCCATATAGACAATTTTCTGCCCGAAGAGGTAGAACCCATTATGAACCCTAAATACTATTAGAAAATTCGGCTTAAATAGTAAATATATCGAATATCGAGACGCTTCTTTGTATATGTTTAAATGTGTACCAGCATGGCCCATTTACGAACTCTTCCTGCCTACAAACAAACACAGTAGAAATACAGGGTGAGGTAAACAAACTGCAAAAAAGTCAAAAGCCATAATTTTTACATATTTTTTTTTGTTTTTAATTTGATTAAATAAAAGCAAATATAGCAAAGCAAATAGCATCAAATTTTAGAATAAGTTTAGATTTGTTCGAATTGGTCAGCTTTGGTACGAATTATGGCCTTCAAACGACCAATGAAACACACACGCTTCCCGAATGTTGCTCTGCGGTATTTTGGCCCATTCCCGGCGAAGCGTTTTCTTGAGGTGATCGACACTTTGGTGTTTTTTAGTCCCAACCTTGCTTTCCAAAATACTCCAGACACAGTAGTCTAACGGATTGGTATCCGGAGATTTTGGTGGCCATTGTGCGCTGGAAATGAAGCGAGGAATCTCATTTTGTAACCATTCTTGGGTGGTGCGTGTTGAGTGCGATGGTGCTGAGTCCTGTTGGAATGTCCAAGGTCTACGGCCAAAATATTTGCCTGCCCAAGGCTCTAATACACCTACCAGAACATTTTCGCAATAATAGTCGGCATTTATTCTGATGCCACGGTCGATTAATACGAGCCGAGAGCGACCATCGGCTGTTATGGCGGCCCAAACCATCACTATGGCCGGCGCTTAAGTTCTGGTTGCCAACCGAAGGTGCATATTTTCAGCTGACCTCTTTGGCAAGTAAACACGACCATTTTGTTTTTTTTTTTACAAACTGCTGGACAACGATTGTTTTCTCTTCGGAATGTTCAAGTTTCTCGGCCAAAATGTTTGCGTGCTGAAGGCCTTAATACAACCTCCAAAATATTTTCGCGATAATATTCGGCATTTATTCTCATGCCATGGTCAACAAATACGAGCGGAGAGCGACCATCGGCTGTTATGGCGGCCCAAACCATCACAATAGCCGGCGCTTGAGTTCTGATGGCCAACCGAAAGTGCACATTTTCAGCAAACCTCTTTGGCAAGTAAACACGATCATTTTTTTTGTTTACAAACTGCTGGACAACGAATGTTTTCTCAACGGAGAAAACCAAATTCAGCAGTTCACCACTTTCGGCCAAGCGAAGCAAGTCTTTAGCTCCTTTGAGTCTATTTTCTTTTTTTCTTTCTATTTTCTTTTTTGAAATTTCAATGGCTTTACCCCGAGCTCATTTTTCAATATTTGCCGAATGGGATATTGCGATATGTTTAGCTCACAAGCCATTTTTCGGTAACTGGAACGCGACGCGGGTTCCGATCAAGTCGCTGCATTACTTTCCGAACCATTTCTGCTGATGTTGCTGTTATCTTCGTCCACTTTCTTGACGTTGGGCTACGCTACCAGTACCACGGTAACGAGCGATGGTACGAGGCACAAAAGATTTATTCACATTTAAATGCTGGAGAGCTCTAACGATAGCCATTTGTGGTTTTCCAGCCAAATATAAAGAAATCACATTATCTCGCTTGCATTCCATCACGAATAACTTTTTTATCTGGAAAATTCTCACCAAAATGCTTTTGTACGCTTGTAAACAATATAATGAGATGTCACTGGAATAATTTTAACATCTGTCGGACTAGTGGCTTGCAAATGACAGCAGTCTGAATTTGGTTGCAGTTTTTTTATCTCACCCTGTACATCTGTCGGTAAAACCAGCCGATACATTTTAACTTGTTTTTTTTTTTAATTTCTATTTGACTCAGTGACATTCTTTGTCCATTTTTCCACACACAAATTTTTGAATGAATGTTTTAAAAATTAGCATTCAAAATGTTGGAAGTCTTTTTCCATTAAAAAAACTAGCTGAAACTATCAAAATACTGAATAGTTGCCGTTATATGAGTGTTTTAGGAAAAGTGGACTCATATAGGCTATATGCTGCCTGAAGAGGTAGAACCCATTATGAACCCTAAATACCGTTAAATGTTTTTAGAGTAATGTTGTTATTAATTAAAATATAATAATTTCGATATTTGTAATTAAACATTTTTTAATCTTACATGGGTCTCAAAATTCCCAGAAATAATGTGATTTTTGTTCCCGATTTTCCGGTATAAAAAATGGGTTAAAGCCAAACCATCAAATTGTTATTTGGAAATCTTATCGGGTGTTAAGTTGTTGTTAGCCTATCATAACACTTTAAAGCTTTGGGTTCTTGCAAAGTTAGTTTTTTTTTGGCAGGGATGGGAAGTGCCAACATTAATATTCTTCCAAAATGTGGTTTTATTTATTCTTAAAATATGCAGTTCTTAATTTAGATATTTTCAATAGGTCTGTCCTTATCTTTACCATGAAATCATCCCAGCTCTGATACATAAGATAAGAACACTTAAAATAATTCCTAGGAAATTGAAATAATATTTAATGAAATTGACAAACAAAAAGTTATTATCTAAGCATATGAATTATCATATTATGATTCCAAAGATGGGAATTACAGTAAAGATAATGTCACTTGACTTGTCCTAATTTAACTTTTTATTATTCTTACATTTAAAAACATTAGTTAACTTATGTTTCTTTATATGTTAATAAATAATAAAACATTCATTAACACAACAAATTAAACACTCCCAGCTCTGATGCAAATAGATAAGGCCACTTTACCACCAAAAATTATATTATTTGCCAAGAAAAATCTAGTTTAGTAAGTAATAGAAAGTGAAGCGGTTCGTTTTTTGGTTAATAAAAAATGAACGAACCTTTGGTCGTTAAACCCAAAAGATATCCCACAAATCTTCTGCCCCAAGAGCATTGGGATAAACGAGTCTGCTATATTCGCAGCAATTGCCAACAATTTCTCAATAAAGTCCATGACGCTGAAGTGTACGACGACGATGTGTGGATTGTGACACTGCCGAAATGTGGTACGACCTGGATGCAAGAACTCCTGTGGCTTGTTATGAACGACTATGATTTCGAAACGGCTAAAAATACCAATTTGGAACAACGTTCTCCATTCATGGAGTAAGTTGGAAACAATTTTGATAGTATTTTAGGTTAAAGTTTTTTTTTTACACCTCTCTGCCCTTAGATTCGATTATATGATTCATAGCGATTTGGATCGGTCGTTGAAACCAATTGAAGATTTGAAACGACCGCGTTTGGTAAAAAGTCATCTGGCCCTACCGCTCTTGCCATCGCAAATTTGGGACAAGAAACCAAAGGTAAACTTTAACATTCGGGGATAGAAAATTTTTTGTGTAGGAACAAGACCTCTTCTATAGGAAGAAGACATTTTCCACGGATAGAAGATCTCCTCTATGAATAGGCGACCTCTTTTTTGGCTAGAAGACCTCTTCTATGGATAGAAGACCTTTCTTATGGATAGAAGACTTCTTCTATGGATAGAAGACTTCTTCTATGAATAGAAGACACTTTCTGTGGATAGAAGACCTCTTCTATGGATAGAAGACCTGTTCTATGGATAGAAGACCTCTTCTATGGATAGAAAACCTCTTCTTTGAATAGAAGACCTCTTCTATGGATAGAAGATCTCTTCTATGAATAGAAGACCTCTTCTATGGATAGAAGACCTCTTCTATGGATAGAAGACCTCTTCTGTGGATAGAAGACCTCTTCTATGGATAGAAGACCTCTTCTGTGGATAGAAGACCTCTTCTATGGATAGAAGACCTCTTCTATGGATAGAAGAGACCTCTTCTATGGATAAAACAGACCTCTTCTATGGATAGAAGAGACCTCTTCTATGGATAAAGAGACCTCTTCTATGGATAGAATACCTCTTCTATGGATAGAAGAGACCTCTTCTATGGAAAGAAGAGACCTCTTCTATGGATAAAAGAGGACTCTTCTATGAATAGAAGACCTCTTCTATGGATAGAAGGCCTCTTCTATGGACAGAAGACCTCTTCTATTAATAGAATACCTCTTCTATGGATATAAGAGACCTCTTCTGTAGATAAAAGACCTATTCTATGAATATAATACTTCTTCTATGGATAGAAGACCTCTTCAATGGATAGAAGACCTCTTCTATGTATAGAAGACCTCTTCCATGGATAGAAGACCTCTTCTATGAATAGAAAACCTTTTTTATGAATAGAAGAACTCTTCTATGAATAAAAGACCTCTTCTATGAATAGAAGACCTCTTCTATGAATAAAAGACCTCTTCTATGGATAAAGAACTCTTTTGTATGGATAGAAGATCTCTTCTATGGATAAAAGACCTTCCCTATGGATAGAAGACCTCTTCTGTGGATAAAAGACCTATTATATGACCTCTTTCAAAACTTCATATTTTACATATTTTCCCCCAAGGTCGTCTATGTCGTACGCAGTCCCAAGGATGCCTTTGTCTCCGAGTATCACTTCTTCCATCACATGGGTTTGGTGCCACCCCAGTGTTCTCTGGAAGATTACATTAAAGGACGAATGTACGACAAGGATTGCAACGAACAATTCGATAATATGTACGAATTTTATCAATTACGTTCCGAACCTTGGCTATTCTATACGAGTTTTGAACAAATGAAATTGAATTTGCGTCAAGTCATACTGGATGTTTGTAAATTTCTGGGAAAATCAATCGATGACACCATTTTGGAACGGATGTTGAAACATTTGTCATTCAAGGAAATGAAAAAGAATCCACGAACCAATCATTTGTGGGAGATCGAAGAAGTTCGTAAAATGACCAAAAGAGAGGGTGGTGATTTTAAGTAAGTAGAGCCATCATTTGGTTTGGGAGAGAGAGCGAGGGTGAGAGAGGATAATTGTTTTTCTCTTTGATTGTTAGTTTCTGTCGCAAAGGAGAAACGAATTCTTACAAAAAGGAACTGTCACCGGAAATGGTACAAAAATTGGACGATTTTGTAAAGGAAAAAGTTTCCAACTATGGCATAACATTGGATGATCTGTTGTTGTTGAATTGATTTGTTAACTTTTTATTGTAAATAAAAAAGTTGTTGTTTATATTTACTTAAACTTTTCAATTATTTTAACTACTCTTCCTTCCATTGGATGAGTTCAGGTATTTATTGTAGGAAAATACAACTCTGTAGCAATTTTGTCTTGTGTAAACGCCATGTTAGTTTCCTAGAAGAATCGAACAAAAATGGCAATACTCACATAACTTTGGTCATATACGGGATGAGATGAAAAACAGCAACCAACTTCAGACTGCTGTCATTTCTATGTCACTCGTCCAACAGTTGTTAAAATTATTCCAGTGACAGCTCATTATATACAAAAGCATTTTGGTGAGAATTTTCCAGACAAAAAGTTATTCGTGATGGAATTCAAGCGTGAAGTGTGATTTCTTTATTTTTCCCTGGAAACCCGTGGCTATCGTTAGAGCACTCCAGCATTTAAATGTGAAATCTTTTGTGTCTAGTACTATCGCTCGTTACCGTGATACTGGTAGCATAGCCCGACGTCAAGGAAGTGGACGGAAGAAAATAGCAACATCTTCAAAAAGTAAAGAAGCGACTTGTTCAAAACCCGCGTCGCAGTGGCCGAAAAATGGCTCGTGAGCTGAACATATCGCAATATTCCATTCGGCAAATATTGAAAAATGAGCTCGGAGTAAACGCATTGAAATTACAAAAAGTGCAAGAACTTACACCGCAACCGAAAAAAATTGACTCAAAAGAGCTAAAGAGTTGCTTCGCTTGGTCGAAAGTGGTGAACTGCCGAATTTGGTTTTTTCCGATGAGAAAACATTCATTGTCCAGCAGTTTGTAAACACACAAAATGATCGTGTTTACTTGCCAAAGAGGTCAGCTGAAAATGTTAACCTTCGTTTGGCCACCAGAACTCAAGCGCATGCCATGGTGATGGTGTGGGCCGCCATAACAGCCGATGGTCGCTCTCCGCCCGTATTAATCGACCGTGGCATCAGAATAAATGCCGAATATTATTGCGAAAATATACTGGAGGGTGTATTAAAGCCATTTTGCCCGCAGACCTTGGACATTCCAACAGGACTCAGCACCATCGCACTCAGCACGCGCCACCCAACAATGGTTACAAAATGAGGTTTTTCGCTTCATTTCCAGCGCACAATGGCCAACAATATCTCCGGATACCAATCTGTTGGAATATTGTGTCTGGAGTATTTTGGAAGGCAAGGTTGGCACTAAAAAATACCAAAGTATCGATCACCTCAAGCAAGCACTTCGCCGGGAATGGGCCAAAATACCGCAGAGCAACATTCGGGCAGCGTGTGACGGTTTCAATGGCCGTTTGAAGGCCATAATTCGTGCCAAAGGAGACCAATTCGAACAAATCTTAACTTTTTCTTAAATTTGATGCTATTTCCGAACATTTTTTGCTTTCACTCAATAAAATTTAAAAAAAAATGTACGTTTGACTTTGTTGCAGTTTTTTTATCTCACCCTGTATATAAGAAGGTCTTCGATGAGAAGATATTTTGTTATTATATAAGATCTATTTTTCTGAAATGAGAAGGCCTATTGATGTCCCACAGGAATTTTGGATGTTGGAGAACATTGTTCATCATGAATACCCCGTTATATTTAATATTTTAAGGTTTGCGGACAAACCACACTCATAAAAATTCGAAAATTAATTCCACAAGCTAAAGATATACCAACAAACCGAAAACAGGCATGCAAACAATGTAGCGACAAAATTTACTTTTGAATAGCTTATCAGGTGTTATATTGTGGTTTGTTTATTAAACTCAAATTCCCTCGTCAGATAAGGGCCATCTCTAATTTGCCTAAAAGATAATCTGTTTTCTTTGGATTAGGAAAAAGGGAATTTTGTCAGTTCACCACCAAGTGTCAGTGGAAGTAAAACACCTTCTTCATATCTCTTCTAATTAAAATGATCGAACCCGTCGAAGTCAAACCAAAACGTTATCCCACAAATTTCTTCGCCCAAGAATACTGGGATAAACGTCGTTGCTATGTTCGTGGCAGTTTCCAAAAACAACTCGACCTTGTTCACAATGCCGAAGTTTTCGAGGACGATGTCTGGGTGGTGACATTACCCAAATGTGGTACAACCTGGATGCAGGAGCTGGCATGGCTTGTTATGCATGATTATGATTTTGAAACGGCCAAAAATGTCGATTTGGAACTACGTTCTCCATTTATAGAGTAAGTTTCGAAAGTAACTGTGTGGGTGTTTTGGAGGGAAATACTAAGTAATGTTTGATAGTTTTGATTACATAGTTCATCGCGACTTGGAGAGATCGTTGAAGCCAATAGAAAACTTAAAACGTCCACGTTTAATAAAATCTCATCATGCCTTACCGCTGTTGCCGTCACAGATATGGGAGAAGAAACCTAAGGTAAATTTTTCCGTTATGTTTTCAAAATTTATGGTGAGAATACATTAAAACGCTATTTTGAATGGCTTAAGTCATCGGCTGGCTTCTTCTGAAAAGAAACAAGTAAAAAAGCTGTAAGTTTGGTCAGGACGAACTTTGAATACCCTCCACAATTTGGAACGAACTTGTCAATTTTCAAAAAATTAAAATCCTTCAAAAATTCTGTTAAAAGCTTAAAAATATTGAATGTAGCCGTTACATTAGGGTCTATACAACGACGTGGACCTGCATAGGCAACTTTTGTTATAAACGTTTACAATATTCTAATGCAGAACTTGAAATGAAAATTCTGTGAATAATGTAGCTAAACTTATGAAAATACCGAATATCTGGAGGTACCGTTATACGAAGAGGTGGATCTGCACAGACAATTTTCTGCCATAGGCTGTAGTATCAATTACGAACTTCAAATACCAAATGTGATTAATGTCGCTAAAATCATCAAAATACCGAATATCGGGGGGTACCATTATATGGGGGCTATACGAAGACGTGGACCTGCACAGGCATTTTTTTGTCATAGGCTGTAGTATCCATTACGAACTTCAAATACCAAATGTTAAACAATTCGCTGAAATCACCAAAATACCGAATATCGGGAAGTGCCGTTATATGGGGGCTATACGAAGACGTGGACCTGCACAGGCAATTTTCTGTCATAGGCTGTGGTATCCATTACGAACTTTAAATACCAAATTTGAAACAATTCCGTTGAATAATGTCGCTGAAATCTTCAAAATACCGAATATCGGGAGGTACCGTTATATGGGGCTATACCAAAACGTGGACCTATATGGCCCATTTTCAATGCCAAAAGTCCTGCAGACATAATACACAGTTGAGAAAATTTTTATCAACCCCCTTCTTTTGTTCGAAAGCTAGAGTGATTTTCACACACGGGCAGACGGACGGACATCGCTAAATCGACATAGAATTTTGCTGATCAGGAATATATACATACTTTGTGGGATCTGAAATTTATATTTCGAGGTGTTAAAAACAGTAAGACAAATTCATTATACCCTCCATACTATGGTGGAGGATATACTAAAAAGGAGCGGAGGACCAAAATCGAACTAAGCAACCTAAAACTCTTTTGTTCCTCTACGAAGAAACCAGCCTAAAGGTGGGAATACATAAAGCGCTTATCTGGCTGGCTTAAGTTATCGGAAATGAACAAAGGAGCCTAGGGACAAAATCGAACTAAGTCAACCTAAAACTCCTTTGTTCATCTACGAAGAAGCCAGCAGATGATTTTAGCCAACCAAACAAGCACTTTAGGTATTTCAACCCTAACCTTTACTTGCCAATCGATTAGTGTACGAATTCTCCCACTATTGGAATATACCCCTCATCTCTCTTCTATGAAATACTCGATCACTAATTGGTTTAGAATGAATTTTATCGTCCCTTCAAAACATTTTGTTTTAATTCAACAACCAATCATTTCCTCCCCAACTCTTCATATCAAAAATCAAGGTTATCTACGTATCACGTAATCCCAAGGATGCCTTTGTCTCCGAGTATCACTTTTTCAATCATCAGGGCCTGCTTGCACCACAGTCCGTGGACGAATACGTCAATGGACGAATGACAAAGGCAGATTGCAATGAACAATTTGCCAACATGTATGAGTATTACACACTGCGTTCCGAGCCATGGCTATTCTATACCAGTTATGAAAAAATGAAATTAAATCTACGTCAAGTCATTTTGGATATTTGCGAATTTCTGGGTAAAACTATCGACGACACCAACATGGAACGAATGTTAAAACATTTATCCTTCGAAGAAATGAAAAAGAATCCACGAACTAATCACCTATGGGAATCGAATCAAGTGCGACAAATTACAAAAGCAAAATTTGATGATTTTACGTAAGTATAGAAAATTTGAAGAGGGAAATGTGGAAGAGTGAGAATTAATATTTTGTGTGCGTTTCTTTATTTTAGATTCTGTCGCAAGGGTGAAACAAATTCATACAAAAAAGAACTATCACCGGAAATGATAGAAAAATTGGATGCCTTTGTAGAGGAAAAAATTGCGAAGTATGGCCTCACTTTGAATGATCTACTGCTGTTGAATGAAAATAAATCCTGATTTTAATATAATAATAATTTAATTCAAATAAAAAATAAATAATAAAATAACTTTGTTTATAATTGCAATATTAATAAATTAAAATTAAGAAGGTAGTCATTTCAAATAAAGTTATCCGTCTCTTCCATCTATCCATTTTCTGTAATTTTCCTTATCAAATGTCAATGGATAGAAGGCTGCCATCTATGATTTGTGTGTGTACAATGGAAATGAAACGAATGAGTGAATGAAAAAATTGTAAACATAAAGCTGAAAATATTTTTCGGTTACCTTTTTAAAAAAACAATAATCCTGCCCCTGGCCATGGCAAAACAATAGAGGTAGCCTCGTTTGCTAAATCGAATATGGCAACCCCTTTTAAACGAGCTCTACCTTGTCATTTTTTAAATAAAAATTATTGTAATATCTAAAATAAATACGTATGACGAGTGACATATTTGACACGTAAAATAGTTATTTGTTTCACATCTCAGGAAGACGAGATTTATTTATCTTTTATTGGACCCAAAAATGGAAAATGTATATTCTTCATCTCTAGGAAACTTTCTAGCTCTTTTGACTTGCTTAATTCATCGGCTGGCTTCTTCGTATTGAAAACATGAGTTTTAGGTTGACTTAGTTCGATTATTGGCCCTACGTCCCTTTGAAGGTGGGAATACATAAGGCGCTTATCTGGCTGGCTTAAGTAATCGGCTGGCTTCTTCGAAAATGAACAAAGGAGCCTAGGGCCAAAATCAAACTAAGTCAACCTAAAACTCCTTTGTTCATCTACGAAGAAGCTAGGCAATGACTTAAGCCCGCCAAATATGCGTATTTTCACCCTGATATTTTCCGAAGAATCCATCCGATGACTTAAGGTGGAGTACTTAAAACCCTTTCTTGTCTGGCTTACTTGATTCAAGTATAAGGCCCCAGCTCAGCTGATTACCAAACGATCTGTCAATTAAATTTGAATTCGCTTCAACCAAAACAAACTCCAAAACTATGGTAGAAGAATACAGGTAGTCGCATTGCATAGTTGCTGGGACAATGAACTGTAAAACCAACTTTTAAATTGAAAATTATAAATGAAAAATTATTCCAATTTCTAAAAAAAAAATAAAACAAACATGATCGCCACAAAATTCTTCTGTCAATGCGAAAATTTTTATTTTCGCCTCAAGCATAAATTTTGACATTTCATCGGATAAAATAACAGCTGTTTTTAGATTAATTCGCTCGAAGGAAGACCTTAAGTTGGCAATACATAAAGCGCTTATCTGGCTTAAGTCATCGGCTGGCTTCTTCGTAAAAGAACAACGAAAGGAATGTCCATCAAAATGCCAATAGCCGATTATATCATCTGTTGGCAACACTACACTGCATATTCTAAATTGCAGTTTACACCAGACAAGTTATCTCCGCCATTGTTCTAATTGTCTGTATTTGAGATTTGAAAGAAGATATGAAACTAATAATCGATTTTTAATGATTTTCGATTCTTGTTCTATGAAAATTAAAAATTTTAAATACAAATTTGAAATACAAAGGCAAGATAGAGCTACCAGCTGATTACAATTTTTTCTAGTGTGCCCAACTTCTGTCAATTTTGTGTTTGTTTTGAAAAATAAAAACAAAATATTTTTAAAATCAATTATTGGAAGAAACCTACATTGTCCGGCGCGTATTTAAGATATTAACCAGTTTTGTCATGGAATTGAAAAATTAAACAGTTTAGATCGTATTTTTAAAAGAAAATCCAGGCACTTCTTTCATTTTAACTCAAGTCTAAAATCGGGCGGGGCCGACTATATGATCCCGTACCCTAAAAGAATTTATTAGTCAATGAATCAATTTTCACTAAATTTGACGGAGAAATTTTAATCTGTTTTCCCAAATAACATTGCAATAGAGTTCATGATATTACTTCGTATAATAATTTTGAACACATCTGACAAAAAGCGGGCATAAACTCAGGGCTGTATTTCTGCAGTTTTGCGAAGCTGTTCTACCTCCTTATTGTACCATAGCCCAAAGCAATTAAAGAAAATTTTGAAAAAGAGGAGGTGAGAGTCAATAAAAGACTTTTTTGGTTGGCGGGCTTTTTTGTAAAAGAACAAAGCAGTTTTAGGTTTACTTAGTTCGATTTTGGCCTTTTATGTATTCTCACCTTTAGAAGGCTAAAATATAATAAACTTTCAGCATGGAAATAAGCGAAATGAAGCAAACCACGATATGTAATTGTTTTTTTTTTTTTTTGTCAATGAAACGCAACGCCCTCAACAAAACCTTGATTCTGTCTTAGCCTCTATTAATATTTACTATTGTATGGCCGTATGTATCAAGGGTCAATGAAAACCAAATACAAGCATACAAACGATAACTTTCTAATATTCCTCTTTCCTTCCTCTTTCTTTCAGAGCTCAGTGAACCTGCAGATTTCGAAAAGGCCATAAATGAAGCGGGATTTGGTTTATTTAATCTTCTACTACTTTTCGTGGCAATACCAGCAACGTTGGCAAATGTCTTCTCGACCACAACAATGGCATATATTCTGCCCATAGCTGAATGTGATCTCCGATTGACGCTCTTCAATAAGGGAATGCTGAATGCGGCCACCTATGCTGGTATGATTGCCTCAGCCATTGTTTGGGGCTATCTGGCCGATACACAGGGTAGAAAGAAAATTCTCGTCGTTGGCTATTTGGCAGATGCGGTGTGTGTAGTTTGCAGTTCCCTGTCGCAGAATTTTGTTATGTTGGTATCCTTTAAATTTTTGGGAGGTCTGATGTAAGTTTGACGATTCTAATTACATTCTGAAATCATGATAATAAAATTTTCATCTCTGTAGAGTTAATGGGCCGGGAGCTGTTTTGTTTACATATTTGACAGAATTACATGGTTCCAAACATCGTCCTAGGGTCTTGATGATATTGGGTATGGTGCAATCGTTTGGTACCTTAATATTGCCAATTTTGGCCTGGTTGGTTTTGCCCAGAGACTGGGAATTTAAGATCGATGATTTTAATGGTAAGTTGGAGGGTTCGGGGGAATCAAATACTCCCAACTAAAATATTTTCTTTTTCTACAGTCCACACCTGGCAAATATTCCTGTTTATCTGTGCCCTACCCAGTCTCATAACTGGTCTTATCCTTATAATTTTACCCGAAAGTCCCAAGTTTTTAATGTCTCAGGGACGCAATATGGAGGCACTAAGAGCATTTCAGAAAATTTATGCTTTCAATACAAGGAAACCAAAAACTTCATATCCGGTAAGTAAATATGAAAAAAAAATGTTTTAAAAATCCCCAAACCTATTATATAAATTCTCTCTACAGATCCAACACCTTATCGAAGAAGTGCCCACACGTGATACAAATGCCAATGATGTCATATTTACCATTGAGAATAAACTACAATCGGCAGATGCGGAAAATGCCGCCAAACAAAAGGCGAAACGACCACACCGCTCAATGGCACAGAGTCTGCGCGAAGGTTGGCAACAGGCCAAACCAATGTTTCAAAAACCATTGCTCTCTAGGTCACTGCATGTCTATCTAATGCAGTTCTGCATTTTATTGGGGTAAGTAAGAACAGGGTGACATTTGTGGACTGAAAATAACCTAGAGTTCTCTTTTATGTTTAGTTTGAACACCATTCGATTGTGGTTGCCACAATTGTTTGCATCAATTGCTGAATTCGAACACGAATATGCCGACACAGATGAATCGGCAAATCTCTGTGTCATCTTAGATTATAGTGTGAATAAGACAGCCACGGCTATAGCCACCTACACTGGAGAATGTACGGCGGTAAGTAATCATGCTTCGGACGTATGAAAGTTTTCTAAAATTAGTAGAATTCCTTTATCGTAATGATATGTTTCATATTTGTTTAATTAAGACTTTGGAATTCCGGTCAAAACGATGTCTAATTGAACACCATCCATGTCCAACCCATCAAAATTAAATTTGCTTTAAGTTCCTTCGAAAAACACTCGACAACAATTTTACACCAACTTTAAAATCAGTTCTAGGAGCCATTCCGTTGATCAATAAAAAATACAACGAAGACTCTGACAAAAACACATATGGCGCCCAACATAAATACAATCTAGCCTCGTATATTTTTGTGCTTACAATGCCAAATCAAAACAATTGTTAAACAAGTTAAAAAGCATACCCTCAGCCAATGTTTGATTATTTTAATATAAATAAATCATATGGCGCCCAACGAAAACTCACTCTTAACCCAAATATAATTCTAAAATTAAAACGATATGAGCAAAAAGGAGCATTCACAAATATCACCGCCTACTTTATAATCAAGTTGTTTAATTTCACATTGACAAAATTCACTTCTTCTCACTCAATTTTGATTCCATAAAATTTAGACTATCAAACAATTTATGAAGAGTAACTTGTTTTAAGTCTTTGTTCATAGTATATTTATAAACTATATGGCGCTCAATGAAAAAGGGGTCTAGTCCCATATATTTTTAATATTTTGACCAGAAGTTGTTTAATTTCCACACTTACCATGAGCCTATGTAATTTTGGGCGTTAGTCTACTTCGATAAAAAATATGGAGCCCAACGAAAATTCGTTCTGAATATTTATATTTATTCGATATAATTTAAGGCTATCAAACGAAAAACCATTCTGTGTATTGTAAATTCCTAGAGCAGAAGGTTGTTGAATTTTTTGGACAAGTTTATTCTTTGCCACATATTAGGATACTTCGGGAAATGAAAATATAGGGCGCCAAAAGAAATTGCATTCTGACTTCGTATATATTTTTTACCAAATTTCGTAAATTTACTCTTTTCCCCTAAATTGTGATTCAATAGTTAAGGACTCCAAAAAAATGGCGCCCAACGTAAAAACATCCTGGTCCTGTATATTTATAATTTTTGGAACAGGAAGTTTTATAATTTACTATCCGAAGTTCATATGACATCCGTATTTACATTCGTGTACATTTCTAATCTTCTGAGTAAAATTCTACATTTTTGGGGTTAAACAAATTACATAATTTTTCCCTTTCTGCTGCTGAGGTGTCTATAACTCCGAACACAAAGCCAAAGTTCACAACACACTGGTATATGTGTATCATTTTAAATAAGCATACACTCTAAATTTTTCTGTAATTTACCTTGCCAAATTTAACGGAATAGAAAACCTCAAGAAAAACACGAAAATAACATCCGATTTCATTCAGACTTGGCATATTTCAATATTTCCATCAACACAAGATCTGTTATAAAGATGGTAGTGATCGGACCGTTCCTTCTGGTACCTCCCCCACAAAGGGTAAACCTTTTGAATAACCAAAACGATCTGAAATAACCATTCGGTTCTCTTAAAATTACACGCAGAACAATATTTTTATTAGCCCAAGGTCTGGTGTGAAGATCAAATATATCGGTCCACTCCTTCTGGTACCTCCCCTACAAAGGGTCAAAATTTGGAATATTCATGAAGCTCATAACACACGAAATTAACATCCGATTCCATTAAGACTTAGCACATCTCAATATTTCCATCAACACAAGATCTGTTATAAAGATGGTACAGATCGGACCATTCTTTCTGGTACTACCCCCACAAAGGGTCAAAATTTTGAATAACCGAAACGTCCATAAAATCCGAAATAAGCATCGGGTTTTCTTCAAATTACACGCATCACAATATGTTTCTTAACCCAAGGCTTTGTGGACGGAATATATCCGTCCACTCCCTGTGGTACCTCCCAAAGAAAGGGTCAAAATTTTGAATATCTAAGAAGCCCCCAAAAACGCGAAATTAACATCCGATACCATTTAGACTTGATACATCTCAATATTTTCATCAACACAAGATCTGTTATAAAGATGGTACAAATCGGACCATTTCTTCTAGTACCTCCCCACATAGGGTTCAAGATTTTTGAAAAACAAACCGCTCAAAGGAAGCGAAATAAGCATCCAACACCCTTCAAATTTCACAAATACAAATATTTCTGCTAACACAAGATCTATTGTGGAGATGATATATATCTGGTACATCACCCACAAAGGGGCACTATTTTCAATACTTATATATGTTATAACTTGCGATTCTTTACAACTAAACATTTCTCTTAATCAGAGATCTAATATGAATATGTAATTTATCGGAATTTATGATTTCGCATATAATTGAATATAAATGTATTTTTATCTGTATTAGATGAAGTATGAAAATGGAATACTTCGGTCCGCTATATCTGTTACCTCAAGCATATTTTCACATTTCCAAAAAAAAAAATTGCATATATCCCACATAAAGTACAGGAATTAGTCGATATAGTCCACATCTGTGTTGTTGTATTCAATATTGGACAACTTGTGGTCAATATTGGAGAACTGCTTCGGAACCTCCCCCTTAAAGGTCAACCGTATGAATAATTATAAGTCAAGGATGGGGGTATAAATCTGTCGGCAAAAACCGACTGATATTATTTTACTTGTTTTTTTTTTTTCAAAAATTTGGTCCACACTGCTCAATCTTGCAGATCCATGGCAAAACTGGTTAATATTTTTAATCCGCGCCCTGCAATGTACTTTTCTTCCAATCTATGATGCATACACAAAACTTACCTAATATATTTTATTTATTTATTTATTGTTTTTCAATTTCAGAATAAGGATGTATCCGTCGATACATATTTGAACAATATAATTGTAGCTATTGTGGGTTTGGTTGGTTACTGCTTTGCCGGGCTAATTGTGCGGGCCCTGGGACCAAAACGTTTATTGAGTGAGTAAATAATAAAACTATTAAGTACATGATTTAAAATATTTTCCATTTTTTTCTTTCAGCTTATGGACTGCTAATATCTGGAATATTGGGTTTCAGTCTGTTTTGGTCTAACAGCGGCCTAACCACATTGATAATATCTGCCTTGTTTATAACCGTTTGCAGTATATCAACCTCATCGCTGTTGGGTATGGTTGTGGCCATATTTCCCACAACATTAAGGTAAACATACATGGCTCGCTTTTCGTAAAAGAAATTTGTAACAAATAATTTGGAAATTCTTTTTGCAGAACAATGATTGTGGCCATAGCCATGATGTTTGGACGGTTGGGTGCCTTGTCGGGTAATTTAATGTTTCCCGTGCTGGTGGAAATCGGCTGTGTTCCGCCATTTATAATGGTTGGCGTGGTGTTGATATGTATGTTGCCTCATATTTGCGATTCCAAATTTAGTTTTGTAATATTCGATTTTTTTCATTACAGTTTCAAGTGCCTTATCCTGCATATTACCGAAGAAAACAACCTTTACATAGGACTCTTATTAGTTAAATTGAAATTAGAACAAAGTACTTAATCTATATACATACGGTATTTTAGAATAATTATAGTCATTGTTTGGAGGAGGATTGTGGAGTTCAGTTCATGTGAATTGTTTACGATTTGAAATGTTGAACAAATTAACTCAAATGATAATCTCTAGAAAGTGATATAATTTTATTTTTGTCCGCTGGAAATTGAGAGATCTAATTCGAGTCGTAAACCTTGCGATGGTTGTTGTCATATATAATTTGAATGTGATTTTTTATCTTATCATAGTAGATCATAAAATTGTATTTTTTTATAAAATTATTTTATAAAACTATGTAAATAAAGATTTAATAATTTAAGAAATATATAGACATAGATGATTTCTTTCAATGTGGCTAAATGGATAAATATTGAAATACCGAATAACGGGAGGTACCGTTATATGGAGCGCCCATCAGAGCTAGAATCCATTACGTACTACAATTACCAATATTTAAACCAATAAAAGAAAAAACCATCCATTTGGTACAAATTTGGCATTTTTCAAAAAAAAATCCGTTAAAAATTCTGCTAAAATCTTGAAAATACCGAATGCAGCCGTATATTAGGGTCTATATGACGACGTGGAATTGCATAGGCAACTTTTTTCATTAGCTATTACAATATTCAAATGCGAAACTTGCAAAAAAATGTTTTTATAATGTAGCTAAAATCATCAAAATACCGAATATAGGGAGGTACCAAGGAGGTTATAAAACGTGGACCTGCAAAGAAAATTTTCTGGCATAGGCTGTACTATCCATTACGCACTTCAAATACTAAATTTGAAATAGTTCCGGTAAATAATGTCGCTAAAATCATCAAAATACCGAATATCAGGGGGTACCGTTATATGAGGGCTATACGAAGACGAGGATCTGAACAGACAATTTTCTGTCTTAGGCTGTAGTATCCATTTCGAACTTCAAATACCAATTCCGCTGAATAATGTCGCTTAAATCACAAAAATGCCGAAAATAAGGAGGTACAGTTAGGTGGGGGCTATACCAAAACGTAGACTTACATGGCCCATTTTCAATACCAAAAGTCCTCCAGATATAATATGCATTTGAGTAAAATTTTATCAACCTACTTCATTTCGTTCGGAAGCTAGAGTGATTTCCACAGATGGACAGACGGACGGACATCGCTAAATCGACATCGAATTTTATGTTGCTCAAAAATATATATACTTTGTGTGGTCTAAAATGTATATTTCGAGGTGTTACAAACGGTATAACAAACTTCATATACCCTCCATACTATGGTGGAGGGTATAATAAAGGCGAGCTCGCAGTCAAAATACCTTGAAGTGGCCGACATATTAAAACCACCTCTTTGTCATTTTAACAGAGCATTAGAACTACTCTTCAAGGAGAAAGCCAAGTGTGCTGGTACAATGAACCACGTATCACCGTGGTACCAAAACAAATCTGGCCAGATATCTCCTCGCGTTACGGATAACAATATGATCTCAATTTTGGGATACTAACGGGCCACCTCATCATCTGATCAAAACCGTCCAAATGGGATAACATCAGGCTGAGTGAGAATCTTTGAGAGAATGAAACGATCAAACACCTTTTATGCCATTGTCCTGCCCTTCACATTGTAAGAGGCTGACTTAAGACCAAATTGGTCATCCTTCAAATCGCTAAAATTTGGAATTTGATTTAAATTTTGGAAGTTGATTTTGTTGAAAATTGGGGCCAAAACCTCTAAAGTCCCCAAATATGGAGCCAAAACAAAAAAGGGTTCAACGAGGAAAACTTTTGCAGAGAAACTGAAATGTAATATTGCAACGAATTTTCTTGGGAATTGAGAAAGAAACCGTCTTCTAGGAAAACAGTATTCTAGAATTAATATCAATGCCTTCGTACATGCTTGCTGTATCGTGCTTTATCAGCTGTCGGGCATAGAATTTTGCGCTAGCCATGAATAAAAACACTTTTTGGGATCTCCGAAGAATATTTCGAGATATTTGCCTTCTATGACCTTCATTTTATGGCGAAAATTATAAAAAATATCAGCCACATTTTGTTTAAAACCGTAAATATCCCATGTAGATTGAATGGATATGTTTTATAAATTTCTACTTAAGCTGCAGCAAAGCAGCTTTGCTAACTTCACCTAGTTTAATTTTTCTTTAACATCTTAAATTATATGTTTTCCACTTTTCTGCTTTTAAAGAAACACTTTAATTGATTATCAAAATTTTCATTTTTAATTATCAGAGAAATAGCTCAATTTCAACAATACATATTTTCCAAATGCTATATATTTTTTCGCATGTTACAAGTCTAGAGCCAGAGATATAAATATCCAAACTTGATACATCATTTGACTACTTTCATTGAAATGTTTTGTTGCCTAGCTTGATTATTGCCATTTCTTGACTATCATCTATTATGTATTTTACATTAAATCTTTATACACAATTTATATTATTATTATTAGTTTTAAAAAAATATTGTTTTCAGTACTTGAACTTACACTTGCAATTATGGCAAGTTTTGTTGTTATTGTTTCGGTTTTTTTTTTTTCTTTAATATAGAAATATATCTAAATAAAAATAATAAAATTAATAAAAAATGGTAGTTAACCTACAGCTACTAATAACTAACGTCAGAACATAAGCCCAACCACACCTGAGGTTATTCCATGTTATCAATGACACTGCACATAATACGATCCAATTGATGGACAGCATCAGATTTGCTGTTATTACTCGCATCCTGTGAATCGACTTCCATTTTAATATCACTCTCACTCATATCGTCATCTGTGATTTCGGGCAGGTCACTAAAAGCCGTATTCACAATGTCACAGACACGTTCCAAATGTTTTTCGAAACGTGTTGTGGTCTCCACACGTTGGCGTTTTTGTGTTTCCATCATCACCCGTAGGGTTTCGCGTGCCTGATGTGGTCGAAATTCATTTAACAAATGATGCATATGGACAAACAATAAACTAAGGTCATCAATCTGAAGAAGAGAATATAAAAAATTATGAAGATAAAATCTTGGAAATATTATTACAGTAAACCACATACCTTCTCTGTTCGTCGCGGACTATCCGGATATTGTATTAACAAATCTATAAGATCCAAAAAGTTTACAAACAGTGAATGATTTAATTTCTTCAATTCTTTTCTTCTATCAAAATGCAGAGGTATGAGTCGTTTGATGTTCTGTGATTCCAATGAACGTATCATTTCCTCATTGTTATACTGAATGCCGAACATACTGTAGCCATCTGGAATGGGTGGTGGTGGTCTTGGTGCCCTATTGCGTCTGATATTTTCCTCGGAGAAAAGATTTATATACTGGGATGGTGGTAGAGGTAGACTCATCACCTGTGACTCCTGCTGGGCCATTATTGCAGATTTATCCTTTCTTCAGCAACCTTTAATTTATTTTGTACTAATTGAGTGAATGTTTAATGTTTAAATATATTACAGCAATTGGCTTGAAGTTTAGTATATTTTCCAAATATTTCTTTAAGAATCTATCGTGAAAACAGACTTTCCTCTAAAACTAAACAAATGTCACATATCTCTTCTTCTTTCTCCATTATAAAGTAGTAATTCACGGTGAAATGATAAATATTATACACGCAGCGTAAGGCGCAAAGGTGAATAGCCGGGAAATGTTATGTTTACATCGAAAGATTTTACTTCAAAAAAATTCAAAGAAAATTGTTATAAACGGCTTTATTTGATTAGATTTAAAGTACAAAGCTAGACTTTTTTATGGCTGTATCATGGAAGAAGAATACAGGTTGGCGCATCGACACAGGTGATGAGACAAAGAACTGTCAAGCTAATTTTTAAATTGAAAATTAAGAATGAAAAACGCATATTATAATAACCTCCGATTGACGTCGTATAAGAAAACATATAAAAATATGCTTATATATGAAAAATCATTTTAAAATTTTTGACATATCAATGTCAAAATTGTTGCATCTACCTATATTCTTCTACCACGGGCTGTATCAAAAGTTATAAAGATACTACGACTCATGGTAGAAGAATAAAGGTAGACGCATCAACCCAGCTGCTGGGACAATGCAAATTCGATCTAATGAAGATAAAATTGTTACTCAAATTTTATTGAGAAAGTTGATACATAAAATGTATGTACCATTAAGAAAACCTAATCCTTTTTTACATCAACTCAAAATGTATAAAAATTATGATATAATAATTACAAGGATGGGCAGCATGGTTATTTTGTGAAATGAAATGTTTGTGGCAAATATTCAGAGTGGTTAAAGGTATTACATAGTCGGCTCCATCCATGATTAGCCCAACATGTGTCGCATAAATTAAGTATTTTTACCGAAGGTCGGCCTTTTTATCCTGATTAAAACAACATAGACTTTTAAGGGAGAAACACATACTACCTGTGACACTGAGCCCGGAAGAATCCCAAATCGCAGTCTTTTCTTCATTATTTCTAAACTTTGGTTCGCTTAGCCCGTTCGGACATGTCGTAGCGGAAAAAACTCAAGGGCAGAATGGCTGCAACCTAAACAATAAATATATTAAGAAAAACTTGGGTTCAAGTTAGGAGTGTTGGACAAATTCCAGAAGAGAATATTTCAAGTCTCATTCGAAGGACGGCTACTTAAAAAGAGTATCAAATTTTAAAAAAACAATAGCACATAGGGTGTGCATAGATTGAAATATATTGATTAACGGTTTCAAAATAAATTCTAATATTTGCACAAATTCTCGATCAAATGTGAAAAGGGACAATATCGACCCAATTCTTCCAGAACCTCCATTTGTATTTACATTCTGTACATCCCAATATTTCTACTAACAAAAGATCGGATATGAAGAACGGAGAGAACGGACCACACTTGGTGGTACCTTCCCCACGGGTCAAAATTCTGAATAACATGGACGCCCATTATTTAATGGCATACCCTAAAATATCCATCAATACAGGATATAGTATGGAAATGGGATACATCGGTCCTTCTGGTTCCGCTCCCAACATTTTGAATAATCATATATCATATAAAATGTGGAGAGGAGTTGTTTTCAAATTTCACACATCCCAATATTTTTGCCAACATGAGATCTGGTATAAAGAAGGGGTCACTTCCTGTTGTACCTTCATCACAACGGGTAAAAATTTTGTTAACCCATAAACCTCACAAAATGTAAAATAATAATTCTATACTTTTTTAACTTTGCTTATCCCAGTACGTCTGCATATACAAAATCTGATGTAAAGATGGAATGCAGCTCCGTTTGGAAAAATTTACAATGCCTGTCACAAAAATTATAATAGTCACATGCATGAAACCATTATTTACGGTCTTCTTCGGATTTGACAAGTTGGAGTTGACAAACAGTTTGTATGCATTTACACATAACACTTAACCGAACCAAAATTACGGTTCGAGCCGCCTGAAAACCTTAAATCGACAAGTGGTTTGCAGCCCTGGTTTTTTCATCGCATTCACTTTTGTATCGTCCATGGTAAAGTTAAAAAGGTAAAATCATTTCAAATAAGCATTCCAAAATCTGAATTTTCTGTAATTTATCTTGTCAAATTTCACTGCACAGAAAACCTGTTCCCATCTCAGATATGTGTATATACAAAGGATTTATAAATATACATTTTGACAATGAGATGTTGTCTAATGAATACTTTTAAATTGTAAATTGATTGCATGACTTTACCTTTTTAATTCTACCATGGTATCGCCATGCAGAAGAGGCTCTGAATTTTCAAAATCGCATTTATATTCATCAAAATAATTAGTTTTGTCTGAAATGAGTTTAAAGCTTAAAATCTTAAAAAAACACATTTTAAATGTTTGATTTTATTTCAATGTCACCGAAATTTTATCCATGGTTTATCTTTTTGAATATAAATGGTGTGAATAAATATGGTGTGAGATGTACAAAAATATTTCAAATTCTCTCGTGCAGGTCTTTGATAGTAAAAGGCTTTAGATTTATGTCTACCAGTTACATTAAATCCAACATTCAACCACCTGTTTGCTCTTCAAGTCAATTTCTTAGAAAACCGGATAACTATCGTCATTAATATTCCAATAGGATATGCACTTTTAGGTAGAAAGGCATACAAAACTGGTTTCTCACCACAAACCGAAGCCCAGAGTTGTATTTCCAAACAAACACGTGAAAACATAAGATGGCATCTCTAAACCACGAAGTAGCGAGTAGTTCATAGCAGGACGTGAACGAGTAAATGTGTGTGGAAAAAATAAACCCCTGAATACATGAATATGAATCAAAACAGAAAGAAAAATGTTGTGTGTTTTTAGTGTAAATGATTTATTTCGATTTGAAAGTGAAAATTTGTCAATGAAAAACAGCAGAATAATAAAGAAAAATGTAGAGGCGATAAAAACAAAATAAATAAATATTAAATGGAATAGGGGAAACAAAGCTGCATTTACATTTGAGTGGGCTCTGCACTAACACCAACATGAAAAAGGGGCGAAATAATGGAATTATAAAAGAATGATAAAAAATAATTAAGTAAATATACAACAGCAGAGCTCTAAAGCTAGAAAGCAATACTAAATAATTGGTTAAAATAACATGGATATGAAAATCGTATTGTAAATTAAAACGGCGGGATTATATTGAGAAAACAAAGTGGACATTAAAGGAAGATTTTTGGCGGAACTACAAGAAGATAATAATGGGTAAGATTGTTAAGTTAAATACATTAAATTCACCTTTGATTACAAGCATTGGATTCCATGCTTTTTCTCCCAGCCCATGGGGTACAGTCCAACAAATGCACAACACCGTAACCAACCATACCTACATACAAACAAACACATTATAACAATATAAACAGTGCGTGTTTGGCGGTGAGTGTGTGTGTGCATGTGTGTTCATTATGGCCCTATACCTCCTCAACGATAATAATGATGATGACGACGAATAAACTAGCTTTACAACATTGTATTTACATTGTAAACTTTACAACTAATCTCTCTCCCTATGTTTATCAATGTGTTTTCTATTTCATTTTGATTTTGTACAACAGCTAACACTAGCAGTAATAACCTATTGAACGACATTTTGCGGTCGGCAGATAAGCATCCCAATTCAAAAGTATCAAAGCTAATTCGTACCGTGGAAGAGGATCCATCCCAAAAGAATATTGTATTATTATTGATAGAATTATCAGAACATGCCGAATATTCAACAGATTTCAATATTTCTCTAAGATATGTAAGTGTATGAGCGGCGCGCCATACATGTGCACGCCGCCGCCATCCAATGAAATCATCATTCCACCGATTAATATTCATTTTTTTGTGCTTTCTTTCCATCATTTCTTTCTTTTTTTTAGTATTTGGACTTATTTGAAAGACTTGGCATTGATCGTGATCTAATTCTGAATGAAGCCGGTCTCTTATTAGTTAACTCTTCTAAAATATATTCGAAACGTGTTGATTACGTTCAGAGCTTGGTCGAGCGACAAATATTAACATTATCAAATGCTGATCAGGAAATACAACAACAAAAGGAACAGTAAGTTGATTTGTTTGTTTGTGTGTGAACGTTGTTTTTTGTTGTTTTCTTTTTGTATACAATAATATAGTATTATCACCGGCTTTTCTTTGGAATGTATTTTATTATCATTATTTTGTTTATGTTTTTATATTTATGAGGTTTTTTTGTTATAAGAGGACATTACGAGTACTAAGTCATCGAAGAAATTTGGCCAGATGGTTCTGTAGGATGTGAACTCAAAACGACCGGGCAAAGTTTTGATTTTAAGCCGGCTATGGAATGCAACGTGCATCCTAAGTGTTGGTTTCTTTTTTTTATGGTAAATCATCGTATTATGGTATAGTCTAAATGGGCTTTAATATAGGAACGTCTAAGGAGTTTTACCTTAGTGCATCAAAGTTCCACACTCCTACCCCAGAACTTTCTAACCTAGTCTGAAAGTTGAACTAGGCCCCGTTAGGTTCGTCAATGAACGCGAAAAGTTGTAGACAGGAACTGAATCGATCTACCATGCTAAACCAATGCCTTTTTTGACTTTTTAAAAATTAGATAAAAATAAGTGTACAACAGAAATGTAAAGGCCAATATTTAGAAATGTATGGACTTCTCCGAAAAGTAATATATATCATTGTGCTTACAACACTGAAGGTGCAAAAATGTTCACGGTCCAACCCTCTCTTCTCTTACATCAACATACTCATATGTTTTTATACCCTCCACCTTGAAAAGAAGGGTATATTAATATTGTCATTCCGTTTGTAAATCCCTAAATATTCGTCGTAGAACCCATAACATGTATGTACAAATATATACATATTCATGATCAGCATAAAATTCTAAGTCGATTTAAAGAAGTTCGTCTGTCTGTCTGTTGAAATCACGATAAAGCCGACATTATTTGACGTAGAGCTTCAAAATTTGGCAGAACAATTTTTATTGTGTCTAGCATGGTTGGTATTAAAAATGAGATATGTCGGACCACGTTTTTGTATAGCCTCCATGTAACGGTACCTCCCGATTTTTTTGTATTTTGATGATTTTTGCCACATTTTTCAACGGATTTGTCCAAATCTTCGTATTTTATAGGCCATGATGGATTCTAGCTCCGGTGGCGAAGCATTGTATATATAGGTCCACGTTTTTGTATAGGCCCCATGTATCGGTTCCTCCCAATATACGGAATTTTGATGATTTTTTGCCACATTTTTTCACGGATTTGTCTAAAATACTATCTCCGGTGGCGAAACATTTCATGTATGGGTCCACGTTTTTATATAGCCCCCATATAACGGTACCTTCCGATCGGTATTCTGATTATTTTTACCACAATTTTCCATGGATTTGTCTAAAAAATTGTATTTGTAGTTCATAATAGGTTCTAGTTCCAGCGGCAGAACATTGAATATTTAAGTCCACGTTTTCCTACAGCGCACATAAAACTATACCCACTGATATTCCGTATTTTGATAATCCTAATCACATTTACCGACGAAAATGTTTCAAATTTGGTAGATGACAATCCTTGAAGTATAAAATTGTCTATAGAGGTTCCCGTTTTGGTTTGTCCCCCATACAACGTCCTCACCTACTTTATGGGTGAGAAAATGTTTCAAATTTGGTAGATGACAATCCTTGAAGTATAAAATTGTCTATAGAGGTTCCCGTTTTGGTTTGGCCCCCATACAACGTCCTCACCCACTTTATGGCTTTTGAAAAGTTTAACAGCATTATCCAAACTGTCTTACTGGTATTTGTAGTTTAAAGTGGAACACGTTTGAATTTGGATACTTTTATTTACAAATGTCTTTACCCAAAGGTGGAAGGTATTGTGGTGTGGAAAAAGTTTCCTTGTTAACCATTTGTAAATTGATCTGTGGTCAATACTGGTGTTAGGGAATGCAAACGTATTCAAAGTTGTGAAAACATGGCCTTGAGAACTGACTCCTGAATCCATAGTAGTTGAGGTGCAGAAAATGATCTCTTGTTAATCTTTTTTAAATTGATCTACGATCAATACTGGTTTGAGCCAAGGGAATGTATTTAGAGTTGTAAAACCAACGCATTGAGAGCTAACTTTGGTCGACACATCTGTATAGATCTTTTGGTCGAGAAAGAAAAGTTTTACGCAGTTTCTCCCTAACATCTGCACTTAGACGAATGTCTGTTGCCATGGCTAGATCTAGATTGTGCCACCAACTCAGTTTCTTTTTCAACATGGAATTAAAAACCTCTCGGCATTTCTTCGACTGTCCAGCTTAGCCTGCTCAAATATCTTTAGTATAACTTTTTTAATGTCGTTTTGCTTTCACCTGCAAACGTTCCGCAGATTATCATTATTCCCGAAAAAATCCAAAAACATCTATAGAATAAAAATTCGCTATTTTATTTCTTCTTTCAGAAATGAAAAAGAAGCTTCCGAAGAAACCCCTGCCTCACAAGAAAAACCCAAACGTGGTCGTAAACGAGCCCTCGATGCTCCCACTGACCCTTATGAAGTTCAACTGGAACCGAAAAAATTCAAAAAGATGACCGAGGAGAAACGTTTTGCTACACCGAAAACTCCAACAAAAACAAAATCATTACCGCGAAACATTGAAATGGAACAGCAAATACATCCGGCCAGCTGGTTGCATGCAACCATCTATGATTTGGAAAATGAAGAGGAAGTCGACACCAAAAGAAATTACAAATTATTTACATATCACATTGAACATCGTTACAATACGCTGGTGCCCGACATCAATTTCCGTTTGCATTTCAAAGTTAAAGACTATCTGGATGCTCAAGCCGAAGAAGATGCCGATGATGTGGACAGTGCAGAATGTCAGAGGAATCAAGAGTGGCCACCATTATCGGAGGAATATGTACAAAAGTATATCAATTTAGAAAATCGTGTATTGCAATTGGAGTTGGATCCAACGTGGAAGAGTCCCAAAAGAAATGTGGAAACAATGGAAATGCCAATTGGCATGAATGATTTAAATACCAGCAATATCGCCAACGATGTTTCGAGTATCAATGATTCTGGCATGGGTACAAGTATTTTGGAAAGTACGACAAACACAAGTCGATTTGATAACACCACTGCCAGTCATGAAACATCGCTCAACAATACTTCTTTGGGGGATTTGGAGGCTGATAAAACAGTAGATACCACCCAGTTACAGGAGAATGAATCTGGTCTGGGAGAAAGTTTATTGGATCAAACAAATAATTGCAATGAAACTATATCAGATGCAGAAAAAAGCCACAATGAGGAGGCAAATACTTCAGTCGCTGAAGAAAATGAAAATACATTGTCGCAAGATAAGCCTGAAACGGGAGAAGAAGCCACCGCCAACAAAGAGAGTGAAACAGAAAAGGAGAAAGCGAACGATGAAACGGCTACTACTACTGAGGATGATGCCATGGGTACAAATGGTGAAACTACAAATGATGCAGAGGCTACGGAAGAAAAATCTACCACAACTGTTACATTAAGTAATGGCGTCGTTACAGCTGAAGATAAACATGATTGCTCGGAAACAGCGGAAAAGCAATTATCCAATGAAGGCAATCCAGTTGAAAACATCGACAACTCCTTAATTAACCAAGAGGAGGGTGACAAAAATGAAAACCAAGCAGGAACACCAAGTGCGGAAGCAGAGAAAGACACAACCACAAATACGGAAGACAATGTGCAAACTTCTGGTGAGGACTCAGCAAAAGACAAAGAAGGTTTCATTGAATTGGAAGTTCATGTCATGGATGACAACGACAATGGTAAATTGCAAAAATCCATTTTCCTCTCCTTTAAGAATTTTATTTAATTTGTTGAATTATTTTTTCTTTTCTTCAGAACCCTCGGAACGTTTGCAAATACAAATTCCCACCACTGACGATGAAGGTGTACATTTATCCGATGTATACGAAGGAGATTTACATATGCTAACACCCAACTTGCCGGATGCAATGAACAAGGACGTAACCATATATATGGACGATAAGTTACGGCAAGCTCTCGAAATGCCCGACGGTGTAATGGACAATTTTTCTCAAGAAACCTATACAGTGCCTGTGATAGATCAACCGAAAGAGTATCCACTTGTTATGAATATTTTCAAATTACCATCGAAACTTGTGAGAAGAAAAGTTCTCTTTAAACTGGGACCTGATATGGATTTATATTTAAAAGCGGTAAGCAAAGGTTAGAGTCTCTATAGATCAACGGATATCATTAACTATTTGATTTTCTGCTTTTAGCGCTCAATGAAACTATCAAGACCCCCGCCCAACCCTCGAGAATACAAGCTATGCAAAAATCAGTTGCAGGCATTTTCACTTAATAACACAGATATGTCTGGTATTCTAGACACTCCACCGCACAGTCCTGGTCATTACTCCGAGTTTTGTGGCTTTACCGACGATGAACGGGACGACTTTGATGATGAGACTACATGTACAGATTTTTGTGGTTTTACAGAGGATGAGCAACATAAATTGGTAATAAGTCCGCATCGTTTAAGTCGTGATTCTGGTGTGGGTGTTGATGCCTCAATTTTAACTCCAGAAAAAGAAAACCTGGCAACAATTTTTGAAGAAAATCCCGCCCCAGATGTAGATAGTTGTAAATTGAATTTGAAAAGTGCCTTAGAAAAAGAAACTACAGAAGATATACTTAATGAGTTATCGGATAGCATAAGATCGGCCTTGGAGGCTGAAATAGAAAATGAAACAACAGAAAATAATAAGGAATCTGAGAGTGCATCATCGGAGGTAAACGCAGAAAAGCCTGGCGAGGAAACAGAAAAGTCAACAATACCTTTAGAAGAATCGGGGGAAAATAAAAGTACTTCTGCAGAAGGGGAAATATGTGACAACGCCGGGGAGAATTCTACGGAAAACAATCAAGAAGAGTGTGAAACGATATCAAGCAATAAAGATGTGCAATCGTCTGCCGTTGAGGAAACTACAAACATCCCAGACAAACCTAGTGATGGAGAATGTGATAAAACAAATACTGAAGAAAATAAGGAATGTCAAGAAGGAACAACTGAAACAGTTTCAACAGCAAATGAATCGCACGTTCAAGATGAAACTATTCCCGGCGAACAAGAAAATACTTCCTTTGTGGCTGAAGGCAATGATGTAGTAGATTCTGTTGCTCCAGAATTAGAGCAAAGTATGACCGGCGATGAAAGTCAGGAAGATAATGCTTTATTCGATTTGGATTTACAGGGTACAAAAACCAAGGTATGTATTTAATATATATTCTTTTTAACATTCTGTCAGAACAAATGGTGAAAAAACGGTTGTCATTAGAGTGGCATATTACCAAGATAACTGCGTCCTGCTATCATTCGAAGACCTTTCACAAATCAAGTGTCTAAGACGCTGATGCTGTTCTGTTTCCAGAATCTGTGCATGTAGTTTTTTTAAAGATTCCGAAAGAGGAGTCTTTTTACTTACGATTGTTCCTCTGTTCACAATGGCTGAGATAAAATTAAATCAGGGTCAGGTATGTGGGTTTAATGAATTCACGCAATCAAGAATGACTCTCGATTTAATGGCACTTGGCTCGATAGCTTTAACCAATGACCATTTTTATACACTCCACCATAGTATGATGGGTATATTAACCTCGAAATATACATTTTAGACCCATTTTAAGTATTTATATTTTTTATATACATTTTTGTATTTATATTCTTCATCAGCATTAAATTCTATGTCGATTTAGCGATGTTCGTCCGTCTGTGGAAATCACTCTAGCTTCCGAACGAAATGAAGTAAGGTTGATACAATTTTACTCAAATGTATATTATGCCTGGAAGGCTTTTTGGTATTGAAAATGGGCCACGTAGGTCCACGTTTGGGTATAGTCTACATATAACGGTACCTCCCTATTTTCGGTTTTTTGGTGATTTAAGCGACATTATTCACCGGAATTGTTTCAAATTTGGTATTTGAAGTTCGTAATGGATACTATAGCCTAACACAGAAAATTGTCTGTGCAGATCCACGTATTTGTATAGCCCTCATATAACGGTACCTCCCAAAATTCGGGTTTTTATGTTTTTTTTTTTTAATATTATTCAACGGAATTGTTTCAAAATTTGGTATTTGAAGTTCGCAATGGATACTACAGCCTAAGACAGAAAATTGTCTGTGCTGGTCCACACCTTCGTATAGTCGTAATTCGTTCCAAGTGGTGGAGTTCGGCCCGGCCAAACTTACACCTTTTTTACTTGTTTTTATTTAGTTTGTTGCTTCTTCCAAGTGGGGAAGATCTCAACGACATCTGGAGTGCGCTGAATTCTGGGAGATATCATTCCACATATATCAGAAACTCCCTGGTTCACCCTATGGGGTTTGGACTTCCACCTACGACTGGGGTTCACACATATATGGATGATAATCCAACATTTCACACTTGTCCTTAAATTCAATTTTCCAAATTTCAATTTTGTAAATAACACGTAACTTTGAAATATGTAATAAACATGTCCTTTTATCCTTTCCTTTTAGATACAACAATGGCACGAACATCTTCGACCAATTTTGGCCAAATCAAGAGAACGCCATCACTTTGATGTTTTCCAATTGGGTACCGAAATAATTGACACAATACAATCAACCAATTGCGATGTGGCAAAGGAATCCACCTCCCTAAAACCAGAGGCAAGCTTTGAGGACATTATGGATAATAAGGATCGATCATATGTATCACGGTACTTCCTATCAACATTGCTACTGGCTAATCAAAGTAATGTTGATATTATGGTGAAAAATAAATCAAGTGAAAATCCTTCATCATGGTCGGATATTAAATTGAAGCTGTTAAGTACAAAACGTCACACTGTTGCAATAGAAGATAATATTGGCATGATTAGCGCTAGCAATAAACGTAAATCGGAAACACCAGTCGTGGGAGAACAAGGACCACAACAATTAGCGAAAAAGAAAGTCAAGACAAAATCCCGGAAGATCGAATCTGAAGAAGAGGAAGAATTTGATGATCACGATAACGATGAAGATGAACCTTTGGTTAAGCTGAAAACAACGCCGGCAAAACGTCGATCTAGAGAATCTCCAAATAGCCCGCATGAAAAGAAATTCAAAGGACTTACATCGCCGGCGTCAGCAAGAACTGTGGAATCGAGCACACCCCAACAACCATCGAAACCCAAGGAAATGCTAATAATTAGCCAAGAAATCTTATCACCAATCACCACAGAACTACCAACCACCAGCGGGCGAGCTATGGCGCAACATCAAGTAAATTTAAATAATATACGTGTTAAGTTACAGCCCATCGAGAAAATACCCCAGCAGGGAGATGACTTTGATTCGGGTATTTTCTCTTTGGATGAAGTCTCATCCATCTCTGGATGATAATAGAAGAAGCTTAGTTTTTCATTTCTACTTATATGTTTATAATTTATGTTTAATTAGCTTGTAATTTGGCAAAATATTTCGTATGTATGTGTGTGTGGTACAAATAGTTTTAATTTTTCTTATATATAATTTTTATGTCTATGCACAGGCTATTAACGTTTCAAAGAATTATTTGCGATCCAAGTTTTTGCGGACACATGCATTTTATGGGCCACAACTGAAAGGTCCCTTGTGGGTAGTCCGTAAAAACAAGCATTTATTGCAAAACCGTTATGGTCTGTATATCATAAGTTATTATACGTTTAGTTTAAATGTTTTTTTTTTACTTAGATTTTATGCAAAGCAATTCATTTGCCTTCATTATATTGTACAAAACAGGTTTAACGTTTAGTAGTAATTTCTTTCGTCTTAAGTTTTTTTTATTCGATGTTAATTTTAAGTTTTTCAATAGCTCTATAGTTTTTTAATCTATGTGTCGTTATATTTTTTTAATATACACATGTATTAACATTTTTTAATTTGACCCTGTGTGTATGTGCAATGAAATGTATTTTTAAACACGTTGTGACCCCCATTAAAAAGTTTTTAGAAAAGGAAAGAGACCAAAAAATATATGGATGTATAGAAACAATAACAAGGACGCAAAAGCCATAATCGGGCAAGGCCGACCATGTGATGTCTTACTCATCCAAAATTGAGTTTGACAGCTACCCCCAATCGTAGACCTTTCAGTTCATTTTGACCCTCCTAAAAAGTTTTTAGAAAAGGAAAGAGACCAAAACCGATATTGATGTATAGAAAAGAGCAACAATCATGTAGACCTAAGACATTTTGCCTAGAATGATCGGATACCTCAAGATATATCCCCAGATAACTACGTTCTCATACATCACACTAATGTCATATAGGCATGCAAAAGGATTATTTTGGATTTAAATCGAAAATTTGGTGGCATTTACCCTATATTTACACCTCTGTCGTGCAAATGGGAATTCAAAACAATATTCGAAAATATAGATTTCTGTATATATGTTGCTATATCTCCGATATCTTGGTTTGCTTTGGTTTAAGAAATAGCAGATACGTGGGAGATGGCTACTCGGAGATCTATGGTCCATTGAGTTCATCCTAGAACCAAAACGTGGAGAGTGCTAGTCTCAGCGCACTCCTTGCTGCTTGGAATTGAGCTAGAATATTCAATGGCTGGAATTTTTTGTAAATTGGGGTGTGCTCTTGAGAGCCTCGGTTGGCAGTAAGGACGCGGCTCGCTGCACTGTGGTTAATTTTAACATGAGCGTTCTGGATTCAATCGCCAAATGAGAACCCCATAGGTCAGAACAAATAAAACCAAGGTCACGTACATCCTTTGTTCGATTTGTTGTCTAAGCCCACATAAATATCTCGTACCCAGATATTTAGCACACGAGTAAATATTCAGTACAACTCCATTCAGTACTGGCAGCCAAAATGTATCTATATTACGTTTTTGTTAATAGTACAAGTTCAATCTTTGAGAGTTTAATTCCAGACCATCGACAAGGGCCCAACCAGACCGCTGTACTAGGTTACTTTGTATTGGGTTTGAAATAGATGGAAGAAATCTACAACTTATCAGCACCATTACGTCATCGACATATCCGACTGCCTCTATTTGAATTTGGTCGAAACTCACAAGTACTTCATTGATCACCAGAAGCCAAAGCGGAAATGGTAGCAATTTCCCATACGGTGTCGCTCTGCTCACAGTTTTCCTAATGGAACTCTCTCCCAAGCTTGAGGATATACCAGAGGTATAGAGGACATTAGGAATCGACTTCAGCTTACATTGCTAAAAGGTCCCTCTATACCGAGAAGTTGCCAAAGTAAAATTGGAATTTTCCATATTTTTCTCAATGTATCCGAAGACTTTATGTAGGTAGTCTCCACTGACCGACCCTTGAGATAGGCGTTTTGCGATGCATTTAATCGATTTGAATGAATTTCCAGATCCAGCAAATTTGGAAAAAAGCTAATCGGTTTATAGCCTTTAGGTAATGTGTGTCTTAGTTTTGGGAATATAGGTCACCGTAACATCTTCCCAAAGAATGGGTACTAACCTCAACCTAAGACAGGCCTGATATCCGAAACCGACTCAGATGGATGTTACAACATTGCCAGTATAATGCAATCGGGACCAGGAGATTTAAATTGTTGTGGTAGATTTAAAAGAATTTCCAGGTCCAGTAAATTTTTTGAGGTATTCATTAGAAAGGAAGAGTGTCTAATCGGTCTATAGGTAATGTTTGACTTGGTTTCCCACCAGGATCAGGATATTTAAAGTATTGTGGTTGCTTATTATCCTTCCTACAAATCTAATTTTCCGATTTACAACATAGGGAGGATGTTGGTGGTAACTTACTACTAACTGCATGTTTACTACCAGGGAAGTGGATGACTGATAAGAGGTCGAGAGTCTGTAGACAAGAATTAGTCCATTCGCTTTATACCTATGGACTTGTGGTCCTTAGACAGTATATTGCAAAATCTAGCAGCATTATCCACTCCCTCTATAAACTTGTAAAAGCCAATTTAAGATCTTCGTTTAGCCTTCTTCAAACGTTAACAAGGACTCTGGCTAATAAACCTGATATTCATTGAGGCGCCCAAATGTTAACGAAGTTCCGTTAGAATACAGTCGGTACTCAGACTGGAGTACTGATTGGTGGCACAACAACCGGCGTTCTTCTTTATGTGGCGATCAGCCGAAAGGCTTTATTATCAGGCGCACAGAAAATCGCCAATCTGATATTTATTGAGGCGCCCAAATGTCAACAAAGCTCCGTTAGAATACAGTCGGTACCCTGACTGCAACACTGATTGGTCACATAACACCCAGCGTTCCTCTTTATGTGGGGATCAGCAGAGAAGTTAGGCTTTTTTCAGGGGCTCAGAAAAATCACCATGTCAGCCTAAGGATCATTGGCACTCGGGTATTTAAGCCGAAATTATCCCCTCAGTCAGCGGGTCGTCCCCGACTGCCTATTCAATTCGTAACTACCTGTACTACGCGACTGATTACAATAAGCTATGGGACTGCTAATGTTAGACAATCAATTTTGAGCAAACATATAAACATTGATAGCTTAATGTTTGTTATTGCATGACGCTTGTACTGAAGTTACGTTCGAATCGAAGATTAGCATTTCATGTTTCATTTTATATTTGCAGACGATACATGCATACATTTAGTACATACACAGTGGTCTTTACATATAGTTTAAGTTTTATTTTAGTAAGTCTTTTTCTTTGTATGTAGATTATATAATTAGAAATATGTATGTAGTATGTGTGGCAATAATTAATTTGAAATCTATTCTTAATATAATGGTCGGGTGAGATACGAAATTACACTCAAAAACTCTACACATCACAATTACTGTGTCGAAACAAGGACTCAATATCAAAACTGTAAATTACAAAGAAAATGTTTTCTTATGTATTATTATTTCAAAACAGTCAGACTATATTCCATTTTTATTAACAACAATAACAATAGGAATACATCTGACTAGTTTGAAAAAGCCCAACAACTAAACACGCCAATCCTGTTCTATTTTATCTCACAGCAAATTTCGTATCTTATTCTCAGCCATATCCAAAATTTATTAGCATATCTATTAGCAGCTTAATCTAAGTTTCAATTTTTCATTACAGATGTTAGAACAAGATAATATAAAAACCTATCAAGATCATAGAAAAAGCCCAGTTGGGGCATGTGCCTGACATTTGAGATATAACCGGCTAATAACCTGTACAATTATTTATGTAGAGTATAGACAGTATTAAGATGCTTTTAAATTGCAATATTTTGTAAATATAGTTACATAGATATAAGAAACAAATAATGTAAAGGTAAAATAATTAAATAAGTGAACCAAAAACTAAAGGAAGCTATGCTTTCTTTTATATAAGAATATTAAATATATGACCAAGTTTTTTTATTTCGACTTTGCATTTTTTAATTATTTTACCTCTTGCCATTTTTAAATGTACAAAAAAACTGACCCCCTCCTAGTGATAGAATGAAAATTGTAAAATTTACACTTAGAAATAGAATTTTTATACAAATATATATATAGTATGTATTTCTCTTTGTTAAAAGAGTACATAGAAAGAAAAAAACTAAGCAAAAATGCTAACTTTTTAGACAAACTGCAATATTTGATACATGGGCTAATAACTGAAAGCAAAATTCCCTTTAAAGAAGCCTGTATTTTAACAACTTGATTTCGAAGACTCCAAAAACGCATATTCAAATATAACAAAACCCAAGGTTATATTCATTGTAGAAATAAGAAGGTAAAGTCATGCAATCATAAGTTTACAATTTTTTTCAAAATTATTCATTTGTAAAAATTTATATTTATAAATCCATTGTTCATACACAAACCAGAGATGGGAACTTGCTTTGACATGCAGTGAAATTTGACAAGCTAAATTACAGAAAATGCAGAGATGGGAGGGATTAATTAGACTGACTTAAATGCTACAAAAATTCCACGGGTGGTTTTTTGAAGTAAAAAAATTTTAACAAAAATTTACATTTATAACGAGATTGTTCCAATATTCGGGAAAAAACACGCCCGTGGTCCAAACTAGAGAAAAACTTGAAACTAATGACACCATATTTTAAAAACTTGAAAACAAATCACAAAATCTCATTCAGATACCATTTTTTCGAGAATCTTATATAGAAATCACAGTACCACACGCACGTGATGTAAGTTATTTTTTTTTTGTATTGTTCAATTTCGTACAAAAATGTACCTTTACCATGGTACAACTATCACATAAAGAAAAACTTGGTTTCTCGTAGGGATTGTTGGACACAATCCAGAGGAAAAGGTTTCACGCTTCGCCCGAAGGCCTGCTATTTAAAAAGAGTATCAAAGTTTTTGAATACTCATAAGCCTCACAAAATACAAAATAATCATCCTATACCTTTCTCACTTCGCACATCCCAGTACGTCTGCATACACAAAATCTGATGTGAAGAAGGGATGTAACACATGGTGTAGCATTAAGTAATAAGCAGCTCTGTGTGAAAATTTTACAATGTCTGAAAACGAATAGTGGCCTTCACACAGAAATTTCCTTCTAAAAAATTGTAAGAGCCACTTGCTTGAGTTTCGTGGTCTTCTTTTCTTACAAAGAAAACACGTTCTCATATTTTCAAATTTGAAGTTAACATTTTAATTTTGAATTTATATTTATACATAAAATGTCAGTCAAAATCATTTTGACAACGAAATGGGCAATTATGAAAAAATTGTAAACCTTTGATTGCATGACTTTACCTTCATAATTCTACCATGACTACAACATTAAGACAACAAAAATAAAAGTCGACTAATGTGTGTTCACGTTCATCCAAATTTCATATAAGAGTAAACTTTTTAAAACATTGTTTATCATATTTTGATAAATTTTAAACTCCTTCAGATTAATTTGATAATTTTATGCTAAATCTACTTGAATTAATTTTTACTAAATCCATTTTTAATTCCAAGAAATATAGAGTATGAATCAAGGAACTTTTGTTATAAAACACTTCCAAAAAGTTTTACAAACATTTCTATTTATATTTCATAAAAATGACTCTTTTACTTCAAGAATGCTTGCATTGTTCCAGTACCTGCAAGAATCTACTATTTTTGCAATTTTCTTCGATATCACAAAGGGAAAATCGGTTATCGTAGTAAAAACTTTTACATTCTTAAAGTTGTGGAACCGACCAACTATTTGTCTGTTCCACAACAGCAAGAATTATTAGATTCTTGCAGGTTCTGATACAGAGCAAATATCTGTGTATATATGTGTTCGAAATTTAACAGAAAAAAGAAAATACTCTTCGATATCAAAAAATGCAGCTTCATTTGTTTTATGCATCCTCCACTTTAGCCCATGTGTTTCCACTAAAAAAAACATACATTTGGAAAGATTTTATTTGACATTTTTTGTTTTATTTATTTTGAAAGCTAAATTTTTGGTTTATAATTTCTAATTACCAGATAATTTTTTTATGTTTGTTTTTTTTTTCTCATTTTCTTTGAACTTATTTTTGTTTAATTACTTATGGTTTAATTTGTTACATTTCTGTTACATACATATGTCATATTTTGATGTCGATTCAAAAAGAAAGCAGAACAGGAACAGCAAATAGTACAATAAGTTGGTAAAAAAAAATTTCGAAAACTACAGTCATAATTATTAAAAATTAAATGCAACCATGGTACAATAAGGATGTAGAACAGCTTCGTAAAACTACAGAAATTCAGCTCTGAGGCCATACCCGCTTCCTGTCAGAATTATTCAAAAATATATGCAACAAGTTGCAGCTCTGAGGCCATGTCCGCTTCCTGTCAAAATTATTCAAAATTATATGCAACAAGTTGTTTTCAATTATTACACATTTTTAAAATTACGAAAGATGAATGAAGTGCCTGGATTTTCTTTCAAGAGTATGATCCAGAGTGTCCAATCTTTCAATTCCATGGCAAACTGGTTAATATCATCATACGCGCCCCACAATCTACGTTTCTTCCAATCATTGATTTTGAAAATATTTTGTTTTTATTTTTTAAAACAATAAATACATACACAAAACTGGCGCACTCAGAAAAAAATGGAATCAGCTGGTAGCTCTACCATATCTTTTTATTGTACCATGGATGCAACAAGGTCTTATTTATTTTGTATTTTTCCTTATTAATTTTTAAAATGAGAAAAAAATCCAAAGTGTTAATATTCCAATTCCGTGGCAAAACTGGTTAATATTTCAATTGCATTTTAAATTTTTGTATCGACATCAAATATAGACAAAGTTTCTTTCTTTTTTCTTTCTTTCAGTTGAGTTTAATTTATTATTTGTTTTAATAATTTGAGATTTTTTATAGTTTTCGTTTATTTTCCTTTCAATAGTTCTTTTTTTTACTTCAAATACAATAAAAATGGTTTTCAAGAAATGTAATCAGCTGGTAGCACTACCATTGGTCTGCTTCAGAACCGCAAGAATTTAAAAAGGTTTGTTACGATAGTCGCTATTCCCTTTATGATATCGAAAAAATGCAAAAAATCACATTCTTGCAGGTGTTGCATAATTTTTTTTAAATCTTTGCATCGACAACAAATATAGATAAAGTTTCTGTTTTTCTTTCTTTCCGTTGAGTTCAATTTTTTATTTGTTTCAATGATTTGAGTTTTTTTCATATAGTTGTTCTTTATTTTTCTTTCAATTATTCTTTTTTCACCCAAATATAATAAAAGTGGTTTTCAAAAATTCCATCACATTTTACTGTTAACTCGATTTTTTCAATCATTGTCACTTTTGTTTATACACAGCACACTGTAAAAAATAAATAATGTATATATAGATACATAAATTTAGTATATAGAAATAGTTTTGTAAAGAAAATCTCCATTATTTACATTAGTTATTAAAAAATAGCTTTAATATGATAAAAAGAGACAGAAATATTTTTATAAAAAAGTGTTATAAATCATCAAGGACTTTGTTTAAATAAAGAAATTGAAAAAATTATATAAACAATTGGTTTATTTTATTTATTCTGTACTTCCCGTGGGAAATGAAGTTGATATCAACGCCAAAGGCGATGGTTCGGAAACTTTTTTTGCGGTTAAAGAAGAGCGACTCCACGTTAGATAATATATTCGTATATTTCATGTTTCCTAAAATTGATTGCTTGAAGAGTTGAGAGATTAGGACCAACAGCTAAAAACTTTGTATTCAGGGGAATGATGTGAAAGTATTAAAATTAAATATTTTACGAACTATTCTTCTGCATTTTCAATTTGATAATCTCAATTCCAACAATGTATATTTTTGAAATTAAAATAATAATTTTATCCGGTCTTACAAAACTTAAATGTACAAAATGGGTATAATTTGAAAGCTTATGATAAAACCCCCAAAAAGAAGAAAAAGGGCCCAATAAAATTGATACCGAATTATATCTGACACCCAAAATGCTACAATTTTGCTAATACCTTTTCTGAGTCCAGAAAGGTTCTCTTCTGGATATGTTCAACCGGCTACGCGAACTAACGTTTTCTAAATTTAACAGTTGTAGGTATCCGGCCTTCGGCCCCATCATTTGACCACTTGTTGGATATCTTTCAAACGATAGTCGGTGTTGGACAAACCTCAGGGGAGAAAATCTCAAGCCCCGGCCGAAGGCCCTTCTACTTAAAAATGATTAGATAAATATTAGTGGAGAAAATATCAATTTCATCAGCACATGTGGTACCATTTTGGAAAGGCAAGAGTGTAGGCTATAATGTAGCATGTAAATCTTAATACCCCATAAGGAGCCTACTTTCGAGTTTTTAGGGGTTTTTCAAAAACTGCTGGTATAAAAATTCCGATTTTCTTGCATTATTCCGGAACCGGTTCCGGATGTTGCATACAAATTACGAAAAAATGACTTTCCCTTACTTAAGTTACAAAAACTATTGCTTTGCGACTAGGCATTCCCTTAGTTGGTGCCTTTTTCGCAGCCCTTTTGCGTTTCTGGCCAGAAACTGACGGTGACGACACAAACTCATCTAATTCTTGGTATTTCTCAAACAATGTAGAGAAATTCTCTAATCGGAGTGATAGTGAGGAAAAATCTTTTTTCATCGATGTCAATTCCGACTGCAAATCCTTTACAAAATTATAAAAGTCTGCAGAGAGTTTCCTACATTGCACACAACACCAACGAACACCAACATTATTTCTAATTGTGTCTACGACTTTTGCATTAATCCTAGCACATTTTGCATGCAATTGTTACCAACAGGTAACACACAATTCATCCTCTGCAACAATATTACACAATTCAAAAGGGCACGACATTTTTTTAATTATAATTATTTCTTTTTTAATACACAAGTTACAACTATATTTTTCAAGATTAGATCTTTATCTGGATTTTTTTATTTATTTATTTTATGCTTTAATATTACCTACCAATATGTCAATATAAGCAGTTGCGAAGTTGTCTCTCAGCCCATTGTTGGGTATGCTGTGTCTTGGTGAAACAACATGTAATGCAAGTCAAGCTCTTGCATTTTGGGCAAAAAAAGTTAGATATCATCTCACGGTAGCACACAGTCACTTTTCGAATCGCAGTATCTTTGAAAACGTACGGTAAATTATGATTGCACCAGCATATAAACCGTACCAAACTGGGACTTACTTAACTCTAACATGAGGAGGTTTTTTGAAACGGTGTGGAAGTTTTAGTCAAATTATCGATTTTTTGAACCAGGATTTATTATAAGATCCCAAAAATGCCGAAAAACTCTCATAATGTACCATTATGTTATATAAATACCTATCCAACAAGTAGTCACATGAGGGGGTTATTTGAAGCGGTTTAAAAGTTATAGTTATCGATTTTTTGCACCCGGATTTTTTATAAAACCCCAAAAAAGTCGAAAAGTACCCATTATGGGGGTCAACAAAATTGAAACCAAATTATAGCTGACAATCTTACCTTTCCAAAATGTTGCAATTTGTGCTAATACCTTTTTCTTGTCCCAGAGATATGGGTCTTTCCACCCGCATAACCCGATTCTAAACAGTTCAATAAGTCAAATAGTCAAACTATCGATTTTTTGGACCCGGATTTTTTGTAAAACTCCAAAAAGGGCCCGTTATAGGGGTCAGCAATATTGATGCCAAATTATTGCTCCATCCGCTTAACCCGACTCTAACCAGTTCATTAAAACTATGTTTTCAATAAAAAAAGGTAACCGTAACCGTCCTTGGAATTACAAAAGTTTTCTAAATTTGGAACAATATTTTCATAAAAACCCATATCTCTGGAACCGAAAAAAGTATTAGCACAAATTGTAGCATTTTGAAAAGGTAAGAGTGTCGGCTATAATTTGGCAATCATTTTTTGACACCCCCCCTAATGGGCCCTTTTTTGACTTTTTGGGGGTTTTAAAAAAATCCGGGTCCAAAAAATCGTTAATTTGACTATAACGATACCTATATTGTCTATATCGGGTAATTGGATCCGGGTCTAGTCGGGGTCTTGAACCCGGGCTTTTGGATCAGAAATCTGGCGCCCCGTTCCGTCCCCCAAGAAAAAATAGTTTCCCGAAACCGGGGTAAAAATACCTACCTCTGGAAAAAATCTAAAAGTTTTTACTAAACTAGAGTTGTTCCGTTACCTCCTGGATTATAAACATTTATGTCACCTTTTAACGGCATTTATGAATTTCATAACTGTAACACTAAGCATGACTTCCCAAAAATCTACATTATAAAGATCATTTAAGGATTAAACGCGTGGCCATAAGCGGTTTAAAAGTTATAGTACACACATCCAAATTACGTAAACGTACACACATCCAAATTACCAAAATAAATAAAAAAAAAATGGTATGTGAAACACACCATGAAGCCATATTAATATTCATATCTTCAAAAACCACACGCTGCCATCGTACCAAAACTGCATTTTTAGGTTTGGTTTTGTCTTCTATTAATCAATTCGGCAATGGCTGGCAAAGAAACGGTCAGGCCACTCGTGTTGTATTCTTAAGTTGTGACACCACCAAATATTTGAAAACACGACGATAATGCAACAGAGCGAATGCGTAGCTGGTAAATTTGGTAAAACACATATTCACACACACACACAGCCAAGAAAGTCTGTCTCCCCCAATGGTTTTTTCTACTACCTGCTGTCTGCCCTGAACGTCGCCCAATGCAATTTGATCCAAAATATTTTCTTTTGTGGATTATATAAGAGTTGCATAAAATGGTATAAGAAAACATTTTAGTCAACACCTTTGCCACTGGAAAACGAAGCAACGATGAGAAAACAACTTTTAATGGTGGTGATTTTTTCAATTTGCAACATTCGTTTTGGTAGATGAATTAAAGAACAATAATAAATGTTGAATTTAATTTGATTATACATCGATGTATTATGTATGCATTTACACAACTCGTAAAGACATCTTGAATTCTGCATGTGAACGACATCTGTATAGATTTAGTAAACATAGCAGACTATTCTGCATTAATGCATTTTCTGGTAACGTCTTCACTTGTGGAACATAAACAAATTTCATACATGGTTGCATTTTCTATCGTATTGGACTACAATTTGCAGGGTATTATAAGTTTAGGCATTCGTTTGTAACACGTGGAAATGAATCGTGTTTATTGACCGATCTATGTCAAGCGTTTTATGTGTAATTAACACTCAAAATTGCCCATTCAGAGACTGTTTATAACTTTTTGAACGGCAATGCATAGCTATTGAAAATTACAAACAAGAAAGGTTGCTCAACCCATGAGACAATAAGGAGGTAGAACAGCTTCGTAAAACTACAGAAATACAGCTCTCAGACTACGCCCACTTCCTGTCAGAATCATTCAAAATTATATACAAGTTGTTTTCATTTTATTCAAATTTTTAAAATAAGTAAAATAGCGCGAAAAATGAAAGAAATGCATTGATTTTCCTTCAAAAATATGATCCAAACTGTTCAATTTCATGGCTAAACTGGTTAATAGCTTTAATGCGGGAGTGAATCACTGGTTTTGAAAATATTTTGTTTTCATTTTTCAAACCAATAAATATATGTACAAAATTGGCAGAAGTCTGTACTATGGTTGTTTCTGCTTATCGGCAGCATCTGAATATGTAACCTTCCTCGCCGGAAGTGTAGGATTAAATGTATAACAGTTCGTGACTTTGTCTTGCAGACCGTACTGATCATGGTAGAAAAATACAGGTAGATGCATCAACGATTGGGAACATTGATATGTCAAAAATTTTAAATGTTATATCAAATATAAGAAGATTTTTTTACGTTTTCTTATACGACGTCATTCGGAGGTTGTTATAATTGTCGTTTTTCAAAAATTTTATCAATTATATAATTTTTCATTCAACAATTTAAGTTCCAAAATTGGTTTGACAGTTCATTGTCCCAGCAGCTGTGTCGATGCGTCTACCTATATTCTTCTACCATGGTACTGATGGAACCGCGTGTTCTGTGGTTAACGTGCACGAACGTGTTTGATTCCCAAGACAAAGAGAATCGGGACCCAATTATTGTTCTATATGTAAAAAGCTTGCAATATAGATTTTGTATTATGGTTTGTATTTTTTAAAATATTTTTTAAGCTTTTGGCGTATTTACCAAGCGAATCCGTAATTTCACATATCAATTTTGAAAAAGAGGAACATTATAATTTTTGTCCAGTATCTCAGAAAAAAATCCATTAATAAATAGGGGGGGGTTCTAATCAATTTTTGGAAATCTCCACGGTTATTGAATTTTTCTTTGTTTGCCGATGCCAAGATTCAAACTTGCAACAATCGGTTTTGGATTATTTTCAACCAGATAGCAATGCAGAAGGCATACTGCACGTACATATACATACATACATATTCCAAAAATGTATGTGTTGTTCAAAAATACCTTTGACACCTATAATCCCATATATCGAAACGCAAATATAGGGTATCACATATCCTACTACAATATCCAATAACTACTACAATCCACAAAACTACCTGCCCAGTGTTGATATCATTTTAGTTGTATTATTTCGTACTTACATTTGCATGGTGTTGGCCATATTGTGGATTGCATTGCATCGCTGCAGTGTTGTACAATTGAGTAGTTTTTATGTGGCTTTGATGTATAAGTATACATAAAAAAGAAATTTTGTGGTACAAGTTTTTCGACGATGTGAAAAAATATAAAAATATTAGTTAATGACGAAATAAATAACAAATTATTGGTTTTCTTTATAAAAGAAAACTTCAAAGGCCTACGATCATTGTGAAAGTTAATGAAAAAAGTGCAAAATAAATTTAATTCAATGCCTCCCTTTGTTATGTTGTACATAATTCAAGAAGAAATGGTAGACGACAACTCTTCAATACATACATACAACAGCAGCAGCATTTAATTGATTCTTTGTATAAGAAGGAGGACTGTGTGCATTTGTGTGTGTGTGTACTGTGTATATTACCAAAAAAGTTTTGCCTATATGTGTACATAGATATAAATATATACAAAGAAGAAAAAAAATGAATGCTGGATTATCCTTCTAAATGAAATCTTAAAAAATTATTAATCGGATATTAAAGAAAGCCATCATCAAAGCCCACAACTTGTTGGTGTTGCTGGTCCATATACTGATTCACCGTGTCTTCTTTTGTCTCTTGTACCGTCTTCGTATATCGGGTGTGTGTGTACGTACTTCTGCCTTGCCTGGTAAATCTGAGAACAGGTTTCGTCGTGATGTATTTGGAACATACCACACAACACTGGTGCTAAGGTCTACGACTACTACATGGTAAGTATTTTTTGGTGGTAGATGCATAATTTTTATTTTATTTATTTTTTTTGGGCAATGAATCTCTATATGTGCCCTTGTCATAATATCCATTATGGATTTCTTTAAGAAGCAAATACACTCTTTTTTGTGGTTTCAAATGCATAAATATTAAATATTCATTACATATATACATACTGATATGTTTGGTGGATGGATAGCTGGCTGGCTGTTTAGTTGGTTGAATGATTTGCCTCCTTCATATACAAAACTCCACATACATATACAGCTATTTTATAAAAATTCTTCTTTCTGCATGAAATAGGAGTCCCCACAGGTATAGTAAAATTACATTTATTCAAAGAAAAGTTTTGATAAATAGTTTTGGTGGAATTCAACAGCACATAAAAATTGTTATTGCGCTCATAGTATTTCAACATTTGAATTTGTGTTGCGAAACCACAAATAATAAGCAACCTCCACCCATTTTGTTGCAATGTAGTATCGTATAATACCTGACTTTTTGCTTCGTTGCAGTGTGCCCAAAAAAATATTAAAACTTTAAATCTGTTTTTCCGAAAATATTGAAGATGAACTACAAAATAGTTTTCTGGTTGGTGTAGTCTGAAGTACAACGAAGAAATGTTTGAACATGGTCGATATCATTACCAAAGTAGATCATGCACCGTGGCAAGACTATTTAAAGTTATAAAACACGGTATACATGCCCATTGTCACATGTTTAATGCACGTTAAAAATATTACTTTTCGAAGGTATGAAGTAAGGGCCAACCTATGTAAAGTCAAAAAATGTTAGAAAATTATACGAAAATAGGGGACGATTCTTAGCAAGAATAATTTGGTCCATAAGTCCCGAATCATTGATTCAAAAACATCTCTTGGGGCCCATGACACTAATCTGAGGTTTCATTACAGCTAAGCATATCCAATGTAGTTATCGGATCAGAAAATTGATTGATTTTCTCCATAACTACGTTAAGGGTCCTATGAAACTAATTCCACGGCATCATTAGATTTGATAAAACTCTATTCTATCCAAAATTCCCTCGCAAGCTTTGATGGAATAGGTAGTAGAATTGTCTGTTTACGCATCGGTGGAAAATTCAGCGGATGCCTTTACTAAGAAACGAAATAATCTATGAATGGAATGATGGTTAGAATAATGTTGACTCAGGTCACACGCGTATACTGACAATGTGTTCCTAAACTTTGATATAGGACAGACATTCGACTAGTAGGATCTTCTAAAAACAACCCACTGAAACTATTGAAATTCACTCGGGAAATATCGAGACATTGGGAACTACTAAAACCAACTATGAATATTGCTGGTGTAGCTCAAAGTGTAGAAGAAAATACAGGTTTGTCCATCCCAACGTATTTTGCATAAAGAATTAATTCTTAAGAACGATCATCAACAACATCGCGCCTTTGGGGATTGTTTTATTGTAATGCATAAATTCCATAATTTTCACTATGCTATTAACGTCAATAAGCAAAATTGTCCTATCTGGGGCTCGGAAAAACTGATTTAGATGGTATTGAATTTGGCAACGTTTATTTTCGATACTGCGCTGGTGGATCGGGTCCTGTCTTTCATGACATATGTGTTGGAGGTGTTCACTCCATCTCGCGAAGATTGCCACATTCTTCAAAGCGAGGAATATAAAAAGATACGCTATCTAATCAACGGGCACACTATTTATTACATGGACTGCGGAGATGAGAACACAGCTGAATGTGAACTTAGCTGAAGGCCGAAAGCAAAAATCCTGAGGACTGCAACTGTGTGCCTTCTCATGACGCCAGTGGATCATTTTCATTAGGAGACGAAGTTTCTTCCCTTACGTCAGCATAATCATATGCTTTCGTTACAGTATCTGCTTGGAATCCCTCCACCCAGGCGAGTCAGGAAGGATCTGCATGATCTAGAGAGAGGTCCAACGATATAAAATATAGAGAGCGTCTATATATATTGGAAAGCCTTTCTTTTTAATTACCCTGCCAAACCTACCCAACCTCTCTATAGAGGATTTCTAGCTACAGTCCGTAATAATAGCTGACTTCCTAAACTTGGGCATTGAAGCAGAACCCGATTAATCTTAATATATATTACTGCTACAACAACCGTTGTTCCGGTTGATCACAATTGGCAATAGCCACCCTGCGCCTTCTTCCTTTGGGATAGCGTGAGAGATAAATTCTACGCCAAAAACTCAGCGTGTATTCAAATCGTGAGGCTATCTAGGGTACAGGGCAGTCAGTTTGGGATTTGGTTATGCCAAATTTGTATGCTTGTGCTGGCCATTAGTCCGATGATGTTTTTATAAGCAAGCCTTCGTCATTTTTCACAATTTTTTTAATACTAAAATGTTACCTTATTTTGGATAACTCTATGTATACAATCATCGGAAAAATATCAAATGCCTCCATTTGTTCCGGAAATGCATAACTCTTTTATTAAAACCTGCTGGCTTTAACTCAGCATTGGAATAAAATCACAGGTGAACTGACACTATATAACAAAACAAACGTTAAGCGACCTTGTGCAATTTTGGTAGGTTCTTGAAATGAAATGGTATTGGGGTAAATTACTCAGATTGATTCTAAAAGGCATCGAAAATATTTGTGTTCATTCTTGCGCAATACGAGTTAATGCGGTTGTCCATATATCTCGTGGTTGCCTAGGTATAAATGTGTCCTGCAAAGCCATGTGTTCTCCTAAGGCTGCATTCGCGAAGTATTCTGGCAACGCGAACGAGTCAATCATGTTGTCTTTAAACTAGAGGATCCCTCTTGTTGCAACTTCGCGAACATTTACACTATCTAGCGTATACGTCTCCTTAAATATCGCTTCAGAATCATGTAAAATGAATACTTTAGTATAGTTCGACTGAAGGTTAGAATACATAAGAGGTTTTTTAGGCACAAGTTTTCGACTGACATTTTTCTTACAGAACAAAGTGGCCTCAATTGGCTTAGCCCTTCAAAAACAAAAACTGAAACATTTCAACAAAGGCCGGAAAGTGGTGGCTTTGAAAATTAAATCATCAAAATGCAGAGCAGACTGCATTTTAACCTTATCCGTAGGCCTCTTCAATAATTTTTAAATATTCCTAACGTTGAAGTTGTTACAAAGTCACAGCATAGGTCCCCAGGCCCTTAAAAAATATACTTTTCTTAAATTCCCATCCTGTTTTTTTTTTCATCTATTAAAATTAATTGAAACGTGTAGATATAGATAGATATCGGGTTCTGGTTTCACTGCATCATAATTTTGAATTTCAAATCAAATGAAGATGTATACGTACTTTGGCTCAAATTCATAAATGATGATTTACAAAAAAATGTTATGATCCATGAATTCAACGATAAACGAGAGTACTTATTTACAAAAAGGATGTCGAATTGATTACTCATTTATAAATAAAAGCATTCTTGTTTATCTTGTCTGACTTAAAGCAAAAATATGCCCAATAATTTAAATATCCGATTTATGTTTCTTTTAAGAGTGTATTTTAAATGTTGATGGTTCTGTTTCTGCAAAAAAAAAAAAAAAAAAAAAATGAGTCGTTCGTTTGTGTTAGAAACGGTATGAAGATGTTTTTAAACGGTGCGAAATTGTACTATAGAAATGGTTTCAGATTTAAATTTAATCAGAATACACGACACCCCATTGGCAAGGCTTATTGAATACATGTTTTAGGCGGACTCTTCGCCACGATTGAAGTTATTAAATAAAGTTTGCATTATGACTGTTCTAATGTATATACTAGGAATAGTTTGTAATTTCTACAAATGTCAAAAAGAAAATCTTAGATAGAAAGTTCCTCCAGTTGTAAATCTGTAGAAATAATCCATTTTTCCTTTTTTACTTATTTATTTCAAATTGGATATGCTATTATGGTAGGTGGTTGAATGAATGACACTACTAACAATCTGTCTAAGGCTTTTTGGCCTGCAAATCTCGGGAAGAAAAGCTGTCCTTCTCAATCTGTACAGTAGGCTATAAAAATGTATTCTTTTTAATTACCTTTTAATAAGTGTGAAGTACTTTTTTAAGTTTACATAAATCTTTTCTTCCGCATAAATCTTTTTGGCCATGTGGATTTCGACTTGGAAGACGAAAACTCCCAGTTATACGTTTGGTTAATTCTTTCTAACAGTTTCATAATCAATACGCAAATTTGATTTCCTGCATTATTACAACACCTTACTGAATTTGAGTACTTTATAATAAAACATGTGTTACCGTAGGAAAACTCGTGTACAACTTTTCAAATTTATGTAGGTAAATATGGTAAAAACTTGCTGGCTCTGGAACAGAGCATAAATAGCCAAATATAAAATTTTGTCAGTCTTTATTTCATTACCTATTCCATTGAAATTGCCCAACACTATTTTTATTCCTCGACAGGCTTAATATAAATATCATCACTTCGTCTATTGACTAAGGAAATAATTAATCAAAATGTTTATCTAACTATTTCATTTCGACTGCAAATTAAATGTTTCGTCGCTTTTTTTTTGTTTTGGAGTACACAATATGCCGCTTTGTTGAATTTCTTTTTTTGTTTAATAATTGGCTATACTTTGTATTGGGCACAGGGAAAATTTATAGAATAGCACAGCTGCCAAAGCAGCAGCGACAGCAGCATCCATCGGCCGACAGTGGCAGGCAGAATCAACACACAAAAAAAGGAACTTGGCGTCTGAGATTTTGTTCATTCACCTATTGATTAGTACACTCCAGTTTGTTTTTGTTATAAGTTCCACTTCAATAAATGCCATTAGTACAATAGGTTATGAGGATATGAGGTCGAGTAGAAATAAAAAAGAATATTGTGCTAAATAAAATTTATTATTGAAATAAGAAGAATTGAAGGAGACGAGTGGATGGGCCATTGAAATACAGAGAGAACAATGGCGAGGATCCAAAGATAAATGTGAAATCTAATTATGCCTTAATTGGAAATCTATCGAAATGGAATTGAAGGAGATAGGCATGAAAATTGGGTATTTTATTTTCTGTTTTAGATGGTGAAGTTCTTTATGAGAATAGCTGACTGAGTTATTAGAATGATACAGGTTTATGATCGAAACAATTTCGACTCGTTATGACATACATCGATTTGCTAAAAAGATAAAACCAAAATTAAAAAAATTATCAAAAAAATTCGTATTTTGATGGAAAAATACTAAAAATCTAGTCATCGACGGCTAAACGCCAAATTACAAGTAAAATAGTATCAGTGGGTTTTCCGACAGATGTATACCCTCAGCCTTGATATATGATTATTTAAGCTCTTGACTCTTTATGGGGGAGGTTCCGAAGCAGTTGGCCAATATTGACCAATTCGTTTCTGACCAAAGACTGATATATATTACAATGTGACAGATTTGGACTATATCGACTACTTGATATACATATCCGATATATGCAAATTTTTGGAAAATGTGGAAATATGCATTAGGTAACAGTCATACCTTACCTAATTTCAGAAAATACATATTCATATCAGATTTCTGGTTAAGAGAGATACTGTATCGCCAACTTGTTTCGCAAGTTATAACATATATAAATATTGGAATATGTGACCCTTTTGGGTGATGATGTTGTTGTAGCAGTAGTACATGTGAGTGTTTGTGTTCTGCTAATCTGGTTCCAGCTCCAGGTTTAGAAAATCGGCTACTTTAATGGGATGTAGCTAGAAATCTTTTGGAGTGAGTTGGGTAGGCTTGGCTGTGCAATTAAAGAGGTGCAGCGTATTGTGCGGGTCTATATCACACGCCGGCCAGGCGCCACGCACATCTTCATCAATTCGCACCCAATACGAATTGAGACGACAACACCATCCTGAACGTAATTGCGCTAAGACTACCCAGGTTTGTCTAGGCAGCTGGCGTTCTTCCGCTGCAATGGATGGGGGGTGGACTCCGAGGACGGAATTCACTTTATGCAGCATCCGCGACTGCATCGGTATGGATGCCTCCCAGACCCGCTTGATAGGCTTCTTGATCTAGTTGTTGAACATCCCTCTCTAGATCGTGTATGTCCTTCCTGACACGCCTGGTTGGGGGAGTTGTATCCACCATATGATGGTTGGGATTACTCTCACGGTAACACCCAAGCAGGTACTGCAACCAAAGCATATGATTATGCTGACGTAAGGGAAGGACTTTCGCTTTCTCATGTATATGGTTCACTGTGGGTGAGGTACCAAAAGGGGTTGGCAGATATATATCATCTTCACAACAGATCTTGCGTAAGCAAAAATATTTGGATGTGTAAAATTTGAAGAGAGTTTGATGCTTAATTTTTTAGCTTTCTTTGTTGTTTTTTATCAATATTGAACTCTTTGTGGGGGAAATACCAGAAGTTATGGTCCGATTTCTACCATCTTTATAAGATATCTTGTGTTCATGGAAATATTGAGATATACTATGACTGAATGGAATCGGATTTTAATTTCGTGTTTTATGAGCTTCATGGTTACTCAAAATGTTGGCCCTTTGTGGGGAAGGTACCAGAATGAGTGGACCGACATATCCCATCCTCACATCAAACTTTGGATTAATAAAAATATTGTGATGTGTGTAATTTGAAGAGAACTAGATGTTTATCTCGGCGATGTACCAGAAGAAATGGACCGATCTCTACCATATTTATAACAGATCTTGTGTTGTTTGAGATATTGTGAAGTGCCAAGTCTGAATGGAATGACAATTTCGTGATTTATTCGCTTCATGAGTATTCAAAATGTTGACCCTTTGTGGAGGAGGTACCAGAGGGAGTGGACCGATATATCACACCTTCACACCAGACATTGGGTTAATAAAAGTATTGAGATGTGCGTAATTTGAAAACAATCGGACACATACATCACATTTTATAAGAGTTATAATTGTTCAAAAATTTGACCCTTTGTGGGGAGGTACTTGATGGAGTAGACAGATATTGTTCATTATCGCTCCTGACCTAGCACTGATGCAAATATTAGGATTCGCAAAGTTGAAGCAAAATCGGATTATCCGTTCTCTTTCTGTGTAGCAAGTTATTTTCTTTGAAAATGTTAACATTTTGTGTGGGAGGTACCAGAAGGAGTGGACCGATACTTCCCATCTCCGAACTCGATTAAAGTTTGATAATAATATTACGATGTACCAAGTTTGGATTTAATCGGATACTCCCTTTGAAAGTTATTGTGCGCACCAGACGACAGAACATCGCGAACATCGCTAGATCGACTCCAAATGTCTTGAAACGGATTTGATCCAAAGAGACCGTTGTTTCGATGAGGCACGTTTCGGCCGTATCAGCCATATGGCTGAGGGTATAAAAAAAATGCTCTACACACCTTTCAACACATGTGACTTTCATTAATGTATTTTTCGTTGCACATTTCCGAACAAACACCGCTTTCCCACTCCATAAATATTTATTTAAGACATAATCTAATTAAGTATTCATAATATTAGTTTCCACGAAAACTAAAATGACTAACATATTTATTGTTTTCCCCCACCTCTTTTCTTTATAGGTACTCTAAAGAAGAATGCCGCGTGGAGGAACACACGTAGAAGATAAATGTAAAATGTTTACTTCAATGGTTTCATACTAGAAGAATAAACATAAAACTTGTGATGGAAACTCTCGAATAGCGTAATCAGGACCTTTTGCTCCCGATAACAAAATTGGAAAAATAGAACATCGCCATACAAGCTTTTAATGTTTTTACAAAAATACTCATAAAAGACAAAAACAAAACAAAACAAAAACGTCCATGCTAACACCGATTGAATGAATGAGTAAATGATTTATATAATCATGAATTCAAATATTACAAAGCTGTACGATGTTATTGATGAGAATGCAGTAAATGAATGCGATTATCTTATATTGGCATCTACAATTGTTGGGAAGGCGGCAGATAATAAAATACTCCAAACGTGTCAATGTTACTTAAAACATAATTATGCTGCGTGGGACGACGACGAGCATAAGCAGGAAGAAGAGGAGAAGACGACGAAGAAGAAGAAGGAAGAGGAAAGCAACGCAATAGGGTTCACATTTAGGCAGCAGCAGCAGCAACTGAATGGCGATCAAATAGATCCTAACAGATGTTTATGTGATAAACACAGGCAGCAGCACAATTGCCAGATACATTACTGCCACAACAGCAGCAGTACTATATTAAGAAATACAACAACACCTACAATAACAATACCCAGCTCAAAATTCTGCTCATCTAAACAACAAAAACAACAACAATCACCACCACCAACATTACTACTCGAGCATGGCAAAGACTCACCACGAAAACAACAACCACAATCCACATTATTTAAGCCATCTTGCACTCATGAGGATACTTATGCTGTACCATATTTAATATTAGACAATTCGAATACATGTAAATTTATATCAAATAAGGAACAAACTACATTAACTGTCGATAAATACGCATTCACAACAACAAATTTCATTTCATCAACAACAAATATGCGAACCACCAATACGCCGGATGTATCCGAAAACTCCCCAACATTAGATAATGTTAAGCATCATCAATTCAAGAGTAAATACAACTTGAATGATAAGGCGAGGAGAAATAACATTCGCGATGACGATGATGAGTATAATGACCATTGCCATTACAACAGACGTGACAAGAATAATACAGTCGTGCAATGCTTTAATTACTCCTCCGACCATTGCAATTGGTTTTTGAGAAACAATCCATTCGTTACATTTCAACCCTCAACTGGTGGCAAGCTATTGAATTTATTCTTTATTTTACTCTTAACGTTAGCACAATATTTTGGCAGCACACAAGGTCTATTGGTGGCAAAATCGCCACCATTTAGTTTAGATTCATCGTCACCAGTTGATTCGCTATCCATTGATTCCAGCGATTTTGCAATGCAAACGCACACCAACAACACTGGCGCTAGTTCGCTTAATAATAATTTCAGTCTGATACAAAAAACAACGGTAGATCAAAACGATGGTCTGGGAGGAGGCGGTATTGGTGATCATTTTCCTTCGAGTAGCAAAAGTTTAAGCATATCATCTGCTGCTGGTAGCGGTGCCTATCTCGATAAACTGGACAATTTGGAACGTAGCCTGGCAGCAGTACTAATAAAAGTTGCCTACGGCACAACCTCGACCACCAAACGTAGTATACCCGACAACAGTTATGCCTCAAGCCTAACCACCATTGCCACGCCCCTACTAACCACACAAAGATATCACGAAAAGTCTCGCCAGCCCCAATTAAATGTACATCATCGTAATTATGAACTTGATTTGGAAAGAGATCATGCCTTGCCAACAACAGCACCAAATGCAGATATTTTAAAGAGTAACAGTAATCCCACATATCCAAATCCCAATCGACATCACAACAATGATCGAGATCGCCATAGACATTTGATTAACTCAACACCACTGCCATCGTTACCAGAAGTATTAAAGAAATCGAATGGTCACACGCCCACCATACCAATGTTTTCCGGTGCCGACATACCCTCATACTCACCGCCAGCTAGATCGTTTTTCACGCCGCCACTGCCACCAGAATATCAGCATCCATTTGCTGATAAACCAACGCTTAGGGGAACAAATAATGAAGGGGGTATTGTACCCAACACCGGTAGCTATATAAATCGCCGTCCCATACCACCGCCAAGTCTGATGCCTGGCCATGAACGCATACCATTTAGGCCACCCGATTTGGCAGGAGGTGCTGGTGGTACCACTAGTGCAAATTCAAATCCAAACACAAACATGTCGCCGGCCCAATCACCTGCTGCAGGTGGCAGCAGTCTTTCGTCTTCGCTAAATCCTCACTCATCCTCAGGTGTTCACATGGACTCGGATCACAAGAAAGCCTCGAACAATGCCACAAAGAGTATTAATGTCGAATCTCCCCCGCCCGATGTCAAATCAGAAAATGGAAATTCAGATGCTGTTCAGGGTTCATCATCTGGTAGCATGTTCTTGGATTCATCGGACAGCTTCCGTAACAACTACAATTCTAAGGTTAGGAAAGAAGTACTGCCCAGTATACAACGCATACTCAGCGGATCGAATGGTCGCAAAGGTGATATACCCGAAGTATTATTGAAACAGGTAACGACAAGGCCAAATTATCACCAACCGCCTTCATCGCCAGTGGTCATAAATACCTATTTGAATCAAAACGGTGACACGAGTGTGGTGGATGCCAGCATTGATAGCAAACAAAATATTAATAAAATCAAGAATATGAAGGATGTTGAAGGTGTTGATGTGGGCGTTGGTGTCGATGGTGGTGCTGATTTGCCACAACAAACTGAAATCACAACAAAGTCCGTAACAGGTGCCGTGTTTGGTGCTGCAGTAAATGGCTCAACGTCAACGCCTTCGGCTGCAGCCATTGGCGGTATGAAAACAAACACCGTTATTGTACCAACATCGCGTACCGTATTTGCTTCAGGTGCTGGTGGCAACTCCAACAACTCGCCATCATCAACAAATCGCGGTGATGATGCCTCATCTACGTCATCCTCCACACTGGCAGCTGCTTCTGGTCTGGCCACCTCATCCCTAGCCTGGAATATACATGTCTACTTGTCGGTCATTCTCTTTACAATACTGGCCGTCTACTCCCTGTATAAAATGGTTACATACAATAAGCTAACACATCTTTTCTCACAATCCTACTTCCTCTGCATCCACATTATACTGATCACCATTTGCTCAATTCGCACTTTTTATCTCTGCTATGACGCTTATAATATTCATTCCAGTTTTCATATATTTGTTTCGGAAATTCTACTAAATTTACCCGCCACATTCCTGACCATATCCTTTGCCGTTCTAATACTCTTCCTATCGCTGAAATCTTTGAACCATAAGAATCGTTATTCGGCTCTGATTCGGCCGCTGACGGTAGTTGTGGGCTGTGGCGTACATGTGATGTTGTGCATAACCTTGCACTATGTGGAGTCGTATACCCTGCAAAATCACCAGCAGCAACAGAAATTGTTGATGAAACGACATCAGCAACAGCAACTCCAGTCCTATGTCCATCATAATTTTGCCCAGCAGCAACAGTATTCATATTTAGAAAGCATGGCCTTTAATTCACCGCTATCAGCGGCATCGCCAGCCGGCCAAACGGCAGCAGGCTATCAACATTTGGCTGCTGGCGTCTCTCCACTGCCACCGAATCCTCCACGTGTTTTGTCCTTGATTTGCCAAATTATATACATTTTCGTTTGCTTTAGTTTGGGTCTTTTATATTTGTATCTCTATAGGATTTTAAAGCGTGTCTTAAGAAATAAATCCCAAAATTATATTCATGGCTATCAGAATTTGTCCTATGCCATACACATTACCATTGCCACTGCCTTGTTGTTTGTACTGCTGGCAGCTTTACAAATATTCGGTGCTATAAGTATTTCCTCTACCAGGCCAATGATAGCTCAGGCCACAGCAGAAATAGATTGGTTTCAGTGGGGCTACCAGTTTTCGTTGCGTCTAATTGAAATTGCCATTATAACGCTCATCTCGTGGGTGACAGGTTTGAAGACAAACACCGGCTCAAATACAGTTAACATTAATCTAACGAATAACGAGGCGAGGATTGTGGGGGGACACATCGATACGAATACAATGTACAATACAAATGCCAGCATGAATCCCAGACGTCTGAAACAAAATGTCCACTATAGCCAATATAGCCATCCCAATGTGACCAATTTCTTCTTGCCTTATACCTCAAGTTCTAGTCAAGAACAATTTGACATGGATTACCCGGCGCGTATATAACTCGAAGCGAACAAAGCGAATCAATGGTATTGAAAGAGCTAAGTGAATGGAAATAGAAAAAAAAAAAACACGTGATCCAAAGGCAGTGCACCAGTAAGCCAGAAGTTTATCCACTGACATGGAGATAGTGGCATCATGGTTCAAGCTTTCAATTTCATTCTATTTACATGCATACATACACAGTCCGCAAATCTTGTCTCATAAAATAACAAAATTCCCCAATTTTTTGCAACACCGCCAACCACTTAATCATAAAACGCGTTAAAAACCTTTTCACAATATACTCCAGAATAAACAAAAAAAACAAAATAAAATATAAATATATACATAGTTTTTTCGTAATCTTTTTCCCATCTTTTTTATATATGCAATATAATCATAATCGCGACATAATGTATACAAATTAAAAAACAAAAACTAAATATTTTTCCCTTCTTTTTTTACCAGAAAACACAAAATATAAAAATGAATTTTTTTCATTTTTTATTATTATTTAATTATTTTTTTTTTGTTGTTTATATATAACTCTGTGTATTGGATTTTAATATAAATAATAAAAAATAATTTTTTATTTATACAACAAAAAAAAACATATATCATTTACACAAAAAAACGCTCTTTTTTATTCGATTATATAGTAATAATAAATTTTGTTAATATTAAATTAAATTGAAAAAAAAAACAATGCACTTTTTTAAGAACCGAAGCAGAAATGGAGAGGAATAAAAAATTTATAAGAATTACAAAAAAAATATTGCTTTAATAAAAACTCAAATACGCAAAATAAACAAGAAAATAAAAATTAAAAGAAATGTGAATTCTTTTTATTGAAATAAAAAAAAAAAAACAGATTAAATTAAAAAACAAAACACAAAAAAATCGAAAAATCACATTTTGCTGATAAATCGATCGAATGATCTATCGAATTATTGTCTGGACTTATCTCGTTTCTGATTAATCAATTAATTGTAATATAAGTGTAATTATTTATTAATCAGAATACCTGATGGATCAGGCGAAAATTTTGATGCGACATAACAATTTATCTGTAAGCTACAAAAACTGCATAATTATTGTTAGTATTTAACTGTAAATTTTACATACTGTACATTTGTTAGTAACGACATATTTTTTAAGTTTAGCATTTAGTAATATAATAATAATAAATAAACAATTCGAATAAATAAAACATAATTTTTGATAATAAAATAAAAACAAAATACAAAAATAACTATTTTCAATTAAGATAGAATTACAAGAAAAACAACAACAAAAGAAAGAAAGAAAAAGACAAAAATTCAAAACAAGTAACAAACGCAAAATTACAAAACAAACAAAAAATGGACTCGTATTCAAAATGCTATGATTAAAACAAGGCAACTTACAAAACAAAATGTATTTCTCATTCGTGCGTCCTACGAGCACCCCAAATAGTTCTCTCATTGCAACGAACGTGACCAGCATTAAACTTACAACATATACATAAATATTTATTAAATCTATATATTTCAATTCATTTTCTTTTAATTTATTCCTTGTTTTCCGTTTTAATTGCCCAATCAATAGAAGGATGAAAATGGATGGAAATTTGGAGGGATTTTCCCTTTATGGCTCTTAAATGATTCTTTATTTGAATATTTTTTAGATCTTCAAATTTTCACAAATGTTTTCAGTTTTAAATGGATGAAAATTTGGAAGGATTTTACCTTTAGACTTTTAAATGATTCTTTATTTAAATATTTGTATACCCTCCACCATTCTATGGAGGGTATATAAACTTTGTCATTCCGTTTGTAACTCCTCGAAATATTTGTAATAGACCCTACAAAGTATATATATTCTTGATTATCGTAAGTTTCTAAGATAATCTAGCGATGTCCGTCTGTCTGCTGTAATCACTGTCTTTCGAACGAACTGAGATAGAAGGATAAAATTTTAAATACATGCATAGTTTACCAGTAGGCAGGTCACGTTTGTAAATGGGCCATGTCGGTCCACGTTTTCGTATAGCAACCATTTAACTGTACCTTCCGATATCGGTATTTTCATGATTTTAGCGACATTTTTTATCTGAATTATTTCAAATTTCTTATTTGAAGTTCGTAATGGGTGCTACAGCCTATGACAAAAATTTTCGTATGCAGCTCCACGTCTTCGTATAGTCCCCATGTAGCGGTTTTCAATTAAGTGGTGGTATTCGATTTTTTTTATCTCATTATCGTAACATTGAAAGTGGTAGCTTTCTTTCTGATTAATCTGGAGGCTAGCTGTATAGGACGCTTGGGCGAAGTAATATACAGGGTGAGATAAAAAAAACTGCAACAAAGTCAAACTCCATAATTTTTACATTTTTTACTTTTATTGAATAAAAGCAAAAAATGTCGGAAATAGCATCAAATTTTAGAGTAAGCTGAGATTTGTTCGAATTGGTAACCTTTTGCACGAATTATGGTCTTCAAACCGCAAATGAAACAGTCAAACGCTGCCCGAATGTTGCTCTACGGTATTTTGGCCCATTCCCGGCGAAGCGCTTGCTTGAGGTGATCGACACTTTGGTTTTTAGTGCCAACCTTGCTTTCCGAAATACTCCAAACACAATAGTCCAGCGGATTGGTGTCATCCGGAGATTTTGGTTGCCATTGTGCGCTGGAAATGAAGCGAGGAACCTCATTTTGTAGCCATTCTTAAGTGGCGCGTGCTGAGTGCAATGGTGCTGAGTCCTGTTGGAATGTCCAAGGTCTGCGGCCAAAATGATTGCGTGCCCAATGCTTTAGTACATCCTCCAGAATATGTTCGCGACAATATTCGGCATTTATTCTCACGCCACTGTCGATTAATACGAGCGGAGAGCGACCATTGACTGTTATGGCGGACAACACCATCACCATGGCAAGCGCTTGAGTTCTAGTGGCCAACCGAAGGTGCACATTTTCAGCCGACCTCTTTGGCAAGTAAACACGATCATTTTGTGTGTTTACAAACTGCTGGACACCGAATGTTTTCTCATCGGAGAAAACCAAAAACCAAATTCGGTAGTTCACCACTTTCGGCCAAGCGAAGCAACTTTTTAGCTCTTATGAGTTTATTTTCTTTCTGTTTCTGGTGCGGTGTAAGTTCTTGCATTTTTTGAAATTTCAATAGCTTTGCCCTGAGCTCGTTTTTTCAACATTTGTCGAATGGAATATTGTGATATGTGCAGCTCGGCCACTGCGACGAGGTTGTTGTTTTCTTTCGTCCACTTCCTTGACGTCGGGTTAGGCTACCAGTACCACGGTAGCGAGCGATGTTATGAGACACAAAAGATTTATTCACATCTAAATGCTGGGGCGCTCTATCGATAGCCACTTGTGGTTTTCCAACCAAATATAAAGGAATCGCGCTATCAAAACTACTCAGGTTTGTCGGGGCAGCTCTCGCTCTTCAGCTGCGATTGGAGGGGGATGGTCTCCTAGTACAGTGTTTACTCTATATCCTTCCATGGTGACACTTTGACACCATGTTCAACTAATTCGCTAGTTAGGGCTCAAAACAAAGAGAGCTTGTTGACCTCGTATAAAGCGATGGGTCGGTCTGTGGTCCAATGGAGAAGTATTTAGACTCGCCAAAATGCTGCCTTGAGAACTGAAACAGCATGCCAACATGACTCAATTGGCCCATTTACATTCGGAGCTGTAGGTTCTTTCCTTACGTCTGCATTATCATACGATATGTTGGAGTCATCCAAACCATTATATGATGCACAGAGCCTCATCAGCCAGGTATTTTAGAAAGGATCTACACGAACTAGAAGGGGGAGGTCTAATGCTATAGAAGACAGCCCCTAGATCAAGAAATCTATCAGCAGGTCTGAGTGGCATTCATACTGATACAGTCATATAGGCGATTAACACCACTAGCATGAATGTCGTCCTCGAAGTCCACACCCCATCCATTCCAGTTCAAAAACGTCGGAGCAATTACGTTCAGGATAGTGTAGCCGTATTTGACGCGAAGTGATGAATGGATTGCTCGGCGTGTGATACAGGCCCGCACAATATGCAGCATCTCTTTAAATGCCCTGCTAAACCTAGCCTAGAACCGGTATAGCAGAAATCATACCAGTAATGTATAGATGTTACAACAACGACTTTTAGAGGGAGAGACGTCCAACTATCTAACTGAGAGAATCCATAACGTTAAAAATGTCATCCTCAGAATCCACTCTGCATCCACTGCGGCAGAAGAACAGACAAACTAGGATATATAGGATAGACGAGCCAATGCAACCAGTTTCCTAAGATATAATTTGGAATCAAACTAGCAGAAAGCAACAAACAACATGTATTGCTGTTACAACTACAAGCTACAGAAACAGGTACTGCAATATAGAACAATAGGCGAGTAAGAGGTTTCTTTCAAAGCGAGTTTTTTTAAATACTGTCCCTGGCAAAATTTTATTACCGAAAGTTCTCTATTTCTTTTGTACTCTCAATATCCTCTAATTCGTCAAACTAAGAAAAACTCCCGCGAGCGCTTCCCAAATCCTGAATGTTCTTTTAAGGGTGAGATAAAAAACTGCAACAAAGTCAAACGCAATAATTTATACTTTTTTTAATGTTATTGAATGATAGCAAAAAATGTCGGAAATAGCATCAAATTTAGAATAAGTTTAGATTTTTAGGAATTGGTCAGCTTTGGCACGAATTATGGCCTTCAAACGGCCAATGAAACTGTTGGAATGTTCAAGGTCTGCGGCCAAAATGTTTGCGTGGCCAAGGCTTTATTGCACTCTCCAGAATATTTTCGCGATAATTTTCGGCATTTATTCATATGCCACGGTCGCTTAATACGAGCGGAGAGCCACCATTGGCTGTTATGGTGTCCCAAACCATCACCATGGCCGGCGCTTGAGTTCTGGTGGCCAAATGAAGGTGCACATTTTCAGCTGACCTCTTTGACAAGTAAACACGATCTTTGGGTTGCTTACAAACTGACGGACGACTTATGTTTTCTCATGGGAGAAATCCAAATTCAGCAGTTCACCACTTTCGGCCAAGCGAAGCAACTCTTTAGCTCTTTTGAGTCTATTTTCTTTCCGTTACGGTGTAAGTTCTTGCACTTTTTCGAATTTTAATGGCTCATTTTTCAATATTTGCCGAATGGAATATTGCGATATGTTTGAAATGGCAGCAGTCTAAAGTTGGTTGCAGTTTTTTCATCTCACCCTGTAGATTTTATAAAATCCAAGCACTATACATCAGCCTCTTTAGCACTTTGCAGTGGCTCAACAATATGGTAATTAACTGACATAATTAAAATATTCAATTCCAGATCCGAAAACCTTCCAAATGTATTTCCATGGACCTTGTTTTACCTTATTGCAGTTTACTGAATCCTTCTGTTGGTTATAGCATTAATTCTACTAACACTCATCACTCATTGCCTATTTTGCCATACTATTGTACAATTTCAATTATATTCACTAACAAAAACAAAATAAAATTTCATCTGTGCATTATTAAAATATATTTATATATATACAAAACAAAATAATAATAATAATTAACAACAAATATATGAATAGCAGCAGTCTGACTGTAGAGAATGTGAGAACTTTTGAATCATAATTTGAAAATTAACAAGGAAAACATTTTTACAAAATAAACTGATATTAGATGCTAATACTTTTACAGTACGAAATCAAGTCTATTAAGAAATAATGTAAAAAAAAAACAAATCAATGCATACATCATTTTAAATAAAAACCCAATTAAATTTAAAATTGACTAAAATTATTTTATATATCCTTCGATCGGGGGTATCAACTACTACCCATATGGTTGTTTTTTAATTCTATACTAACGTCAATGTCGGCGAAAAATCATTGGGTTTCAAACTGAGGCAAATTGTTGATTTTGCGCTGCTTTAAAATTATCCAACGGTGGCATTTTCAAATTGAACATTTTGAGTATACCTTGTAAGACGTGGTTTTGGAGCACGATGACTTAGTTCGTATACAAATCAAATGACGTTTTATTAATTGCTCTACATAAAAAAGAGTGTAATTGGTACCAATATTTTAAAATGGACAACAGTCAACTTTGTATATAAAAGAATAAGATATCAACATAACATATCAATCAATTGAATGCAAACTAAATACAAAACGTTAAGGGGATTAAACATTGCAACTCAACTTTAGTGTTGTAGTATGTTTAGGGGCTAATTTATAACATTATAAGGGACATAGACATTTTAGATATTGGTAAAGGCAGTGGCTGACTAGTCCTCAGTTTTTGTTGTATTTTCTTAATGGATACTACCCCATAATTTTATATTTAAATTTTCCCCATTAAAAATGCCAGAAAAATTCAAAGTTATATTCAGCATTTATAAAAAAAAAAAATAACTAACTATTTATTATTCACAAGAACAAAGTGTATATCATCTGCACACGAACACATTACAATTGAATTATTTACGGTTTGAAACTCGTGCAAATTAATTTATCACTAATCTGAATCACTATCCGTGTTTGGTTTGTCTTCATCTTTCTTGTCATCAGTCTTGTAATGGCGATATTCCTTTTTCAACTCCCACATATTTTTGTGTGGATTTTTCATATTATAATCACACACTTCTTTCAGAATTTCCTTCAGATAACCAATAGGTTGTTTTGTAATTTTAACCAAATCCTTAATATTGTAGTACTGATGTTTTTCGAAGGCAAGGAAGAGCATATCCATAACAGCATTCTTATCATCACGGGCCTTCTTACCTTCGGCCTTTTTGCGTTCCCTATATTCGATCTGGAATGAGAAAGATTATTAGAGAATAACATTTCAAAATTCCTAAATCGACATAGACTTACATTGTGAGCATGATCTTTGACAGGTTTGAAGTTTTGAACAATCTTATCAATTGGCTGCACTTTTCTAACGGGCACCGACGCCTTGCGTATAGATTCCAATTTTAATTTCATATAACAATTATCGGCAATAGGTCTACATTCTAATTTTTGTACTATTCTACCTTCCATGTAAAGTTTCTCGGAACTTTGCGTGCTAGCTGAGGTATCTTTACTGCTGCTGCCACTACCCGCTTCCTGTGGTACCATATGTGAAAAAACACCCAATGTCTGTTTAGTTACCACTGAGACATCGAGTATATGTTCCGTAGGTATTTCCTCCTGTGGATCTAGTTTTACAACTGCTTGTGACAAACTTAACGATACCTGTGCCTTCTGTCCGGGTGTTTTACTGATTCTCAACTTGCCAACGTCCATGTTTGAGGGAGCTTTCTCCCATTTTTGAGCAATATATTTGGGTACTTTAACCAACCAAACGCCCCGTCCAGCATTCGACAAATCCAATTCTTTGTCAACAATTGGTATTTTAACCTCCTTGTCATCTTTAGACATTTTAGAAAAGACAAAATTGAATAGGAAATTGAATTGTGGTGCACGATTAAACAAAACAGCTTCTGTTGCAATTGAAGAAAACAAAGCCAACGCAAATGTGGCGCATATTGACTCCGTTATCTGTCACATTGTTAATCCAGCTTTGATGTTACCAAAAGCAACAGCTGTGGTTAATGATAAGTTTACATTGAAGAGATTTAATCTGATTTGAGCTTTATGGTACGTTTAGAGCCTGGTAGAAGAATATAGGTAGACGCGTCGACACAGCTGCTGGGACAATTAACTGTCAAACCAATTTTGGAATTGAAAATGTTGAATGAAAAATTTTAAATTTTTAAAAATTGTTGAAAACGCGAATTATAATAGCCTCCGAAAGACGTAGTATAAGAAAACGTACAAAAATCTACTTATATTTGAAAAAAATATATAATTTGTTTTTGACGCATCAATGCTCCCATGCGTTGATGCATCTACCTGTATTCTTCTGCCATGGTTTAGGGTATGGCAAAATTATATAGGTAATTCATGGTAGAAAAATATAGGTAGACGCATCGACACAGCTGCTGGGACAATGAACTGTCAAACCAATTTTGCAATTGAAAATATTGAATGAAAAATTATTTAAATTTGTAAAAATTGTTTAAAAACTCGAATTCTAATAACCTCCGAATGACGTCGTATAAGAAAACATATAAAAATCTACTTATATTTGAAAAAAAAAAAAACATTTAAATTTTTTTGACGTATCAATGTTACCAAGCGTTGATGCGTCTACCTGTATTTTTCTACCATGAGGTAATTCCATGCTAATAGCATGTTTCCATTGGAAACCGAACAACGTTGTTCGCTCTCAGAATTAGGTACACGAATTAACCAGTTCATACGGCGCGATTCGTAATTCATAGTAAAATAATTCCTTTTTTCAAAAATTTTATTTGTTGATTTTAACGGGAATTTATACTAAAATACATTAAATTCTCACTAATATGAATAGAAGAAATGATTGTTTTTCTCCCAAAGATTTATTATATTATTAATTTTATAATTTTCATTCACGTTTTCAACTTTTTGTGTAAATGTTGACATTTTGAACATATTTTTGTATTTTTCTATTTTTAAATTCTGCTGGATAGACACTTGTCAAACATTTTTTCTGCCGATACAAACATTTTGAAAATATTGCCTCTTTTGTTTTCAGTTTTCTGTGGAAATTTCAACTCGTGGACAAAATGCGTTCCTCGGATGAGGGAAAAAACAAAATTTACTTTCGTTTGAATGCACATACGCTATTCAACATTGTAGTTTTCATTCATAATTTTCAGTCTTCCCAAAATTTTTCAAAATGTCATTAAATTTTTCTATTTTCAATTTTTAAATGTCATAATTTATTTTTTCGATAAATGCTCTCATTTGTTAGGGATGGAACATATTTTTTCGTTGTTCTGAGAGTGATTTGATTTGAACAATGTACAAATATGAGTGTTTGCTCAGGAAATTTTGTGTGAAGAATTTTTTTTCATAGTTAATGGTCAAACAACGAATAGAGAGCGAATCAAGTGCTGTGGAAACGCCACATAACATCATGGCAGAAGAATATAGGTAGACACAGCGATACATCTGCTGAGACAATGAACTGTCAAACCAGTATTGGAATTGAAAATGTTGAATTAAAAAAATTATTTACATTTGTAAAAATTGTTGAAAACGCGTATTATAATAACTCCGAACGTGTAATAAAACACATAAATGGTACAATAAAGACAAGGCAGTACATATCAATCACATGAATACAACTTTTTCTTTTAGTAGTCTTGTAATGTCGTAAAATGTATATAGTTTTTCTATGTTTAAAGTAATAATCCATTCGCATGAAGATTAGGAGAACTATTTCGATTATGAGTTTAATCATACCAAATTTACGATGATTTACTGTATTACATGGTAAGTAAATTCATTTGAAATAATCATACCCATCTCTGTATTTTCTGTAATTTACTTTGTCAAATTTCACTGCAAAAAAATAGGTTACCATCTCTGATTTGTGTATTTATAATGGATATAAAAAACACATATTTTGACAATGAGATGTTGCAAATGAATTTTTTTGAAAATAATTGTAAGCATATGTTAGCATGATTTTTACCTTCTTGATTCTACCATGGACAGAATGATTAAATTTGAAAAACATAACGCTGAAGCTAGAGTCTTGTAACATAAAAAAACGAATGGAACACCGTGTATTTTTTACAATCCACTACCTTGTCTTCATTGTACCATGCTTAATTCTTTTTATTTTTCTTTTAATAGTATTCTTGCAAAAGAGAATAAACATGGGAGAAGAATACAAGTAGTAGTTGCATGTTATTTTAGAAGTAACATTTTTCAATGAAAAAGTATTCAAATTTGTAAAAATTGATTAAAAAATGCAAATGCAAAATAACGATAGGCGAGGTATAGAAAAACATTTAAAAAAAAATACATATCAATTTTCCCAAACGCTGATGCATCTACCAGTATTATTTTTTATAGCGAGTTTATACATAATTGAAATACTTTTACATGCAGAATCTCTAAATAGGTTAACACCAATAATTGGCCATTTACATTATCGAAATAAAATTACTAATACTTTGTCCCAGATCCTACAAGAATCTACCATGGCACAATAGGGAGGTAGAGCAGCTTCGTAAACCTAGAGAACTACAACCCTGTTGCTATGCCCACTTGATGTCAGAATTACCCCAAATCATGGTACAATTAAAAAGGTATATACATGCAATCATATGTTTAAAACTTTTTTTAAATTTATTCATTGGATAACATCTCATTGTCAAAATCTATATTCATAAGTCCATTCATGGTAGAACTAAGAAGTAAAGTCATGCAATCATATGTTTACAATTTTTTCAAATTTATACAGTTGACAGTTGACAACATGTCATTGTCAAAATCTATATGCAAAAATCCATTGTATACACACAAAATCAGAGATGAGAACTGTTTTTATGAAATTTGACAAGGTAAATTACAGAAAATGCAGAGCTGGGAAAGCTAATTTGAAATGAGTTTACCTTTATAATCCACTGTATACACACAAAATTAGAGATGGGAACTGTTTTTATGCGTTATAAATTGACAAGGTAAATTACAGAAAATGCAGAGCTGGTAATGCTAATTTGTAATGAGGTTTATTTGATATTAAATGTTTATTTTCAAAATGAGTCAAATATCGCGAAAAATGATTGAAATGCCTGGATGTTCTCTCAAAAATATGATCCCAAGTTCAATCTTTCAATTCCATGGTAAATATAGTTAATATCATTAATACCCGCCCGCAATTTAAGAGTCTTCCAATTATTGATATCTGGTTCTTATTTTTCAAAACAATAAATACACACACAAAATAGGCATAAGTTGGGTACACTTAGAAAAAAATTGTAATCAGCTGGTAGCTCTACTTTATTTATTTTATTGTACCATGGAATCTACTACTTTTGCAATTTTATTTGATATCATAAAGGAAAACCGGTTGTCGTAGTAAAAGCTTTTACATTCTTGCAGTTCTGAAACAGTCCATAGGCTAGTAAATTATTGCAGGTTCTGCAACTGATCAATGTTTTCGCGAAATTACCTTTCTAATCCTACCATGGTAAGGGCAAACAAATTTAGAAAACCCCGCTACTAAAAATTGTATTTAGGGGGTATCTTTGTTCTACCTTCTGTAGTTGTGCCATGTGTTTTGTTTTCAAGCTGCTCGCTTACACACACTGTTTTTTGTTCTGTTTGATCAATTATTTTTTAATGGCAATACTAGTGAAAGTGTCAACATTCCTTATATTACAAAATATTGGTTTTTAAAAAACACACTCTGGATATTTTGGATATCTCCAGAAATTCTAAAAAAAAAAAAAACTTTAAAAAAAACGCTATCGATAGAATTAACTATCAATCGATATTTCCTTCAAAATACTATTCGATACTATCGATATTGTCATCGATTGTTTGCCAGCTCTAATAATTGAACGAATATTGAAGAAAAGGGATAGGACACACGTTACAACGCAAATAGGAAAAAATCTTTTTTTAATAATAATGTTGTTTATTAATAACTTTTTAATAGTTTTTCGATAATTCTAACAATGCAGCAATGCGTTAACGTGCCGACTAAAATGTGAAAATAAGTGTAAATATGTTTACGACAAGAACACAATAAAACGAAACGCAAAAGAAAACGAAACGGATAGAAAAAGAAATACGGTGAACAAAAAAAAAAAAAAAGAAAAAATGTTTTATTATCGAGCAGACATAGATTACATTTGCTGCTGTTGTGTCCTAAAGCAACGAGTGCGATTAACATTTAACTTTTTTAGCAGTTTAGTGTGGAAGTAAAGGAATTTTAAGTGTATATTTTAAGAAATACAACAAGTTATACACCCGGTTTGGTGTATAACCAACCGACCAACTCTTAGAGCTTAAGATAAGAACGAACGGCTGCGGTGGCTAGCTAGCAGTTGATTTGTTTTGCCTTTTTACGTGTGGAAAGGAAAGTGTGATAGATAATTTCGACGGAAAGAGAAGGGAAATTGGTACTGATATTTGAAGCGCCAGCCACGGAGAGTGAACTTAGCTGCTCGTGTACAGTTATTGTCACACGTTCGCGCTCGGCTTTTTATACATTGCGATATGTCCGAAAAAAATGGACAAGGAGCAGCAGTACAGTGGACGAAAGGAGGGGCAGCGGCAGCACAAAAACAACATCAGCAAATTCAACAGGGCATCTCGCCCATTTATAATGCAAATGTGGGATCAGCATTAGCTTTACCGACGGCGGCAACGTCTGCCGCTCTGTATGGCGCTACGAACCCTATAAGTGGCGGCAGCCCACATGATGTAGTATCGTATGCATCGGCACGCTTCCAGGCGCCACCACCGTTGGATCACAGCACTGCAACATCATCGTCACTCACTGCAATACCACAGTCGTCTTCGTCGACTTCAAATGTACCTGTACCCAGTGGATTTATACCCCCACCATTTGCTGCCGCATCGTCTGCTGCTGCGACGACATCAGTCTTAACTCCAAATCCGTATGCTGCGCCCACTATAGCAGCCAGTAATCCACATGGTCATCAGTCTGCCACAATAAATTCTCAACATTTTCCTGGGCAAACAATACCACCATCGTCCCATCATCTACATCCACATTTCGGCATGGATCAATTCCAACATTTAAATGTTCAACAACAATTTGAGCTGAGCAAAATAATGGCAGCTGCTACATTCGGATCCAATCAAATTGGTTCCATAGGACCAACTAATTTGACATCTTCCAACAGTGGTGGTAGTGGAGTTGGTCCGGCTGTTTCGACCACAACTACAACCACATCCACTTCAGCGCTCTCGCCATCGATTACTCAATCTTCTAGCCGGCAGCCTTTTGCCAATGTTGGCGATATGACACCCAATAGCAATGCTGGAGCCATTAGTAGCCAATTAGCGGAACAAGTCATTAATACAATAAGTACAGGGAGTTCTGGTACCAAATTGGCCCCAACACCGATCCATGGACGTCTAATGGGCTTAGGTGTAAATGCACCAGACGAAGAAAAACTACGCCGCATACAAGAAGTTGTCGAATGGGGTATAAGGTGTGTATAAAACCCAGACATATTCCAGTGTAATCTTTAACATTTGATCAGTATTACATTTACATTTCATAGATTCGTTAACCCGAATTCTGATAAGAATGTAATGAAAACTTATAGATACTATCGTTTAAATGTAATGATGTACATACGTGTATTTTGTTTACAATACTATCGTTAATGTGTGTGCGAATAGCTATATAAATCAGTCTTACAGATAGTATTCTCGTAATTCGGATGGGACGTTACCATTCATTTGGGAATTCTTATAGGAATGTTTAAGATTTCGATTTATGAAGTAATGTCTTGAGTTTTGCCTTGTTAAGGCGAAGATCATATGTTTTATGATTTAAGTTTTTGTTTTCTCTTTCGAGACGAGCTTAACGATCTGAAATTTGCAGTGAAATAATAATAATGTCTTGTTGGTAAATCAATCGACCGACACCCTTCGATCGAAATATGGAACTGCCAATGCAGATGATGATTAAATGCCTGTGTTAACAGGTCTCAAGAACATTTAGATTTATAATAGAGTGTTCGAAAGGGTTTCTCCATTTTTGTGCAACACTCTTAAGAATTTGTAAAAATATGTGCCAATAACCGCCCGTAGTTTTGAGGAAGTATCTAAGAATATATACACCGAAATAGTCATCTGTACTGATGACTGAACCCCTCCGGTGACATTCGTTGAGCGGCTGAACAATCTTGTGTTGGCTTTGTGTCTCAAGGTTTCAGCGCAGCAATACCGTGCGTTCCCTGCTGTCCTTTTTTTACACAACCAAAGGATACGATACGGATTGTTGTATCGCCTGCATCGTCATTTTTTTCTTGTCCTCAGGTTATTGTCCTTCAGTTGACCTTATGCTCTGGATGCGAGGCAGTTTAGGTTGTTGTAACAGTTGCACATGCTATGTTCTGGTTCTAACACCGGGCCGTCTCTGAGACCGCATCCTTTAACGAAGTTGGTACTTAAGCAAACGTTTGGTTCTTCACCCTCCCCACCATTGTAGTGGGTAGAAGTGGTGACGCCACCGGAGAGCTTGGCAGAGCCGGTTTGGTGTATTTTAAGGCATGCTTTTGCTTGCTCTTCTTTCCACAAATGTTTTTGGTTTTGTAACACTTAATCACTTTGTATTGCGATTTGGAGGATGATACCACTGGTTCAGGAGTCGTCGTGGCCTCCTTCTTTTCAGATGAACAGGAGCTTCGCGAAGTCATAGCCCTTTTGTGGCCTCTTTAAGTCTAAGTTTAAATTAAGTTGGGATATTTCTCTGGAGCTTGCTAACGAACTTCACGTTCGTTCTGATAAGCTGTATCAGTGAGATTGGACGGATCCCAATCAATTGCAGAAATTCTTGTTTAATAATATATTTATGTCTTCCATACGTCATTGGTTTGTCCACCATGGTAAGGACTTAGCTATCAACTGTCAAGTCTAGAATTGACTGCTCTCTCAATGTAGCTCCTTAAGCCTACACCCAATCTAACTTATTTTTATCATTATAAAATAGCGATCATGCCAAACAACAAATTGTGCAAATATTGGACCGTATATCAACACTGAGACCAGTAGAAAAACTTTTGCTCTATTTACGTTTGCCCGGGGAGCAACCTGAAACTGGTAAGTCAAAAAATAAATCACTGCTATTTTTCAATTACTCACAATGTCTTTGTCTTTATTCAGATCCCTTACGTCAACCGCAAAATCCTCTCGGAACACGTTCCGAAATCAATCACACCATCAATTGGGTACGAACACATTTGGAACAAGATCCACAAGTTTCGATACCTAAACAGGATGTATACAATGATTACTTGTAAGTACAATGTTGTGGTTATTTTATTTTTGGAGTGTTTTTTATTGTTTATCACACTTTCTCCAGAGTCTATTGCGAACGTTTAAATATAAAACCATTATCTACGGCTGATTTTGGTAAAGTAATGAAACAAGTTTTTCCTGGCATAAGACCCAGACGTTTGGGAACTAGAGGACATTCCCGTTATTGTTATGCAGCTATGCGAAAAACCAGCAAATTGCCAGCACCACACTTACCAACGCTTACAACGACAACGACAAAGCCATCATTGCTTAAGGGAGATTCAGATGCCGTAACTGAATCGGGAGATACATTTTCCGATAACGTTGAAGAAGATCAAGAAGAATCATGGTCCATTATCAAACAATGGGCTGAAAATGTGCTCCACGTTAAAGTGAACGATATCAATGAACTGGCAAATCAGATTAAAGCTAATGGTTCCAATCCACAAGGGCATTATACATCATTTACTGGCACAAATAAAACAGGCAGTCATATGATACACAAGAAATACGCCCAAAGGGAACCAAAAGAGAAACGTGTTATGGCTGTAAGAAGTATTTCAATGCGGAAGGTCAATAACATTGATTTAATAACATATGTTTTCTTTTTTAAATTTTAACAGGATATGGGCCCTTTGAAGAAACGACGCAAAAAGAAACGCAAAGGTTCTTCTTCGTCAGAATCTAGTTGCCACCAATCGAATACAGCAGTAGACCAAGTTGCTGGTCAAATTCAACCTCAGTTGTCACCAGCCAACAGTTCAAAGGGCAGCAGTCAACGCAACCCCACATCTCCACTAATCTCGATTGATGATGGACAAAAACTGCTTAGTTGCGTTAAGATAAAACAAGAAATTGTAGATTCTCCTGGCTACGTATCAACAACATCAGCGATAGCAACTACGCATTCTTCAGAAAATGATTCCTCCAACAAGCATATTCCCATATATAACCCTTACTCAAATCAAAGTCAACAACAACAGCAGCAAACAATGCCAATTAATTTGGCAGCTGAAACGCGAGGTGGGCATCCAGGAGTTAGACCCGCGTCTACTAGTTTAACAGGCAGCGCCTTTGAACATGTACGTTCACCAGCAATTGCAACAAATAATAACACTACAACGGCCGTCAAAAATTTAACGCCAAAAATTATGGAACTTGCGGTAGAAAGTCAGCCGTCGCCACCAGCACCACAATCCCAAACAACAATTCATAGTACTACCACCATAAAACAAGAGGACGTTGGCGTAGAAGACTACAATACAACAAATATCTTTTGTAAAAAAGTACGAAAAGCTCAAGAAACTAAAAGCTTCTGGCCAAATTCTCCAACATCCAACAATAGAACAACAGCAACAACCATAACGAGTGCTTCCAGGCCAACTCTCCCCATAATAACGACAACAGCATCAACGCCACCTCCGGTGGCAGCAAGTGTCATTACATCACCGAACAACAATGGCAACAGTAATATCAACAGTTCCAGTGCCTTGGATTCTAGTGCAGTAGCACCAACATGCTATTCGATGGGGCCTCCAGCACAAATGGCTCCCTCTACCAGCCCAAATAACCATCATTCGTCATTGCAAGAGGATGCCATGGGCCTACCAAAAGTTGTTTCCAGGAATTTACAACAGTTACGCGCCAAGAAACTTCTGAGTGCAAATCCTTCGGCATGTGATCAACCCGATTTGAGCGCCGTCGTAAAAGATGCTGCTGATCTGCCCGAGAATTTGGGAATACCACGTGAAAGAGTGATCAGCATTTGCAATATGGATAAGCGGGAATTGGATGATTACTTTTTGCCCGAAGAAGAAAATTCTGAAGAGAATGAAACTGAACTGCTTCAATATTTTCAGATGGGAGACGCTGAGGAAAAATTAACAAAAAATTCTTCCTCCGATGCTAAACGACACAGTTATCCAACAGTAACGCCAGTGGTATCAAATATGGCTCCGACTTCGTCTACCTCAACAACGGTGACTATGTCTGGTAGCACAACTTCATCGGCAACAGCCGTGGGAGCAACAAGACAAACCTTGCCAACGATGAATGCTGGCAGCATAAAACGTGATAGCACGGGCTCAGTAAATAATGAGGCAAACAACTCGAAGCTAGCAAGCAAACAGCTATCACAGCAGGCTCTTAACTACCTGAGAAATGCCAATGCATCATCTTCGCTTCATACCAATCGGGAGTCTTGTGGAAAATTTGTATCATCTTCTAAGCATTTAACATCTACTGTTGGAACTGCCTCAGCGTCTCTAGAACAACTCACACAAAAGCATCAGCAACAACAACAACAACAGTTGCAAAATCAACAACAACAATTGCAACAGCCCCCTCAACCACCCACAAAGGTTTCATATAAACGTAAAATAAATTTAAATACATCATCATCCTCTGATATAACGGCGGCAAGAAAAAATTATAGTTTTTTACCAATATCTCCGAACATTAATAACACATCAGCCACTTCATCGGTCCTTAAGGGTGGCGGCAGTGCCGGAAGTGGCAGTCATAGCAGTAATAGTGGATTTTTTGCCAGTCCTAATTTTAGTCGTCTACTGACTAAGCAGCAATCTTTAGATTCTGAATCATCTTCTGATCCCATGATAGGTGCCACTCGTAGAAGGCGCACCTACATGTCGACAATGACATCGGCTTCAGCTCCACCTAGTCCTTCTGTGCTAAAACAACAACAGGAACAACAATTATTTGCTCTATCTAATAACCTTTTGCTAGAACAATGGCCAACGTCGACAAATTCATCGGCATTCAATAATTTTCAGAGTTCAAATCAGAACCATGCTGCTGCCATGGTTGATCAAAATTCTTTAGATTTGGATTTATTTGCAGAAGCAGCCGCCGCCTCAGCATCCGCCACATCATCAATCTGTGGTCCTCAAAATCAGCAGGCAGCAGTCTCTCAGGTGTCTCTTAAAGACAGTGAATCTATCATGAATGATTTGACACAGCGTTCTCGTTCGGTGCCCCTGTCACAACTGCAACGATCGCATTCGCCCACATTTAATCGTGAATTTCAATTGAACTCTGTTACGGGCACTGCCTATTCGGCTTGCAATTCCTTGGCCCAAACGCCAATACACACCGACTTCATAGACTCTGTAACAATGCTTTCTGAAAATAGTTGCAGCCAACAAAGTTCGTCGATAAAACTGGAAGAAGTTGGTAATGTTGTGGGCTCAGATTCGACAGCTTTACTAGATGATGTGGATGTGAATGAGATTCTATCCTCACCGGATTTTGTAAAATTTTCAAGTATAACCCAATCAGGTGGCAGTTCAACCGGCACAAAAACATCTTGCTCATCGGCAGGATCTTCCTCTGGTTATAGTAGTGCTGGGCAATTTTCACTTTCGTTAAGTAGTTACGGTAGCAACGGCAATGGGGTAGGTGGTGCTATTATGTCATCGACCGCCTCAATATCCCGATCTGTACCTTCGACGCCATTGCCACATCAAAATCCTTCATGCATGCCGGGAAGTGGTAATAATTTCTATCGACGGCGCTTCGCCAACAATTGTCATCCGCTGGGAAGTAATTATTTTTCATCGACGGGAAAATATGGTTACGGCAATATGAATACAGCTTTATCCAGATCTGCTTGTGACATATCCAAATCGATGCCCTCCACACCAATTACTACAACGCCGAGTAGTTTTCGCTACAGTCCAACCGAATTTACTAGAGATTTTCTTATAAATGGCAATACAATTGATGACAGCCTAGCATCGTCATTTGGCACTGTGGGTACGGACAATTTGATGGGATCGGATGTAGTAGGCGTTGATGCTCCACTTATGAACGAAGAGGATTCTCTGCTCAATGGACCACGCGTCGATAATGATGTTATGTCACCAGATTTTTGTACCCAATCCGGCGATTCATCTGTTTTGATTGGAAATAATAGTGGATTGGGAGGGTCGTCGACGGCGGTGGTGTCAGCCTCAACGGCAATGGGATCTAATACTGGAGGTGAGTCATCCGTTGTTATTGGTGTAGGATCCGATCTATTGGATAATTTGTAGAATTTGCCTGAAGAGCAAGTCAAAAGGAAACGTTTAAAGCCACAAAAGTCACATGACTCCATAATAGAGGAGACAATTTTAGTTGATGCTGTAATGCAAAATCCCGAAATTGTTGATGAAGATCATGACGACAACGATAATAATGGAGCTATGAGTCTTTTATTGGCTGAGGTTGGAAAACTTTAAAAAATCTCATTTTCGGAAGGGTAAATATTTACATGATTTGAATGCGGTCAATAAAGGAGACACTTGAAAGGTTGTAGAGAATGATCGCGTATAAAAAAGACAGGAATCGAAGGTCTTTCGACGCTATTAGTAATGCTATTTATGAGCGATACTAATTCATTTTTTGTTGCCATAGCCGATATTGTGTTATAAAAGTGGTTTATAACGTAGTGGGGGTTAGTTCTCAGTCAGTACAATGCTTAGGTTTGATAAAGCAAAAAAAAAAAAAAAAAATAAATAAATGTGCAAAAAGCAAAGTAAAAAAGTGTGACTTGAAGCTGAGAATTTAATAGGAAAAATAAAGAATGGAGAATGGTAAAAAGGTTTTTTAGACACAATGAAGTTGCCAAACCTCCTCGATGTACAAAATATGCAAAGGCAGCATTTCGGAATTGAATTTTGGAACACTCTATTTTTCAACATACCAATTTGGTTGCTGCAAAATCAGAAAAATTTTCTTTTTTTTTTTTTTTGGTTCATTTGAACCCCTAAATGTACATCTTCAAATACCAAATTGGTTGCTGCAAAATCAGGAAAATTGTCTTTTTTTTTTTGGTTCATTTGAACCCCTAAATGTAAATCTTCAAAAAACAATAGGCTTTTATTCTGACCCTAACCTATCCCCATGCCAAATTTCGTTTAGATCAGACGATAATTGCGACCTGTATATAATACCATAAACACATAGTGTTGCGGGGTGTAGGAAAACTTGAGAAAATGTACAATTCAAAATTGTAAGTCAAGTCAAAAATCGCATGCGAAAAAAATATGACAAAAATTTAAAAAAAAATTACAAAAAAATTTACTTTCGCCCTTTTCAAATGGGTCAAATCGGTCCACCGGATTTTGACTTATAAGCGGAATAACTAACATCATTTTCATTTACATATAGATTGTCATTAATTCGCTACATATCCGATATTTAGGCAATCAGCATCACAGTAATGATCAGTAGTGACCTTTAAATGAATTTTTGATTTGGCCGGGATTAAAAATATTCGCAGTTTTGTTTTCGCATGTTTTGACATAAAAGTTATGGTTTATTTTACACGCAAAATATTGTCCGATGACCATTTAAATTGTTAGGATTCTGCCCAGCCCTAAACTCTAACTACATCCAAAATTGGTCGCGTCGATTGGTTCATAATTGTGTCCTGTGGAGCAATTGCAAAATCAGTAAATTTTTCTGTTCTTGGGCGGTGTTCCCCAAAAACAAAAGGCTTCTATTCTGACCTTAACCCCACCTCCATTGTCAATTTCGTGAAGATTGGCCATAATTGCGACATGTAGCTTGATTACAAATTAACATGGACAGACGGACGAACGGACATACATAGTTACACCGACTCAGGTCGGCGAGATAGGAAGATCCATATATGGTTTGCTATGTTGGGAACCAATATCTAGAGGTGTTACACAATTTTTGGCCAATCAAACTTGTAATACTCCCAACACATAGTGTAGTAGGAAAATAATTTTATTAAAATAGTTCCCTTAGTTGGCCATGCAGTAGCCTACACGATAGGTCGAATTTTAAAGCACAATATCGAATGTTTGTAGTGGCATTTCACCAAGACTTTCCTCCAGTATTGTCCTTTAAAGCGTCAATTGTCTCTGGCTTTTTGTCGGCACCTACAAATAATAGACCAATGGTGTCAAATCCTAGCTGCGATGTGGGTAACCCACCTCAGGTGAATAATGTGATCTTCAAAAACAGGCCACAAAATATCGAGTTGAGCTTCGGCTGTGCGGTACGTAGCGCCTTTCTGTTGGAAGCAAACGTTGCCAATGCTTTCCTCTTTAATTTTTGTGACAAAAATTTGTTCTGCATGGCCCGATAACATAACTGCCACTACTTGCTCATATTCGAAGAAAAATTGGGTCCATCCTATATATGAGTGCTGGTTTTCTGTGACGATGCTTCTCTTCTTTCAAAAACCGTACTCCTTTTGCGCACACATTCTGCAACATTACCATTATTTTCAAATTAATATCGCTATATTTCCCAGCGTTGTTCAAAGCGCATACACCACCAAATTCAAAGGATAAAACTAATTGAGTGCCAAATCAAACATAAGCTAAGTGTTACCATTCGCAAAATAGCTCTAGTTGAAAAAGAAAACGTTATATGGCGGCGGACCATGTACAAATCAAATTACGTTTTGGGAGTACCTCTTATACTAAATGTAATTGGTTTTGAGTGTAATATAACCCATACAAAAAAAAAAAAAACATATTCCCAATTTTTTGGCACTTCTGCCGTATGGATTCAATGATTTCAATTTTCGAATGGTTATCCTTTTTTGATCTGCATGCAAAAGAAATTGTGAGAATAAATAAAAACCCATATCATTCCCTTCCAAAAGTGAACATCCATCCGGATGACGTTTTCCATAGTGTCTTGCTCTTCAGTTAACAAGAAAATGCTGTATTCGAGAATTGTTGTTACACACCTATGTTTGTATGTATGTATACAAGTGCAGTAGATATGAATTATGTAATAAATGTTGTTATTTATATATGTAAGTACATTGTATATGTTAAGTTCTTCTATATTTGTTTTGTTTCTTTAGCTTTAAGTCGATCGATAAATTGAACTATTTTTGATTTTGATATCCTTTTTTGTTTTGTTAACAATAAAAAGTCCTTAAAAAATATCTTTAATATTGATGTGTGTGTGCGACGTCTGTGACGTTATAACACAAAAAAAAGAAAAAAAACGAAAATGGCCTTTGGTCTTCGTCGTTTTGTGAACATTAATTTTTGCCTTTGAAAATTTAAAATGAAAATAATTATAATAATAATTGTATATATGTTGTATTTGTTTAATATACATATTATAATTCTTAATTAAGTCTAACTAAATGATGGCATACAAAATCTATTTTACTACGGAGAATGAATTTTATGAATATGATGAATGTGTACGTGTAAGCAAATAAGTATAACATATTTTTTTTAAATGTTACATTACAAAATCAACAACAACTTTACGTTTCAATTACAAAATTGTAGTGTGATAGATTACATTAACAATTTTTATTAAATAAATATATGCAGTAGCTGCGTTTTAATTTTTACAAATTATACAAAGAATAATAATGTCTTTTTATTTTATTTTGTTTTCTGTTTTTTTTTTTTAAGTCAATTGAGGTTTCTTTATTGTTTTATCAAAGACTAAATAATGTATAGACTATGAACAATCTCTTAAACTATCATAGCAAAAAAAATTCGGTAAAAATCTTTACATTTTCAAAATGATGATGAATGAAATGATTGTTCCAGAACCTGCAGGAAAAATCTATTAGTATTTCAATTTTTTCGATATCATAAACATCCCTGCAGTTCTGGAACAGACCACATGCTTATAAACATACGGGGTGAGATAAAATTTAATTTTTACTTTTTTTAAATTTTATTGAATGAAAGCAAAAAATTTCGGAAATACCATCAAATTTTAGAATGAGTTTAAATTTGTTCGAATTGGTCACCTTTGGTACGAATTATGGCCGTCACTCGCTGTCCGAATGTTGCTCTGCGGTATTTTGGCCCATTCCCGGCGAAGCGCTTGCTTGAGGTGATCGACACTTTGGTATTTTTTAGTGCCAACCTTGCTTTCCAAAATACTCCAGACACAATAGTCCAACGGATTGTTATCCGGAGATTTTGGTGGCCATTGTGCGCTCGAAATGAAGCGAGGAACCTCATTTTATAACCATTCTTGGGTGGCGCGTGCTGAGTGCGATGGTGCTGAGTCCTGATGGAATGTCCAAAATTTGCGGCCAAAATGTTTTCGTGCCCAAGGCTTTAATACACCCTCCAGAATATTTTCGCAATAATATTCGTCTTTTTTTCTGATGTCAAGGTCGATTAGAACGAGCGGAGAGCGACCATCGGCTGTTATAGCGGCCCACACCATAACCATGTTCTGGTGGCAATCGAAGTTGCACATTTTCAGCTGACCCTGTTTGGCAAGTAAACACGATCATTTTGTTTGTTTACAAACTGCTGGACAATGAATGTTTTCTCATCGGAGAAAACCAAATACGACAGTTCACCACTTTCGGCCAAACGAAGTAACTCTTTAGCTCTTTTGATGAGTATATTTTCTTTCTGTTGCGGTGTAAGTTCTTGCATTTTGGAATTTCAATGGCTTTACCCCGAGCTCATTTTTCAATATTTGCCGAATGGCATATTGCGATGTGTGCAGCTCACAAGTCATTTTTGGGGCACTGTGACGAGGGGTTTTCGATCAAGGCGCTTCTTTACTTACCATTTCTAGTGATGTTGCTGTTTTCTTCCATCCACTTCTTTGACATCGGGCTACGCTACCAGTATCACGGTAACGAGCGATGGTACGAGACACAAAAGATTTATTCACATTTAATTGCTGGAGTGCTCTAACGATAGTCACTTGTTGTTTCCCAGCCAAATATAAAGAAATCACTCTTGACGCTTAAATTAATTTAATATTACATTTTTCTGTAAAATTCTCACCAAAATGCTTTTGTACGCTTGTAAACAATATAATGAGCTGTCACTGGAATAATTTTAACAGCTGTCTGACGAGTGGCTTAGAAATGACAGCAGTCTGAAGTTGATTGCAGTTTTTTCATCTCACCCTGTATGTGAGGCATATCCGATTCTGAATCGATTTTCACTTAATTTGACGGAGATATTTTTTAATCTTTTGGTGTACTTGCTTGTATACTGAATTCGGTTGGATGTGCCAAAATTGAGGTCATTTGGACTGATATGCATAATTAACCCGAAATCAGTTGAAGATATATTCGGTAGCTATATCTATATCTGATCCGATTCTCACCAATTTCAATAGGATTCTCAATCGGACAATAAACGCGACCTGCATTTTGCTCACAAGAATACATGGACAGACGGACAGACATGCATATATCCACTCAGAAAGTGATTCTATGAAGATCCTTAAAAGTATCTACGGGTCTATCTCGCATCCCTCTTCAAGTTACAAACAAATGCACAAAGACATAATACAACATTACCACTATATGGTGTAGGGTATAAACATTGGGTGGCAAAATTTTGAAGTAATTTTGTAAATAGAAGTTAAAAAATCGGCAAAATTTTGAATAAATCGTGTTAAAATAAGCTAAGAAAACTTTTTCCAAATACACATGAGCTCTGTTCTTCGTTATCCTGATCGTTTCCTCTTTTACGTATATTCTCTAGAATATAAGTGATATGCGATAGCATTTTGTCCATGGCCTTTGCACTCTTTGCATTTGTTGGTAACAAAGATGTGAAACTGGAACTTATTCAACTGCATGTGTCGATGTTGATGTGCCTGGAGGAAATGTGTGAAAATTGTGTGTGGGTGATTTAAGTAATAGGGATTGATTGGGATTGTATATGTTGTGCTATTTTGGGAGCTGTTTTAAATTCGCCTCTTCCAATTGCCATAGCCACAGATTTATCGGGGCAGAGATATTGTGTGTATTGTGTAAGGATTGGTTATGTTAGGTTGGGAGCTGTAGGACATGTAGGCCGCTTCCAATGATCACAGATCTATGGGGCCCTAACACTCATATAAGCCTAATGACAATTGCAGCGGTTTAAAGGCGAAGATTCTTGTAATCAAAAAGGAAGGTGAAATGGTTAGAGAACTCGGCAATAGCATAACAGTACCAGTGACTCTATATATGTTGATAGTCTGGCGGCCCTTAAAGCTTTCAAATCAATTGCCATTTAATCGAGAGCCATTCTTGACTGCAAGAAAGCCTTCTTTAAAATACGTCGACTCATTAAGTTTCATTGGGTTCCAGGACATGGAAACACAGTGGAAGAGGACGTGGCTGATGGATTTGCTCGAAGAGGTTCCCAGTCAACAGATTTACCAATTGATGAGACTGTTAAACCAACAATAAGCTATTATGTCAGCTGCTTCAAAAAGGCTCTCTCGTTGTGTAGCTAGGAAAAGATTTTAGCAAACCTAATGATGATAATTGGATCTACGTCTAAGAAGAATGTTTTTTTTTGCATCACCAGTTCTAGGCCGCGTGAGTCCAGCCAGGCTTTTGCACGGATCATTGTTTGTCGCAATTTTCGCTGCGTTTCTTCATTGGTTCCTGTTTTGATATATCTATTTTGAGACCCCCGTATTGAGCATCTCTCGACGTGATTTCCAACTTTTGTATGCCTTGCACTGTGTTTATTATTAAATACATCAGAATATTTAATATTTTATCAAGCGTTTCTAGCACAATTGAATGCCTTTTTATATCCTACACCACATAGTGGTAAGGATATTATGTCTTTCTGCATTTGTTTGTAACATGGAAAAGGAAGCGAAATAGACCCGTGGTTATTTCTGAGGATCTTCATAGAATCACTTTCTGAGTCGATTTATGTATGTCAGTCCGCCTGTCCAAGTATTCTTGTGAACAAAATGCAGGTCCGATTGAGATGAAACTTTCCAAACAATATTTGTTTGGCCCAAGGACGAACCCCATTCAAATTGGTGAGAATCGGATTAAATTTAAAAATAGCTGCCGATTTTGGGTTTATTGTGCACCAAATTGCCAATATCAGTCCAAATTACCTGAATGTTTGCACATCCGACCGAATTCAGTCTAGAAGCAAGTACATCAAATTTGTAAATCGGTTGAGATATAGCTTTAACTCCCCTATATATGTTACATTCCATTTGCTCTTTAACTCCCCCACATTCGTAATTCGCATTCGACAACAATGATATTTGGTACCAGATATCTTTTGGAGCTCGGAAATACCTTTGCCAAATATTATCGAGATCGGCTAAGATTTGGATATTGGTCTCCTATATATCCTTAATCCGATTTCATGTTTATTGTGCAAATAATGGATAATATCAGCTCAAATGGAGTGAATTTCGGGACGTACGTTTCCATTTGGATTGCACTCTATAGCAATTTTATTTGGTATAAAAGATAAAAATGTCTCCATCAAATTTAGTAAAAATAGTGAAATCGATTAAGAGTTGGATATGACTCCCACATATTAGTTCCCTCTTAAACCAAATTATAGCTGCTCTATCCGATTACCACCAGCTCGTCCTTTGGCCAACTAAATATTGTGTTGAAAAATGTCATCTCAATCGGATAATAAATGCGATCTGCATTTGTTCACAAGAATACATGGACAGACGGACAGACATGCATACATCGAAGTGAGGCTATGAGAATCCTCAAAAGTAACTATGGATCTATCTCGCTTCCTTCTCCCTGTTACATATAAATGCACAAAGACATAATACCCTTACCACTATTTGGTGTAGGGTATAAATAAACTTGGAGTGCACTAGATTTTGTTATATGCAGATTGGATGTTTAGAAAGGAATGTGCTTTTTAATGACTCTGGATTTATTTAAAAAAAATCGACGGAAGCACTACTTCATAGAGAATATGATATGCTGGCAGCAAACGACGCAACATTGGTTTTATTTATGTTATTATTTTCTGTTGTGTGATAAATATTTTTATTTTTTTCACACCTCTCCTGTAAGAAAGACGTCGCTCCATGAAGAAACTGAATATTCTATTGAATGAATTTAATTCAATAAATTTTAACGTTTTTTACATACTACATTAATTAATAACTAGCAGAAACATATTAACCATATATACATACAAAAATAATACAAATACTATAAGTTAATTAATATTTCTTGTAAATACATCGACATCATACATAGCTAGCTTAGAAGGGTAAGGAGCAGAAAGGAACGTTAAAATTAATAAATGTGCCTCAGGCTTTATTGTAAAACAAATCCCATTAAAAAAACAACATTTTTACACAACACGTGAACCACAAATTATGTGAATAACAAAAAACAATTATTCTTATATAAATATTTACGATAAATATATTCTTATATATTTATATTTCATAGGAGAATCCTTACATACACGGCATATTGCAAACCAATAAACAAATATATATACATTTAAAAAGATAATACAATAATCATTAGCTATTTATATTATATAAGTATAAGGAGACATTTTTTATGTATATCATATACATAATTAAAAACAAATATACAAATTTTAAGTAATGTTTTTTTTTTTTTTTTTGCTTTACCTTTAAGAATGTATTATTGTCATTATAATTAAATTGACATAAACAACAACAAATTTAAAGGGACCCCAATTATTAGTTTTCTTTTTCTCGTTTTAATTTGAGATAATTCCAATTCACTTTTTGTCCTATAGCGAAAAATAAAACAAAAATATTAAAAAAAAAAAAACAAAATTAAAACATAATTTATTAATCAAGGAATATGTAAGTAAAAATGGTACAATGGTAATTTTACAGAAAAAAAGTTATTAGTGATGTAATTCAAGCGTGTGATTTCTTTATATTTGGCTGGAAAACGACAAGTGGCTATCGTTAGAGCACTCCAGCATTTAAATGTGAATAAAGCTTTTGTGTCTCGCACCATCGCTCGTTATCGTGATACTGGTAGCGTAGCCCGACGTCATGGAAGTGGACGGAAGCAAACAGCAACATCAGCAGAAATGGTTCGAAAGGTAAAGAAGCGACTTGTTCGAAACCCGCGTCGAACAAGTAAGCTGAACATATCGCAATATTCCATTCGGCAAATATTGAAAAAGTATCTCGAGCTGAGTAAAGCCCTTGAAATTTCAAAAAGTGCAATAACATATACCGCAACAGAAACATAAAGAAAATAGACTCAAAAGAGCTAAAGAGTTGCTTCGCTTGGCCGAAAGCCTGAACTGCCGTATTTGGTTTTCTCCGATGAGAAAACATTCGTTATCCAGCAGTTTGTAAACAAACAAAATGACCACGGCGGCCGGTTCTATATATCGGATTGACTTGGACGAACAAAATACCGACCAGGGGCCGCCAACCCAGCAAATACATGTTCGTGTTCGTCCATTTTAATACATCGTGCTTACTTACAGAAGATGTCAGCTGAAAATGTGCATCTTCGGTTGGCCATTATATTGTTTACAAGCGTACAAAAGAATTTTAGGCAGAATTTTCCAGAAAAAGTTATTCGTGATGGATGACTATCGTTAGAGCACTTCAGCATTTAAATGTAAATAAATCTTTTGTGTGTCGTACCATCGCTCGTTACCGTGATACTGGTAGCGTAGCCCGACGAAGAAGCGACTTGAACGAAATCCGTGTCGCAGTGGCCGAAAAATGGCTCGTGAGCTGAACATATCGTAATACTTCATTCGGCAAATATTGAAACATGAACTCGGAGTAAGGCCATTGAAAGTCCAAAAAGTGCAGGAACTTACACCGCAACAGAAAGAAAATAGACTGAAAAGAGCTTAAGAGTTGCTTCGCTAGGCCGAAAGTAGTGAACTGCCGAATTTGATTTTCTCCGATGAGAAAACATTCGTTGTCCTATAGTTTGTCAACAAACAAAATGGTCGTGTTTGCATGTTTGGCCACCAGAACTTAAGCGCCGGCCATGGTGATGGTGTGGGCCGCCATAACAGCCGATGGTCTCTCTTCCTCTCGAATTAATCGACCGTGGCATCAGAATAAATGCCGAATATTATCGCGAAAATATTCTGGAGGGTGTATGAAAGCCACATTCCAACAGGACTCAGTACCATCGCACGCGCCAATCAAGAATGGTTACTCCGAATACCAATCCGTTGGACTATTTTGTCTGCAGTATTTAGGAAAGCAAGGTTGGCACTAAAAAATACCAAAGTGTCGACCACCTCAAGCAAGCATTTCGCCGGGAATGGGCCATAGTACCGCAGAGCAACATTCGGGCAGCGTGCAAAAAGTGACCAATTCGAACTAATCTAAACTTATTCTAAAATTTGATGTTATTCCGACATCTTTTGCTTTCATTCAATAAAATTAAAAAAAAAATTATGGCATTTGACTTTGTTGCATTTTTTATCTCACCCTGCATACTTTGTTGTTTTTAAAATTTATATTTCGATGAGTTACAAACGGAATGACGAACTGAATATAACCTCTATATTATGTATGGTGGAGGATATAAAAAACAAACGAGTGAAGAGTATATCTCGAATAATGCAGCCCGCGAGCAAGTTTCACTCCCGAAAGGCAACGAGAAAATCGGTGCTACAACTAAAACTTCAGGAAATGGCCACATCCAAATAGAAGTTCAAACCGAGCAGGGGTAAGATATGTTCTAAGAAAGTCTGAAGTTAGTTTTTGTCAATATTAAAAAATGTTTTTTTCGATTCGAATTTGAGATGTTTTAAAACGACTTTCCTAAAAGCTTATGGGTATTATACTTATATTTTGGTATTCTAATTTCCTTATAAGTAGAAATGCTTTAGCGAAAAAATTGTCAAAATAGGAACCGAATAAACTATCTACTTACCTTTGTTTCAATCAATAAAACAAATAAAACACTTCATTAATTTGATTTTATAAATCGGTTTTTTGTAGTAAAATCGACATAGAAATATTATTAAATACTGCATCTGAAATCTATGTATTGTTGTGTGTGGGGGAGCATCTACATCAAAATTCCGATTACATTAAATTTTAGAAAAATATGTACGTCTGTGTGTATGTGTGTGAATGAGCAGTACACACATATGTGCATCTTGTAAAGGCTTGTTAAAAATTAAATTAGCATACCGTGTAATTTTTCTCTTACTCGGGCTCATCCTACTTTAAACTTAAATATATATTAACATAAAATCAATGAAAAAAAAAAAAAAACAAAAATAAAATAAATTCTAACAACGCATGCTCATGTTGCTAGCTGACCTAATATTTACCACTAAATTTTAATTATTCAACTCATACAGTATATGGGATATAGTACCACTAGATTCTACATTACTAAGGGCTATATTGGCCAAATGAGGTTCATAACGGCGAATGCTGCGCTTGGCCGTTGAGGTATAAATAACCAAATTTCGTAGAATTAGTGCAGCAGTTAGACGAATGCTTTTCGTGACGGGACCTTCGTTTTCATCCATTAGCTCTTTGCTGTTCATGAAATCGGCAGTGTGACGTTTAATGGCCTGCAATGCTGACGATCCTGTTGCAGCGGCCTGTGAGGAGGAGGAGGAGGAAGAGGGTGACGATGTATTTGTACGCTGCGATAATTCAATGTTACGCACAATGGTAACAGGTGGCTTGGAGGGTGCTATGTTATGGGCGCCAGTTGCTATTCTACGCTGAACTGCAGCCCCTAGACTTTCCACAGTTAAATGACGATCGATTAGATGGGTCATAAGCGAAAAACGTTTTCGCGGTATACCGTCACATAGACCAGGGCCAATACCCCATTGACAAAATATTTCAGCCGACGGGTCCAAGTGATCGGGCGCATGTTTGGTACACACATGATGTTGTAAATCACTAAGTGATTTGAATTTTTTACGTGGACAATTACGCCAATCACATATGAAAAGCCATTGGGCATCTGCCGCTGTTAGCTGAGGTACAACGGTTTGCGGTACAGCAGCAGTGGGTTGGGTTAATGATGTCGATTGCGGTGTTGGGCCCGTAGCTGGAACGGTGGGCATAGTAGTGCCGCTGCTGTTGGTGGCGGTGGAAGAAACTGTTGCGCTAGTATTGTTGGTTGAATTCGATGACATGGTAGTATTTGTTGTTTGACCAGCAACTGGTGTCGAAGTACTTGATGAAGGTGTTATTAAGCTACCAGTGGTTGGAACCGTACTAGTGGAAGTAATGGATGGCGGCAGGCGGCAATGCAGGTTTTGTTCCAATGTCATCTTTCTTGTTGTTATCCTTTTCCAATGTTGTAGGAATGGGTGTTGTAGTTGGATTTACAACAGTAACTGGTGTACTAGCAGTCGTAGCAATGCTGCTAGTTACGGCTGCCAACGGTGGTGGTCCACCACTGCCAATGTTTGGTGGCAATTTCACTGTGGGCAGTGAGGGCTTAATCAACGTTGGCGTTGGTGTTGTTGCTGGTAATATAGTAGACTTTTTAATTGCATTTTGATTCGATGCTATAAGCGATGGTGTTTGACTTGCAATCAAAGATGGTGGCGCTGCAGATTCCATAGTCTGTAATGGATTGAAGATCATAATTATATTAAAAAAATATGAATATAGGGTGTTTTTTTTTTCACTTTTAAGCACAAAGACCAACGCAAAAGCAATCACCAGCAAAAATTAAAAAAAAATAAGCGGTAAACAGTGAGGAAGAAACAACATCCATATAGTTATACATACTTATTTTGGGTTACGTTTAAGCGGTACAAAGAGCAACTTCTAATAAAATTAAGAAAAACTCTTAATAAAATGGAATTCGAAACAATTGTCCTTGGTTTTTTTTTTTATAAAATAATGAGAATAATAAAATGAAATTGAAACAAAGAAAGCAGACGAAAATCAAAAGCGTATTAAAGATTTTAGGCAAACCAAAAAAAAAAAAAAATAAGCATCTATGGTTAAATTAAGAAGAATCTACTGTAACCATCGAAAATCTGTTATGGAAAGAATCCAATTTGTTAAATGGACGACAATCTTTATTACTTTGGTATTTTAAAACTTGTCAAGAACGTCGAGCGGGAACCGAATATATGATACCCTATACAAATATGCATATTTTTTAGAGCTACCTCTAGCAAATAAACGTGTACATTTGGGAATGTATGTAAAGCATATCATACCAACTATGATCGTTGTTGATTGAGTCTTAGAGCGGTAAAAAAATTGAAATCGAATGGAATCAACATATGAAAGCTATATTTTAATCTTAATCGAGTTCCACTCAATTTAACGGAGGAGTAATTATGTTGTATGTGAACTCTCGGAACAATTATTGGTGCAAGTTAGGAAGACTCAAATATCAAATCGGATGAACCATACACAAGGTGGCACAAAAGTAATCCTGCTATCAGAAAATGTTATCAATTTTACGACTGGCCCTAATGTCTTAATAAAAAACATCGAAATGTCTGTCAAAGAAAATGTACAGGGTGGCGCAAAAGTAAACTTCCAATGCTTTTTGGTTGTAATAAAGACATTAGGGGTCAATCGTAAAATGTATAGCATTTTCTGATAGCAGAATTACTTTTGGGCCACCTTGTATATGTGAGCTATAGCTAAACCAATTTACTCCAAATTTGACATACTCCCATCTATGTTTGATAGCATTTCCAAAATCCATTCTATTTTGGGTTAAAATTGTGCAGTTGGGACACAATAAACCTGAAGGAGCTATATTTAAATCCAAACCGATCCCGATATTATCTAGGTTGTATCTTATACCGAGTATTATTGTTAGGGAGTGCTTGTTACGACTTTAGGAGACACAAATATCAAATCGGACGAAACAAATATGTATATGGGGATACCTGACCCGATTTCTGCCAAATTTGATATTCTTGCTATGCCAAAATTCAACCTAATATTACACATTTGGAACACAGAAAAAAAACTTGAAATCGGACGAAGATATGCATGGGAGTTAAATCAAAATCTAGCTCGATTATCAAAAATTTCGAGAGCGTTTGTTCTTTGGCCAAACAAATGAATTCATGGCAATTTCATCTTAATCGAGAAATGAATGCGATCTGTACTTGGCTTACAAAAATACATGGATAGGCGGGCGGACAAGTTGTGGCATTGGTGAAATGAAAAAAACTGCAAACAACTTCAAACTGCTGTCATTTCTAGGCCGTCAGTTGTTAAAATTAATCCAGTGACAGCTCATTATATTGTTTACAAGCGTACAAAAGCATTTTGGTGAGAATTTTCTAGAAAAAAGTTATTCGTGGTGGAATTCAAACGTGATGGTGTGATTTCTCTATATTTGGCTGGAAAACCACAAGTGGCTATCGTTAGAGCACTCCAGCATTTAAATGTGAATAAATCTTTTGTGTCTCGTACCATCGCTCGTTACCGTGTTACTGGTAGCGTAATCCGACGTCACGGAAGTGGATGGAAGAAAACAGCAACATCAGCAGAAATGATATGAAAAATAAAGAAGCGACTTGATCGAAACCCGCGTCGGGGTGGCCGAAAAATGGCTCGTGATCTGAACATAGCGCAATATTCCATTCGACAAATATTGAAAAATGAGCTCGGGGTAAAGCCATTGAAATTCCAAAAAGTGCAAGATCTTACACCACAGCAGAAAGAAAATAGACTCAAAAGAGCTAAAGAGTTGCTTCGTTTGGCCGAAAATGGTGAACTGTCGAATATCGTTTTCTCCGATGAGAAAACATTCGTTGTCCAGCAGTTTGTAAACAAACGAAATGATCGTGTTTACTTGCCAGAGAGGTGCAAATGTGCACATTCGGTTGGCCACCAGAACTCAAGCGGCCGCCATTACAGCCGATGGTCGCTCTCCACTCGTATTAATCGACCGTGGCATCAGAATAAATGCCGAATATTATCGCGAAAATATTCTGTAGGGTGTATTGAAGCCTTGGACACGCAAACATTTTGGCCGCAGACCTTGGACATTCCGACAGGACTCAGCACCATCGCACTCAGCACGCACCACCCAAGAATGGTTACAAAATCAGCTTCATTTCTAGCGCACAATGGCTCCCAAAATCTTGGGATACCAATCCGTTGGACTATTGTGTCTGGAGTATTTGGCAAAGCAAGGTTGGCACTAAAAAATACCAAAGTGTCGATCACCTCAAGCAAGCGCTTGGGCCAAAATACCGCAGAGTAACTTTCGGGCAGCTTCTGACGGTTTCATTGGCCGTTTGAAGGCCATAATTCGTGGCAAAGGTGACCAATTCGAAGAAATTTAAACTTACTCTAAAATTTGATGCTATTTCCGACATTTCTTCCTTCCATTCAATAAAATTAAAAAAAATTTAAAAATTATGACGTTTGAATTTGTTGCATATTTTTTATCTCACCCTGCATATCTGAATTTTAGCTGTAGCAGACTTAGCCGTAGACTAAGTACGTTCGTGTATGCAAAGACATAATTTAACAAACATAGCACCTTCATGGCCTCCGAAATATATATGTTGAAACTATAATTAACTCGAAATTATTTTCTCCAATTCAACTACAGAAGAAAGAAAAAGAAAGGCTTGCCCTATTTCACCCAAATTGAATAGTGAAAATGTTTACTAATTTCATTGTGTTGTAGGCTCAAACTAAAAACAAATTATTAATCGGTTACATTTTCGATTCTCCAATTGCATTGAATGATGGCGGGAAAAATGTAAAGCAAAGTCAAAAGAAAATAAATGAAATTTAATTTCATATGAAATGCTGTTTGCAAATCACAGACCTTGGCTGCCAACAACTCGGGAGCTTTAGGTGTTAATACAGCTGAAGCAGTCACAACGTTTGGTAAAATTGATGGATTAATATGAGACTGATGTTGCTGTTGTTGTTGCAAATGTGACTGTTGGGATGAGTGGTGTTGTATTTGTTGCTGTGAAAGATGCTGTTGCTGCTGTTGTTGCTGCTGCTGGAGTGGCATAACAGAAAATGAAGATATTTTTTGTTGTATTATAGAGGGATGCTGTTGCTGTTGTTCTAAGACAGCGCGTATTTGTTTTTGTACCTGCTGAGTTTGTTGTTGTTGTTGTGAATTTACCATTTGAGGATGTTGCGTTGTTATTATTGTTTGTGGATTCAGCTGACATTGCTGCGGTGGGGGTTGTGTTTGTGTTATAACTGTTTCCTTGATTTCGATTGCTCTTCCAGCTCCAAGAATTACATGGCGTTTCTCCGATGGTCCTGATATAATATGTTGTTGTATAATCGACTGATGTTGTTGTAACTGGGGAATGGCTACAGGTGTGGGTGGTGTGGTGGCCTGCTGAACAATTGAAACACCCTTGTTAATGGTGGTGTTCATTCGCCCCATGGTACCTGGTTGAGAGACCATAGTAGTTGCTTGCTGGGGTACCGGCTGGTGGAGTTTTATTGTAGCCGGTATTTGATTTAATTGATTTAACAAAGATGGTGACATTTGTCCGGCCTGTATTTGATTGCTTCCCTGTTGGGGCTGTTGCGTAGAAATTGTGGGCGCTACTGTGGGCGGTGTTGCTGTTTGTATAATTTGCCTGGGTTGAATGTGAGTGGCCGTCCCTGTTTGAGGATTAATGAAAATCTGTTGTGGCGTTTGCGGTCTTTGAGTTACTAGGACTTGTTGACCTTGCGGTGTTGTCATGATCATTTTCTGCTGCTGCCCTTGGGTTGTTGTGGTAATAATTTGCTGTTGTGATCCCTGTCCTGGTAAAGTATTCTGTTGCAATATTATTATTGTTTTGGCTCCGGTTGACTGTTGTTGCGGTGTTTGTGTTACCAAGACGGTCTGTGTTGGCTGCGGTTGGGGCGGAGGCTGTGGTGCTTGCTGGGCCACCAAATAGGTTTGACCCTGTTGATTGGTAGCCAGTACATACTGCGTCGGGGCTTGGTTGGGCGTTGGCTGAATAACTTGCTGTATAATTTGTTGCGGCTGACTATTGTCGACCAATGGCTTCTGATGTACAATTACTGGAACAGTTTGTAGTCCTTGATCCGTCTTAATTGTTGCCATTGCATTAGGCAATTGGTGCATAGGGCCTTGGACAGGCCCAGCGCCCTGATTAATTTTCAATTGCGGTGGTTGATTGGTCTGAAAAACCAGTTGGCGTGGCAGTGTGCCTGCACTTGAAGTGGTTTGCTGTACTAGTAACGAAGGCTGCGTTAGAGACGGCGTTGGCTCTTTATTAACATTTGTAGTAGTACGTGTAGCTGCGAGTTCTTCTAAATCTTCATCCTCTAAAATGGATGCCGCCATTTCGGCATACAAGTTAGCAGCATTTTTCGAGGGCGTGACTTGAGTTTCTTCTTTAGATATGGATGCATTGCTAGTTGCATCGCCTGCCAAACGTTTATTTGGCTGCATTTGTTCCTCCACCTTGCGTTTTTGTATTAGACCTCCAGGCACTGGGGGATCTACCATTTTCTTATCCAAAATATCAACTAGCATTTGATTGGCCAATAATATAGGTCTACCCGATGCATCTTTTGCAACATTTGCGCCACTTAATGGAGCCAAAGGCGGTGGTGTCGATTCAGATATGTGTTTTTTCTCCATTGCCAATTGTGGATTGAGCGGCTTAATTGTGGTTTGTCCGACTTTAACTGGTGTATTTTGCATTAGGGGATTATTTACCAATGCGGTGATAGCAGTACTGGGGACTTTAATTGGCTGGGCTGTAATTGCTGGGGCAGTTGGCTGCGGCAAAGGGCTGCTGTTTGTGGTGATAACATTTGTTGTGGTTGTACTAACATTACTCGTAGCAGCACAATTGCTGGTAGCCACGGAATCCTTTTGTTTTTGTTGCCTTTGATTTACCTTGTTTGCTAGCAAACTTTTGATCAGTGATGTTTGCGATGCTAGAGATTGCGATTGTGTTTGTGGTGTCTGCTGGACTTCTGCCAAGACGACACTCGGCTCGACAGACTGTGACTGTGAGGTGTTTGTTGTTGCCGCCACTGCAGACATCTCTTCGCTTTTTGTTGCCGGCTCAGTTTCCTCAATATCCATTTTTTCGTCACACTTTATATCAACAGATTGGGTGTTCGTAGCTTCGCTTGTTGTTGCTGTTTCACCCACCTCAGATCCTGTCGTTGAAGCAACACTCACTGTAGTCGGAACAGTTGTTTTAACATTTTCAACCCCAGGAGGTGCTGTTGCAGCATCTGCACTTGTTGTGGTGGAAGTACTTGCTGTTTCTATTTTGATTTTCTTCTTTATTTTGCGTGCCTGCGATGCATTATCTATTTGCTTATTAGCTGGTGAATTAGGACCGCTAACAATGAAATTGGTTTTTTGTTGCAATGGTAAGGGCTGTGCCCGTAATCTGATCGAAACATAATGCAGACCCGGCAAATCTGTACCATCCATTTTACGTACTATAGCAGGGCCCACGGCCGTGTTAAATAGCAATCTAACCAGCTTGGGAAATTGCATGTGATTTACAACGGAATGCTTACCGGCCTTTTGACAATGTGACAGATACATACGGTACAATTCTTGTTGGTCGATGTGACACTCGCTGCTGGGAGTACGTTCAAATGTTGCCCCCAACCAAGCTAATGCGTATTGTTCATCCTCGTGGGTAAAGCTTTGTGGAGACATTTGTGACGGAGGTATTGCTGTGGTCTGTGCATGTGATGGCTGTTGCTGTTGAAAATGCTGTTTTTCAACTGGAGCCACAACTACACCAGGCGAATGATGGAATGGAGGGATAACATCGGGATTAATGCTAGCATCAGCCATCATTACAGGCTGTTGGTTACTCATTATTTGTGGTTTATGCATAACCTGATGAGAACTATTGGATTTTTGAATCACAACTGCATTCTGTAAGTTGGCAATATTTTGTGCCACCATAGGTAACATGTTGCCGGGTACAGTTTCAACAACACGCATAAGTATACAACCATCGGTACCGTAAGATTGTGCCTCGACAGAAATCAATGAAATTAATTGATCTACAATGCCTCGTACTTGCATCATGGAATTGCAACTTTTCGGTCCCAAGCAAGTTAATGCATATATTGCCTCCAAGGTGAATATTAAAAGCATTATATCGTTGAGTGATAGGAACAGCGATATTGTATTGTAAAATTTTGCATTTAAACATTTCAATACATAATCCTCATTTGCTTCTCGTTGGCATAGTTTATAAAGAATTTCCAGACAATTTATAATCACTCCACGGTCTGATCCATCGATGCCATCACATATGGTGGCCATGAGACAGCGACTTAGGTCGTCTATGGTGGGGTCTGCTAGATCCAATTCCATTGCAATATTACCGGTAATTTCCAAAGCTTGTATGTGTACATTGCTCCATCTAATGTTGGAACTCATTACCAAAAATCTGATTAATGTTTTATTTTTAACAAGTACGTTCAAATTCTCGGGAAAAAAGCTGAGGTTTCGAAGAATGGACACCACTTGGAGGACACGTTGCCCTACATAATCATAAGTTCCCAAACCACGTCGCAAATTTAAAAAATACAACTCCTTGGAATCATGCCATAGGCCGTCTTCATCAACATCTTGCTTGCCATCGTCCCAATCATCTATCACGCCAGAATCTCTCAACGATTGTTCATCGGTATACAGGTCTAATATTTGTGGTTGTTCATGCAACAGATCATACCAAAATCCGTACAATGAATGCTGCCTAACTCCATTATAGACATGTTGAAACAATTTTCGCATTGTGTAATCGCAGTATACACCTGTATGGGCTAGCAAAGCATCAATAAGTTTGGGATATTCGTTTACTTTCAATGTGTGTTTGCTCTCATTAGCCATTAGGGTGCAGGCATTAATTGCGAAGTCCTGTTCATTGGGCAATGGCGACAATAGTGATAACATTAACTTTTCATACGGCGATGACTTGTGCAAATCAGTAGAAAGTTTAAATTGGCGTCTACGATCCATATTAACATGGTGTTGTTTGTAGTTATAAGTCATAGCTACGTTATTTGCCGGATTTGCACCAGTTCCGCCGTAAACACTTGAAGGGTAACGGGATGAGCCTTTACTTCCTCCCCTTCCACCCATGAACTCGGCCATTTCAGCAGCCTCCATAGCATCAATTTTTTCTGGATCTTCGCCAAAGTAGTTAACACGTTCATATTTCTCTAAATACCTTCGATATATGAATTTAAGACCGGCTGAGCCGTTAACGATTTTCTCACTCCAGCCCAATTCTTTTAAAACTTCGTCCCACTGATCTCTCGAATTTACTTTCAAAAATCCACCACGTTCGGTGACTTCACAGTATAGACGATGAAGATCTACTTCACGTCCTGTTATTCTTGGAATATTCCTGATTATTGTCCTATTAATTGAAAGAAATGGGAAAATATTAGAATATAAATATCAACATTTGTAGGCTTAGAATAAGTTATGAAAGTCATGCTATGTATGAAAATAGATATTTCGACAAGATTTTTTGAAAATTATGGCGGCAAACAAGTACTCTTTGGGAATAACTTCCAGATTGTGTAAATCCTGTCTACACATTTACTGAAAATGCCGAAAAAATTCCTTAATATGAGGAAAAATTGATGCTGTTTAATGTTAGGGAGCTTTACATAAACAATTTGAACATTTGTCCAAGCTTAACTCTATTTGTAATAAAAGACTTAAGTCCTTTCATATTTCACCTTTTCAAATAATATCCTAATGCCGGGTGCCAATAGACACACATTCAAACATATCTACAACACACCAATGTTCTTCTTACCCTCTTTTCTCATGAAATAGCTGCAAATCTCGATAAAATTCTTCAGGTGGCTTCGGCGGATTCTTCCCTTTACCGGTGGTAGCAGATGCATTTTCCGACTTATCCTCTGACTGCTTGTCTCCACGATTTCGTGACCTTAAAGGTGTCCCAGTCTTTGGAGCATCAGACGACGACGACGTGAATGAAGTTGTTGTAGCGGTAGCATTATTTATTGTATTAGCACCAGTAACTATTGTATTTTCACTCTGGGACAGGGTGTTAGCCTTTGAGATTTCAGTAATCAACATGATGTTTTAACTTTTTTATGGAATTTATTTCCAATTTTATATTTTTTTCATTTTATTTTTGGAAAAAACTAACAACACAGTAACGCGTAAATTTATGGCATATGCCCGCCGTCACGACTGTTTATTGCCAACTGCACACAAAACTACAATTAAATTGGCAACGCTAGTAATGCTTTAAGCAGCGTGGCGACACGCCAAGCAATTGAAATTAAGCAAATAATACAGCATTTACATTGAAAAATGTATGCAAGTTCGCAGTTACACTTTTAAGCGAAATATATCTTTAGAGAAATATATAACTTGATTTTGAAAATAAATTTTGATCTTTGATTTTCGTGATTCTTTTTATTTATTCAAAATTCAATGCAACAAGCTTTTTATTTTAGACAAAACAATTTGTTGAATATGTTTTTAAAGTAATTCTGAAATAATTCTTTACTTGATTATTTCTCCAAGACAAGGTAGGCTAAACCTTGTCTTCATTGTATCATGACTCTACCGTTGTACCCATGGTACTATAAGGAAGTACAATAGCTTCGTAGAACTACTGGAATGTAGCCCTATTATCATGGTACAATAAAAAGGTAAGAAAGAGCTCCCAGCTGAGTACAATTTTTTAAGTGTGCCCGACTTCTGCCAATTTTGTGTATGTATTTGTTGTTTTGAAAAGTCAAAACAAAATATTTTCGAAATCAATGGTTGGAAGAAATTTTTATTTTATTGTTCTTTCTCTTTTTTAAGGATATTTTTTTATGCTATACTTGCATTAGTTACATTCGGTTGGAAACGAGTGATGATTTTTGTACTTTTACAAAGCTGTTCTACCTCCTTATTGTACCATGCCCTATTATTTGATCCGTTCCAAAACCTACTAGTTTTGCTGTTTTTTTTTTTGATATCATACATGGAAAATCGGTAGTAGTAAAAAGTTTTATATTCTTCCAGTTCTGATACGGAACAATTATTTGGTAGATTTTAAGATATCTACCTGAAGTATTTGGGTAATGCGGACGTACAAAACATTTCAACACAGCGGTGAAGTTGAATATTTGTAAACGCTACGTAGGATTTTACGTAAAGTTGTTAGAAACAATACAAACATATACACCATTGCTCTGTTACTGAACCTGGGGCTGGATTCTTTTTCTATGAAAATATGAAATGAAAAATATTTCCTTTATAACATTTTTCATTTGACATTTCTTTCCTTTATAAAAGTTTTCATTTCACATTTTCATAGAATAAGAATTGAGGCCCTGGAAGAATCTACTAGATTTAGATTTATTGCGATTTCTTAAAGTGACAATCTGTTATCGTAGTAAAAACTTTTACATTCTTGCAGTTCTAGAACAAACCAAACATGTTTGTTTTGACATAATTGATAAGAACGTTTGCTCAACTTAAAAAAAAAAAAAAAACTAGAAAAATGCAACTCTGTGCTATTTATTATTCAACCGAATTTAAAATAATTTCAAATTATTGTATTTTTTATTCAAAACAATACACAAACATACACAAAACGTGTATATGTTTTGACAGAATAAAGGCACAAAATGAAAAAAAAATGTATTTAGTATTGTATTTTACCTTCTGTAAATATACCATGGTATAACCGACACAGCTGCTGACACAATGATCTGCCAAACCAGTTTTGAAATTGAAAAATTTGAATGAAATTGAATTTCGATAAAATAGTTGAAAAATGCATATCTAACAACCTCCGATTGGGGTCGTATAAGAAAATATATAAAATTGTACTTATTTTTGAAAAAAAAAAACATTTTAAATTTCTGACATATCAATGGCGAACCTATATTGGGTTCAACTTCTGTAGCGAAAAACTTCAATGACATACGTCGTATTTTAGGTGGAACTTAAAAGATTTACATAACCCTACCCTGCCTTTATCGATTATTAAATCCCTACCTCCTATATTTTGTTTTGTTTCCCCATCTTTATCGCTGTTTTTCCACGGAACGAAAAAAAAGATTCACAGTCTATTAAAAAGGAAAAAAGTTTCTACTTCAAAAACTCCTATAACACTGTCTTTACACGGTGCAATTTTTAGCTGGCATTTTTATCAATTCTCTTTTAAAATTTCTGCGTAAATCTTCGCGCCTTTACACGGTGGCATTTTACGATAATAGTGCTTGCCATTTTTTCTGACATTTTATTTTATTCAGTATTTCGTATAGAGCTAATTGTTTGTAACAGATATTTATAAAGAAGTGATTTAAAATTAAATGTGTGAAACTAAAGAAGAAATGATGGAAAAAGTTATTGAGGTGTTAAATATAGCATTATTAACTTTTATTTTAACTTTCTTTTTTTACTTTTTAATACTTCCGATTAATTTTCATATAATTCACTATACAATTCAATCACTAAAAACATCACATCACAATAAAAGAGAGGCATCAAAAATATGAAATGTCAAAATCATAAAAAATTCAGAAGAAGCAAAAAGAGAAATGCAAGGAAAATGGCATGTAACCCTGTGCGGTGGCTTATCGTGCCATTTTTTCTTCTATCCTTGTCTCTCTACACCTTTTACCAACAAAAAAAAATGGCATGGTTAAAAAATGTCACCGTGTAAAGGCAGTGTAACTCGTCAAATGCTTGCGAAAGGATAGATTTCTAATTGCCATAATTATCGTACCTACAATCACAAAAATCTTTAAGATAAATTGGACAAGGTCATTTGATAAAGACGGAAAAATGGATACTTCATCTCAAGGGGTAGAGTAACTTGTAAATATATACATAATACGTGTTACTAATATTGAATATTTTGCGATTTTCTATTTTTTAGCAAAAACAGACATTGGAATCTTTGAGCAAAGAGGAAATTATAAACAAGTACAAGGGCTTGTTGGGTATTGCAAAGAAAGCGAAACAGGCCAAAGATGGTAAGTGACCGTATTAAAAAAATATTAGTTATATTCAACTACATGACAAGGCCAGTAAAGGGGTGAAGTATTTAAAGCATTAAATTAGTTACAGGAAGATTTGGTTGTGAATTTGTTTATTCGGTGATCAAACATTTTGCCGTAGAAGATTATCAATAAATGTATGTATTTCGGTAAAGCCCACCAAGTCCACATTCCCAACCGATTTGATATGGGGTGTGACAAATTCCAAGTGAATGTTGTTTAAGACCAAAAAGCAAACCTTCAAAAGGGAAACCACTTCAAATACTCAAACGAAAAAGTGAGAGAAAATGATAGCGTTTCCTTGGAACAACTTTAGTTTAGTAAAAACTCTTCGATTTTTTCCCCGACATAAAATATTTTTACCCCGATTCCGGGAAACTATTTTTTCTTGGAAGATCCCACATTTTTGAGCCGAAGATCCGGGTTCAATACCCGGGCTAGACCTGGATCCACATAACCGATATAGGCAATATAGATATCGTTGGAAACCGGGAAAGTATAGTCAAATGAAAATTTTTGTGGCCCAGATTTTTTTTAAACCCCCAAAAATTCGAAAAAGGGTCCATTATGGGGGCCAACAAAATTAAAGCCAAATTATAGCTGACATTCTTACCTTTCCAAAATGCTACATTTTATGCTTATATCCCGCCATGTTACCACTTGTTGGATAGGTATTTTCACAAATTTTCCCACGATTCTTATATTGGGTAAGTGTATCCGGGGTCTGGGGTCCCGGGTTCGTCCCCCAAGAAATAAATAGTTTTCCGGAATCTGGGTAAAAATAAGTACCACTGGAAAAAACTTAAGAGGTTTTATTAAACTAGAGTTAAGCTGTTAAGCTCTTTGTCTTGTTAAGCCTTTAACAGCATCATCTTGTGAAGTATGTAAAAAACTAATGAATTTTTGTCTCTATTTTCTATTTCAGAAATGCTTGAAGAAAATCGCAAATTAAAAGAGCAGCTGCAGCAGTGCGAAACCCAAAAGGAAGCTGATAAAAATGCCTTATTGACAATGAAGGAAATGTTAGAAGCCTATACAGATCATAAATTGCAATTAACAACGCAGCTAAGCGAATTGGAAAAGCGAAGAAAACATGATACAGAACAACTTGAAAAGCTGTCGATAGAAAATGAAAGTTTAAAAAGACAATTAGATCGTCTGAACGAAGACAACGATTCGTTACTCAGAGATATTGAAAATATGGAATGTCAATTGCAACAGGTCAGCGGGCTGGGAAAGGAACAAAAACAACATCTGGTCTTGTTGGAGCAGGAAATTAATCAGTTGCGTGAAGCGGAAACAAAAAATAAAGAATTAATTGTAAAAAATAATGAACTAAACAAATCTCTGAATGAACTCAAGGAAAAGTACAGCTTCGTTAAGGAAATCAACACAGAGCAGAGACATAAATTTAATGCTCTAAAAGATAGATTTATAGAAGTGCATAAAAAGGTGAAAAAACTCAAGGAATGCAAACGGATTTTGTTAGAAACTCAGCACGAATATGCGGACTCAGTGTCGCAGTGGCAAATCGAGATAATTAAGGCATCTAAATTATTGTGCCAGGAATTGGATAGTTTGAAATTGGAAAATACCAAACTTTTAGAAAAATTAAAGGATCAGAAGCCGATGGATGGTATAATTGCCAAGGTTGGAATGTTGATGGAGTTGTCGGAAAAGGTTAAACATGAATATAATAACGTTACAACGGAGAACACAGAACTTAAGGCCAAATTGTCTAAGGCGAATATGGTGCTGCCATTCAGCGCTCCCAACATCTGTGAAGAGAAAATAAACAAACTTTTAAAACTGAGTAAATTAGCCATGGTCGAATATCAGAATTTGAAAGATGCCCATGAAAATATTGCCCCAGAATATTATGCCAGCGATAGCCTTAGTCAATACATTGTTCCTAAATTGGAGATATTAAACAATTTGGCAGACAGAGCCAAAAACGAATATCTCCAAAAGTCTCAAGAGTTGTCACAGTTAAGAGAAGAAAAAGAAACTCTCAAGAATGTCAGGGTAAATAAAGGAGATACCGAATCTATGGGAACTTGTAAGGATTGTGAAGAAAATATTTTAATTATTGAGAAACTCAAAGAGGATATCGAAACTACCCATGGCTCCCATCAGAAAGCAATGGAAAATATATTGGAATTAAAAGAGGAACTAGAGAAGAATAAAA